GTCGTGATTCTGTAAACTTTAAAAATCCAACGTGTTGCAACCACGTCGCGCACATCCAGCTTTATATAATAAGATTCATAAGTATATTATTAGATCATTATTACATTTTTAAGTATTAGTGTTTAAGAAAAACAAATTAAGGGGGTAAATCCTCGTTAGACATTTCAAGTGTCGACAAAGCTACACATCCAATTTCAATTTCTCAAAAAGATTCTCTATATTTGTTTTTTTTTCTTTCTACATCTTTTCCCACTATTTTAAGCTTCATCCTTGATTTGACTCATATGTGAGTTAATTACTCCCTCCGTTTCATAATAACTGTCGTTTTGACAAAATAAATCTAGACTATTTATTGATGTATTTGGATGTATTTTGAGTGTTAATACATCCATATATATCTAGATACATTGGGTAGGTGAAAAGTCAAAACGACACTTATTATGAAACGGAGGGAGTATTGTGTTAAGACTTTTAGTATTTTTGAATTTTGAAAAAATGAACTAGGAAATTGAATAATAACTACTTGAGATCTACCATGTCACAAGAAAATTTGAATGAGGATAGCTATGGTTGCAAAACTTGACTATGTGAGTTTAATGAATTATTTTGCAAGTAAAAATCTAAAAAGAGTCATATTTTAATTTTTTTTTTAAACAAATTTGGAAAAATATTTATTGCTTAGAACTCTTTTGTTTATAAAGTTTTAAATGTTTTTGTTTTTTTGTTTTTTTACTGTTTTGTAATTTTAAAAATATATGAAAAAGCATATTTTTTAAATTTGATTAGGGTGTTCAAATATGTTGGACCAACACTGATCTCTTGTAGAGTATTATATTATGGAACTGAAGAAGAATTGTATAGCAAAAAGTACTCATACAGTTGAGTTTTTATTTGTATGAATAAATTCCTAAGTTTTTTTCTAATAATAGCATAAAATTCAACATAAAAATGATTAAAAACATATTTATTATCTTGGGTTATGCATTGCGTGGAAGGTATAGCCCATCGCGTTGAGCTCGAGGTGGATTCAGAGATGGTGGTAGGATTTCTTCAGACAGGGATTAGCGAGGCAAATCCGCTGTCGTTCCTGGTGCGTTTGTGCTATGGTCTCATATATGAGGACTGGATAGTCAGTATTTCTCACTTGTATAGGGAGGCTAACCGCCTTGCAAACGGGTTAGCAAACTATGCATTTTCCTTACCTTTGGGTTTTCATTCGTTTAGCTCTGGATATTGTTAAGTAGACCATTTGGGCTGGGTTTTCGATCCCACGTCGACTGCAATTGCAGTTCTCGGGGGAATCGCCCCCCCCCACACACACACATGTTACATCCGTTAAGATCATCACACATGTCGTGGAAAAAAGTGACACATATTAGTAATCTGTTTTTTTTTTTCCTTTTTGTAATGAGAATATGTTTTTTTTTCCTTATCCTAATGGATGTAATATTTGTTTTTTTTTTAATGTTTGTTTTATGTTTTCTGATTCTTCATTGGTCTTATATACATAATTTTTTTTTTAATTCTATGACACATATTACGATCTTAGGTACTTTCAAAATAAATAAAAACACATGTCGTGATTCTGTAAACTTTAAAAATCCAACGTGTTGCAACCACGTCGCGCACATCCAGCTTTATATAATAAGATTCATAAGTATATTATTAGATCATTATTACATTTTTAAGTATTAGTGTTTAAGAAAAACAAATTAAGGGGGTAAATCCTCGTTAGACATTTCAAGTGTCGACAAAGCTACACATCCAATTTCAATTTCTCAAAAAGATTCTCTATATTTGTTTTTTTTTCTTTCTACATCTTTTCCCACTATTTTAAGCTTCATCCTTGATTTGACTCATATGTGAGTTAATTACTCCCTCCGTTTCATAATAACTGTCGTTTTGACAAAATAAATCTAGACTATTTATTGATGTATTTGGATGTATTTTGAGTGTTAATAAATCCATATATATCTAGATACATTGGGTAGGTGAAAAGTCAAAACGACACTTATTATGAAACGGAGGGAGTATTGTGTTAAGACTTTTAGTATTTTTGAATTTTGTAAAAATGAACTAGGAAATTGAATAATAACTACTTGAGATCTACCATGTCACAAGAAAATTTGAATGAGGATAGCTATGGTTGCAAAACTTGACTATGTGAGTTTAATGAATTATTTTGCAAGTAAAAATCTAAAAAGAGTCATATTTTAATTTTTTTTTAAACAAATTTGGAAAAATATTTATTGCTTAGAACTCTTTTGTTTATAAAGTTTTAAATGTTTTTGTTTTTTTGTTTTTTTACTGTTTTGTAATTTTAAAAATATATGAAAAAGCATATTTTTTAAATTTGATTAGGGTGTTCAAATATGTTGGACCAACACTGATCTCTTGTAGAGTATTATATTATGGAACTGAAGAAGAATTGTATAGCAAAAAGTACTCATACAGTTGAGTTTTTATTTGTATGAATAAATTCCTAAGTTTTTTTCTAATAATAGCATAAAATTCAACATAAAAATGATTAAAAACATATTTATTATCTTGGGTTATGCATTGCGTGGAAGGTATAGCCCATCGCGTTGAGCTCGAGGTGGATTCAGAGATGGTGGTAGGATTTCTTCAGACAGGGATTAGCGAGGCAAATCCGCTGTCGTTCCTGGTGCGTTTGTGCTATGGTCTCATATATGAGGACTGGATAGTCAGTATTTCTCACTTGTATAGGGAGGCTAACCGCCTTGCAAACGGGTTAGCAAACTATGCATTTTCCTTACCTTTGGGTTTTCATTCATTTAGCTCTGGATATTGTTAAGTAGACCATTTGGGCTGGGTTTTCGATCCCACGTCGACTGCAATTGCAGTTCTCGGGGGAATCGCCCCCCCCCACACACACACATGTTACATCCGTTAAGATCATCACACATGTCGTGGAAAAAAGTGACACATATTAGTAATCTGTTTTTTTTTTTCCTTTTTGTAATGAGAATATGTTTTTTTTTCCTTATCCTAATGGATGTAATATTTGTTTTTTTTTTAATGTTTGTTTTATGTTTTCTGATTCTTCATTGGTCTTATATACATAATTTTTTTTTTAATTCTATGACACATATTACGATCTTAGGTACTTTCAAAATAAATAAAAACACATGTCGTGATTCTGTAAACTTTAAAAATCCAACGTGTTGCAACCACGTCGCGCACATCCAGCTTTATATAATAAGATTCATAAGTATATTATTAGATCATTATTACATTTTTAAGTATTAGTGTTTAAGAAAAACAAATTAAGGGGGTAAATCCTCGTTAGACATTTCAAGTGTCGACAAAGCTACACATCCAATTTCAATTTCTCAAAAAGTTTCTCTTTATTTGATTTTTTTTCTTTCTACATCTTTTCCCACTATTTTAAGTTTCATCCTTGATTTGACTCATATGTGAGTTAATTACAGTGTTAAGCCTTTTAGTATTTTTGAATTTTGTAAAAATGAACTAGGAAAAATTGAATAATAACTACTTGAGATCTACCATGTCACAAGAAAATTTGAATGAGGATAGCTATGGTTGCAAAACTTGACTATGTGAGTTTAATGAATTATTTTAAAAGTAAAAATCTAAAAAGAGTCATATTTTAATTTAAAAAAAAAATTGGAAAAAAATTTATTGCTTAGAATTCTTTTATTTATAAAGTTTTAAATGTTGTTTTTGTTTTTTTTACTGATTTGTAATTTAAAAAATATATGAAAAGGCATATTTTTTAGATTTGATTAGGGTGTTCAAATATGTTGGACCGACACTGATCTCTTGTAGAGTATTATATTATGGAACTAAAGAAGAATTGTATAGCAAAAAGTCATACAGTTGAGTTTTTATTTGTATGAATAAATTCATAAGTTTTTTTTCTAATAATAGTATAAAATTCAACATAAAAATGATTAAAAACATATTTATTATCTAGGGTTATGCATTGCGTGAAAGGTATAGCCCATTGCGTTGAGCTCGAGGTGGATTCAGAGATGGTGGTAGGTTTTCTTCAGACAGGAATTAGCGAGGCAAATCCGCTATCGTTCATGGTGCGTTTGTGCTATGGTCTCATATATGAGAACTGGATAATCAGTATTTCTCACTTGTATAGGGAGGCTAACCGCCTTGCAAACGGGTTAGCAAACTATGCATTTTCCTTACCTTTGAGTTTTCGTTTGTTTAGCTCTGATATCGTTAAGTAGACCATTTGGGCTCGGTTTTCGATTAGACTGTAATTGCAGTTCTCGGGTCATAGTTTACTTTTATCTGCTGTAATTTATTGAAAGCAAATAAATATACTCGCAACGTAATGTGTGCTACTTTTGGAAATTCGTATACAAATCTTATGGGTCTATTTTTCGAATAAGAACTTTATTTTTCCATTTTAGAATATTACCAAACAAAGTTACCCATAGATTTATTTCATAATAACTTTTTAAAAAATATATTTTTAAATAGTTAAATTTTAATAAACTTATTGATAAGTTTAAAGATATTTTATTAATATAAGTTATGCTTCTAATTTTGTATATTTGATTTTGAATGCTAAATAATAAAAAATTCTTATATACTTGCATGAGTTTATGAGATAAAAAAAATGTCACATTGAAAGAGAAAAAAAAAAGTGAGTTTTTTATCTTTCTTTATAACATTACAAATGAAAGGCAAGGCAAAGGAATGTTAAATTGCTTCTAATTTGCCTTCTTCGTCTGAGAAGAATGTTTTCAAGTTTAGATTTATTGGAAAACAAGCGTTGGACATGTGCTAAGACATTCGTGTCTCTCGCATTACAAGAGAATTAGAAAAATGGAAATGAAAAAGGAAACACTTTTTTTTTAACAATGCAAATGAAAAAAGAAACACTAGAACACACAAATGACAAAGTTTTTGAAAATCTGGAAATTGTTCAATGACCACAACAAACCTCGGTGGCCGATATTTTATTTGTAAATTTTCAGCAGAATGGAGGACATCAGTCACATAATGTTGCATTCAAGTGGACCAAGTTTAGGTAACAGGTTCTGGGGTTGTTGGAATTGCTGGTTCTGGCTGTGTTGTTGTTGTGCCAGTAGGAACTGCTGCTGCTGGCGCTGAAATTCATCTTTTAACTGACGCATCTCTTTTTCATGTGCTGCAGCATTCTGTTTCAGCACATCCTCCACTTGTTGACGCTGTTGGTTCTGCTGAAAATCATCTCTCATCTGACGCATTTCTCTTTCATGTACTATCGCATTCTGTTTTAGCGTATCTTCCACCAGACGCATCTCTCTTTCATGTGCTGCTGCATTCTGTTTTAGCGTATCCTCCACCATACGCATTTCTTTTTCATGTGCTGCTGCACTCTGTTTTAGCGCATTTTCAACCTAAGCATCACCACGAAATGTTAAATTACTCGCATTACATGAAGCACACAAATTTAGCGATACAACGTGAATATGAATTTACCGTCTGCGCCATCAGTATCATGTTTTTGTCATGCTCAATTTGTAACTTCTCCTGCATTATTTTTGATTCTGCTTCTGCGAGGTTCTTAGATTCAATCTCCCTTTTCTGTTCCCTAACCTTATCGTTTTCTTCCTGAGATCACCAGAATTTTGAACGTTTAAATATCTGTATGATTTAATCTAAATATATATATATATATACTTAAAAATACATCTTCATTTATATGGTTAGCTAACATATCTAACATAAATAGCATTATACGTAGTCTATGTTTTATGTAAACATAAAAAAACAGTAAATCAGAATGTGTAGGATATAGACTGTTAAGTGTACAAGTATTTCAAAAGTCGTCAAAAATCAAAATAGATCGAAAATATTTAAAATCAATAAATTCAGGAAGCGACTCAAACTGACGCCACTTTGTTTAAAACTCGTAAGAAATTATAAAAAGGAAACGATAAACGGAACGGAGAGGCCACCACGAGGGTTTTTTTTTTTTTTTGGTTACCTTTATCTTACGGTGCATTTTGTCCGTGTACGGGATCCCACCAGTTTGCTTCTCAACATCTTCGATGTGGGCCAGAAGCTGCTGAAGTTGCTTATCCTTCTTGTCTTTATCCGTAGTCTTGTTATCAAACAAGACCATTCGTCGACCACAAAGTCTAAGAACTTTCTGCAATTTCACAACTAATACAACTTAAATATAGAATTGTTATTTATTTTATGCATGATTTTTTTAAACAGAATCAAATAAAGAATAATATAGTACATAATATTAATTGTTGCACTGACAAACAAAGAAAGAGGGAAAATCTTAATGAAAGCAAACAGACCGTCAGAAATTCCGGGCAACTGTCACGCAAATAATCGTCCAATCCCCCTCCTTCGTCGAAGTCGTCACCGCCAGTGAACACAACAATAAAATAGTCAAGGATTTTGCTCTCGAATATGCGCTGCAAAGCATTAAGTGTGGACTCTTCCTCCTGTGTGATCCGACCCCTTGTAGATAGAACAAACAACACAGCGTGTATTCCTTCTTCCGCCATAGTTAAGCACTTAATGACTTTCCCGCTGAGAAATTCGGCCGATTGTGACAAGTCGAACAAACCTGTATATCACATACCATAATACAGTGAAGACTTTTATTAAGTTAGCACTGGTATTGGCAAGGCTTTATATTACAGGGAGTTAAAAAATAAGAGTGGTAGGCTTAGGCTACATCTTAATTTTTGATGGCACATACCAGGAGTATCAATGATATTGATTATTGGGCCATTATGTGTCGCAGCTCTAAGCATCTGACAATCCATGGTAACACCTGCGGCCTGTTTTTTGACGACGAACTGTTTGCTTCCCACGAGAGTGTTCCCTGTGGAACTTTTTCCATTGCCAGTTTTCCCTATTAGAACTATGTTCTTAATGCGTTCTGGCTTAGCGGGTGGTGCCGTGGCTGGCACGTCAGTGGCTGGCGCTGCCGTCTTAGCGGGTGGTGCCGTGGCAAGCACTTCAATGACTGCCGCTGCCGTGGCGGGTGCTGCCGTGGGGGGCGCTTCCTGATCTGCCATGTGATCAACAGCAATTCCTGCGCACAAACATGTTGACCAACAGAAAAATCATGAAATGGTACATACTGAAAATGAAATTGAAGAAAGGAAGAAGTTAGTTAGCATAGTCTATACCAAATGGAAACACACGAGCTTTCTAATACTTTTGCTAGTGAAGAACAAAACAAGAAATAATAGGTAAGTTAATATGTGAAACAATTCAAGTTTAAATAGAAGATCGCACCCAACGGTATGTGTTGATTTTAGTTTAGATACAACTATTCGTATTTGTATATGTGCCACTTGGGTTTTCCTTTTTTTTTTGGAATCTAAGCCACTTGAGTTTGAATATGTTTTCTGTGCAAGTGTGATTAATTTTTTTTTGGCATCAATTTATACTGTATATATTGTGGGAGTGGAAACGGTAATGAAACACAAATAATTGCTTGAGGAGTGAGACGACTTCTGAGGAATGACTTTGGGTAGTGCTACAATATCCTCGAGCGCGGTTTAGACGTGGGACAATAGCACAAGTTAATTTTGTTATGTTTTCCTGAGTTGAAATGGTAAACGAAACAATCTTATTTTATCAGTGAGACGGCTTTTGAGGATTGACTTTCGTAGTTCTAGCCTATAAACCATATAGTCCGATTTAGACGTGGGGAGTCGTGGGACAATAGCCAAAGTGCTAAACACAAAATATCAACGCTTTCACTTGTACAAAAAATAACGGTTTATGTTTTCTCTTTCTTTTTATTTTTCATCAACGGCAGTGTTATATATATATATTTTGTGAAATGTATGAGATTTAATGGGTTAACTTTTCAACTAGCACCATTTTGGAACTTGAATATTATGAATATATCACTATTGATTAGATGATATCTAACAAATATAATTTATTTTGAAGAGTATTTCTAATTTTTTTCCGGCTAACTCATGCTGTCATGCATGTGGATATATATCAAAATAACTTTACAGAGTCATTACAAAAACTTTCAAAGTGAATTATTTTATTACATAGGTAATATAATGTGTCATTTATGAAAGAGGATAGAAACTAAGAAGTGAGAAGGAATGGAATGAGGAGGTATAAAATATATGGAACTCATTCCTCCTTATATTTTATAAGGAATATTTTAACACTAAAGTTCCCTAATTAATATGGAATGATAAGGAATAATATGAAATACACATTCCTTGTGAATGGTATAATTTTTAGGGAATGAGGGGGAATAAAACAATTTCATTTCTTAGTCACCAGTTAGAGCTTGTATATATATTTGCATACATGTGACATGTACGAATGGATGAATCCTTATCTTCAACATTACAAGGAAATTGAAAATAAAATACAAGCAGAAATAAAAAGGAAATATTAATCACACAAAAATGAACTTAGTGTCAATTTGAAATATGTGCAATGACCAGCCCAAATAACATCTTTACTTATGTTCTCTCAGAGGAATTTGGGGACATTAATCACATAATGCTGCATTGTGGCCTCATCTGGGGGAATGGATCAAACACCGGAATATGCAGAGGGAATGGATGACGCACCGGAACATTGTGAGGAGGCCTAATGGGCAAAGCTTCTCTCAGCTCACGAATTGCTCTTGCATGTGTTTCTGAATTCTCCTTTAGCCTCCTCTCCAACTGTAAGATAACCAGACAACAGTATGTCAGAATAATGCAGTGAAAATATAATTGCCGTCTCCTATAGTTTAAACTTAAATGATGGGATTATGAATTTACTATTTGTGCCATCCGTCTCATCTTTTCGTCATACTCCAATTCTAAATTCTTCTTCATTGTTTCTGCCTCTGCTGCAAGCTTCTTCGACTCAACCATCCTTTGCTGTTCCCTGAGCTTATCACCCTCCTCCTGGAACACCAAAGATGTATATATCATTTAAAAGTTGTTATGTAAAAAACCAAACCGCACCAAGAAAAATAGTGTATTAGTCACCATTAGCTTTAAAATTTTATTATCTAAAAAAGGCAAACAGTACCAAAAAAAAAACATAGCGTTTTAGTCACCAACAACTATATTGATACTAGCACTAATGTACCAGATCTCATCAGTGGCAATATCAATTTTTGCAGCTTATGGTTACTCTACTAGAGATCAGTTCATATTTGATGCATATGAACACATCTCTACCTTTATCTGACGGTGCATCTGGTCAGTATATGGTTTCTGACCATTTTGCCTTCCAACATCTGCGACATGGGCGAGAAGCTGCTTGAGTTGCTCTGCCTTCTTGAATTTATCCGTAGTCCTGTTATTAAATAGGACCTTACGTCCACCACAGAGTCTGAGAACTCTCTGAAATTTCAAAACTAGTCTAATTATTATATTAAAAAAACACGTAAAGAGAGACATGCAAAAACATGTGAAGATCATAATGGAAGCAAGCGAACCGTCAAAAATTCAGGACAGCCTTCATGCAAATAATCGTCCAATGTCTTCTCGTCCGCTTCCAACTCGTCACCGCCAGTGAACACAACAATGAGATAGTCCAAAATTTTACTCTCAAATATTTGTTGCAATGTATCGAGGGTCAACTCTTCCTCTTGTGAAACCCGATTCCTCGCTGATAGAACAAAGAGCACAGCATGTATTCCTTTTTCCGCCATACTTAAGCAGTTCACGATTTCCTTACTTATATAGTCTGTTGACACAACCGAATCGAACAAACCTGCATAAAGTACCTTAGTAGAGTCAGAATTTGATAGATTGGTATTCGCAAGGCTATATTCCTCGTAGCTAGTAACAACCAGGTCGAAGACGGCAAATACGAAGAAGAAGAATGAATTAAAAAGATTAGAGAAGCCAATATGAACTTCACCAAAAGATAATTGATTATGGTTACAGTCTTACAGAGTGCCAAAAAAACAGAATGAGAAAGTGATTACGCGTAAGAATTAAACTAAAGTTAAAATCTCTCATTTCTTTATAAAAGAAACTTAATTAGATAGACTAAAGTTTATTTGTTTAACGAAAATTTGTATTGTGATGAAAATGAGATAGGGGAATAGATGGAACACAAAGTCAAAATGTATTTTGGAACAGGGACTAAATGAGCTTTTTTTTTTCAGATTGTTCAGTGGAAAGTGTTGCTTAGGGGGACATCAAGATGAATGCGTAGGATATATACACTCACTCACTAGTATTTTTGTTATGATACTATAAATACAATATTTGTTTTCCTTCTATTTTGATAAAGAAACATCGCTAAAGAAAAGTCTTGCTTAGCATTACGTAACTTATAAAAAGGTACATGTTCCCGCAAATGTAAGATTAGTAAAACTTGTGGGATATACATTACAAGTCCTTTGAAGTTTTCTGCAGTCTTTTTAGTATTAATAGATTTTTTTTATGTGAATTAAGTGGCAAGGGAGGCAATGAAGAAGCATAACTGCAAAATCTCGCAAGTATTTCTTCACTAAAATATATATATACCAATACTGTATTTATAAGTATATTACTCTTGATAATGATTCGATTCTTTTTTTCCTTTTTTTCTTATTATAGCCTAAGGCACAAACTTCTTTCTTTATACAAGGGCACACACTTGTTTATTTATCCTTTAGGGAGGTGGTTAAGGATATTAAACTTCAACCAAAGTCTGATTAATGAATAGGAACACATACCAGGAGTGTCAATGACATTGATTATTGGGCCATCTTGTATCGCAGCTCTATACATTTCGCATTTCATGGTAACACCTCTTGCTTGTAGTTTGGAATTGAACATTTTTTGACCGAGGAGAGTGTTCCCGGTTGCGCTTTTTCCAACCAGAACTATGTTTTTTATTGGCTCTGACATATTGAAGAGAAGAATGAAGAAAGGAAGATGAACTTTTTTCTTTTCGGACAAACGAAGAAAGGAAGATGATAATTAGCAGATTCTATGAGCTTTCTTGACCTTTCTGAGTGGAAAACAAAAAGAATTGTCAAGATCATCGTATTGTCAAGAATTCTATTTGGACAAGTTCATCGTAACAATTGAAGTTTTAATACAAGATCGTTTTTATCTTATTTTGGAAACAACTACTATATAATGTATTCGTATTTGTGCCCTTTGAGTTTGTTATTATTATTTTTTACTTTTGTACTAGTGTGGTTGGTTATTATATATTTTTGCAACATATATAGCGCGTATGTAGAACTGAACACGTTACTGTAAACGAATCAGAAAGGCCAAGACAAGTAATAAAATAAACATAGACTAGTAAGTAGTAATTATCGATTTTTGCAGGGCTTATGTAAATGTGAAGGAGACATACAATGAAGAGGATCAACTTTTTGCATAGTTTATTCCCATATTCAAAAATTTATTTATTTTTTTTTTGCATTGACAATATGTAATTAAAGATATTTTGGTTATATAAAAATAGACTTTATAGACATTTTTCCATGATATCAATTTTAGCATAATTTTTTTTAATTGAATCTTATTTTTTTGTATCATTTTTACAAATGATCTTAATTTCATTTTTAGTATCACTTTTACAAATGATTTTAATCTCATTTTTAGTATCACTTTTGCAATTGATCTTAATCTCATTTCTTGCATCACTTTTACAAATGATGTTAATTACTTTTTTAGCATCATTTGTACAAATGATCTAAGACTTATTGTTTGCATCACTTATAACAAAATGATGCTAAAATGTAATTTTCATGTCATTTATAAAAGTGATGAAAAATAAATTTAGTGTCATTGATTTTAGTATCATTTTTACAAGTGATGCTATAATTCTTGCATCATTTAAAAAGTGATACTAACTTTAAAAAAAATGACAGTAAAAAATAGTTTTCTTGTAGTGATCTGAGATTATGTCAAATAACTCTTACTCCTATTTTTGATTTTCTTTTTCTTTTTAGTTTCTAAACTACCTATAATTAATTAAGAAGTGGTGGTGCTCCACTGATGACAATATAAAAGGTTCATGATCTTCTGCGGGTCGAATAAAAAGATCAAATACTGGTTCGTTTATTGGCCACATAGACAAAATAAATATTAAGAATATCTAATGTTACATTGCCATTGGCCATTGAAAATTCATGTAAAGTCTGTTCGAATGAGAAAATGTCGTTGGAACATACGTGAAAGTAGACGTTTGCTGGTGACGTGGTACAAACTACAAAGAGTTGAGCTTGATACACAAGCGATATCTACAATAATTTTTGAACAGCCAAACTATGGGACTAACGGACAACAAAAGAAGATTCATTCATATATTAAATTTAGGAAGTTCTTTATTGTTTCCTTCTATATATGTCTATAAAATACAAAATAAGGTAGATATGTTGAAGTCGGTAACGAATACGTGTGTTAGTGAGTACAAGTTCATTCGATGGAACATGAATACGTATGTTGGGACATGTCTGACGCTGAGTTGTGAAACCTTATCTCATTGTAACGTTATGAAAACCAAACGATAGGTCTAATACTGATGTGGGTAGAGGGATGGTGGTATCCTAATGATTGTTGGAGATATAGTTTTTTTAGACGTAATTTATAATTAAGGCTTTTCATCAGGGGTATGTCTGGTATTATTCAAAACCAACCTTCATCCCCAGTCTATTGCATGAGCTGTTCTTAACTGTTTTTTTTTTTTTTTTTTTTTTTTTTTTTGAGATATATTTGGACCTGTTTCTCAGCTATTTGAGATATTTATTCTACTAAATATTAATATCATTTTTTTTTTCTCAAACTTAAGAAACTCACATGATAAACTCTCAATAGATACAGTGCACACAAAATAAAAGTAGAAAAAAGGAAGAATAGATCACACAAAATTCCGCTCTCACACCAAAACTCTGTGGTGGATCCTTATTAGTAGTTTTTCAGCATAGTTTGGGACATCAGTCACATAATGTTGCATTCAAGTTGTATACTTGGTCGAGGGAACGGAAGTAGGCTCTGGATCTGTTGGCGCTCCCGGCCCTGTTGGCCCTGCTGAAGTGTCTCTTTCAGCTCACGCATCTCTCGTTCATGTGATGCTGCACTCTGTTTTAGCGCATGCTCAACCTGAAAGTATCCAAATAATATCAAATTAAGCGCATGTAGTAAAGAATAATAAGTATTCACATATACAAAGTTTATGAATATCAATCAATTTACCGCCTGTTGAATCATGCTAATGGTTTGTTCATGCTCTATGCGTAACTTCTCCTTCAGCACTGCTATATCTGCATCTGCAAGGTTCTTAGATTCAATCTCCCTTTCTTGCTCCCTGAGCTTATCATTCTCTTGCTGAAAAGACAAAGATTCAGACATCTTAAATCTAATGTTTGTACAATTAGTACATGTTATTTACATTATGGTTCTTAATGAAATATTTCTACACAATAATTGAAGAAAAACACATTTTCTGTATAAATACAAGAATATTAGATACTTGATACGCGTTTTGTGCAGGTACAATTTTCAAAAGATTACATAAAATTGATTCAAGTATTTGTTATTTGTGAGACATTTAAATAACCTTTACATATTTTTATAAGCCTTAACTGTTTGGAATTGTAATCATTTTTGTACAATCTACTGTACTTTAATAATGCATTGTTAAAAAAAAACGAAAATTCAGTGCTTTACATATTAAAACGACGACAATATTATCGATATAGAAATTATTATGTAACAAGGATGTAAATTACGGTGCATCTTTTCAAAAGGCAATGAGAGGGATATTCATATATGATTGGATAACAATCACACTTTTTAACTGCCACTACTCACGTTTTGTCAATACTTCAAGAAATTAACCAAAACCAAAATAGGAAACACTTGTTTTGTTTCTTACCTTAATTTTACGGTGCATCTTATCGGTATAGGGTTTCCCATCATTTTGCTTTCCAACATCTGCGACATGGGAAAGGAGCAGCTTGAGTTGCTCAGCCTTCTTCACACTATCCTCAGTCCTGTTGTTAAGCAAGACCTTTCGTCCACCACAGAGTCTTAGAACTTTCTGAAATTTTACAATTGATCCAATTCAAAAAAAAAAAAAAAAAAAAAAAAAAAAAAAAAAAAACAAATGTGCATGCAGAACCTTTATATAAAAAATAAATGTGCATGCAGAAAACATCAATTGTTGCACTAATCAAAAGAAACCAGACCGTTAGAAATTCAGGGCAGCCTTCACGCAAGTAATCGTCCAACGTCTGCTCGTCTGCTTCCAACTCGTCACCACCAGTGAACACAACAATGAAATAGTCAAGGATTTTACTCTCGAAAATGCGCTGCAATGTATTGAGTGTGGACTCTTCCTCTTGTGAAATTCGATTCTTTGCGGATAAAACAAACAGCACAGCATGTATTCCTTCTTCTGCCATAGTTAAGCAATTGATGATTTCTTTGCTTAGAAATTCCGCGGACACTGATAAGTCGAACAAACCTGTATCACGTACTATAATTGTTAGGACTGAAAAACTTCTGAACTAGTTTATTGCAATTTTGAATTTTCTCATCATATTTGATTCCATAATTAACAATGCTTAGATACACAAAGAAAGAAAACTAACTACTTGGAACATGAAGAAATGGGGATACAACCCATTAATTTAGGTGAAACAAAAGTCATATATCTACTCTATCTTTCATATTAAATGTTGTTTAGGTCAAAAATTAAAATTCCAGTATTATCCATGATTTCTTAACTTGTTAGTTATTAAAATGAAATAATATACTCCCTCTATTTCATTTAACTTGATGTTTAAGGGATTTTGTTTTTCATTTTAAGCGCTGTTTTCAAGTTTTGATGCAAAATATTTGTGTTTATGTTTACTTTTATTGTTTGAATTATGCACAGTTTACTTGGTTGAATCATTGACTTAAGTATAATAAGATAATTAAGAGATGCAGATATAATCTGAAGCTTTAATTGATCGGAGCACATACCAGGAGTGTCAATGACATTGATTATTGGGCCATCTGGTATCGCGGCTCTATACATCTCACATTTCATCGTAACACCTATTGCCTGTTTTCTGGAGATGAACAGTTTTTGACCGAGGAGGGTGTTCCCGGTGGCGCTTTTTCCATTACCTGTACGCCCTACTAGAACTATATTCGTAACGGGTTCTGACGCGGACGGCAATTCAAAATCAGCCATGTTCTGATCACCGGCAGTTCTTTATTAAGTTCTGCACGTACACATGTTGATCCAAAGAAAAAAAATCAAGAAATGGAAAATATCGAAAAAAAGAATGAAGAAAGGAAGAAGTTAACTAGGGCAGTCTACCAAATTGAAACTGGGAAGCTTTATTATCTTTTTGTTAGTGAAGAACAAAAGAAAAATGAATGGACAAGTTAGTGGATGAAACAATTCAAGTTTAAATAGAGTACATATCACTTGCCCGAGATTGTGTTGGTCTTAGTTAAGAAACATCAATTGCTATTCATATATGTGCGGTTGAGTTTGTTTATGTTTATTTTTGGTAGTGTGATTAATTTTCTTATTGAATTTAAATTGTGTATAGTATAATTTGGAACTGGAAACAGTAAACGAAACAGAAAGGACAAGACGAGTTCTCGAGGATTGACTTTGGCCTAAACAAAACAAAGGAACCGAATTATTGTACTTTTTTGCTTTGCAGCAATTTTTTCTACTTTTAATTTGTCAAGTTCCTTAGTGGAGACAATTTAAGTTTTCTTTCAAGTTTCTTTGCAGCAAGGCTTATAACTCGGAAGTATTCTTTCAAGTTTTTTTTCGAACTATACACCCCTTGTGAGCTACTGCATTTGTAAGAACTCATGTTTATAAGTAAATGTCTGAAATTTTGCCGTCTCTTCAAGATTCCCGATCTTGATTAGTACATCTCCCCGAAAATAAAAAAAACTGCCGTCTCTTCAAGATTCCCGATCTTGATTAGTACATCTCCCCGAAAATAAAAAATAACTTGTTTTTTTTCCCAAGAAAACTGTGAAAAGGGAAAGGAAAAAAGGTTTGGACCTTCCATAACTCGAGTCTTTAATGTATATTTAACATATTTACCCCATGACCACATATCAAAAGAGGGATTCTTTTGAGTTACATGACAATTGTTTTCTTTTTTGCTGATTATCTCTGCTTAACTACACCAACAAAATGATGGGCCCCATGTTTAAATCCTGAAATAAGACTGCAAATGTACGTACAACAAACCTAAATAGGAGTAAATCTTGTACTGGTAGTAGTAATGATGAAAACAAAAGTACGGTTAGCAAAAATTCTTGATCATGTCATTAACCGTAGTTACCTTTAAGAAACTAATACATGTATATATACCAAATTGATCTCCATAAAAAGGAAACTGTTTCCTTAAAGGAAAAAAAAAAGGTCTCCATAACAAATGTTTAGCTAGCCATCATCTTAAAAAAAAAAAAAAAAAAAAAAAAAAAAAAAAAAAAAAAACTCTAATCAGAAATGCTTGTACAAGGGTAACAAGGACCAGTTCTGCAGGCTGCAGGCTACCTATATTAACTGAGGATTTTATATCAAACCAAAAGAAATTGTTTTATAGTCGTTTAAAAATGCTAGAAAATATACTCGAAATTTGATCATTATTATTGTTCTGTACTTCTGTTGCGTTTGTTCATATTGCTTACATAATTCACATTATACCAATCAAACTGCGCATATGTGTGGTCTCATGACGTCTTTGGCCGTATAGGATTATGATTTATGACTCAAGTTTATCTCACGGCTGAAACCTAGTCGGATAGTTTTCCAGGTCGGACAAGACAGCAAGCATTAACAGAATCAACCCCCAAAAGTCGTCTTGTCCTTTCTGCTACTTTACCGTTTCCAATTTCATATATATATTATAAGCAATCGAATTTACATTAATAACATTATATATGCTTGACATACATAAAACAAAAAGAACACTATGTATATACTCAACTGGTACAGAAATAACAAGAAAAGAAGTTTCCATGTAAATCCCAAAATGCCTTGGTTGCTACAATATATCATACAAACTTTCTTCTATTTAAACTTCAGATTACATGTAAATCCCAAAACTTATTGGGTCCCTTAATCTATTAAAGACTAATCAGATTTCTTGTTTTTTGTTTACTCTGCTCCGGAAGTACTAACTAAGAAAGGTTAAGAAAGCTCGTGAGTTTCCTTATTTTGCTAATTTTTAGATATCTCACGTCACTCATATGTTTGAATGAAATAAAGATTTCACACATTTAAGGTTTTCACGGGTAACCAATGATCCAAGGTTTATTTTCTTTAGAACATCACTGAATAGTCCATGGCTTCTGGGTCCGAGACCGTGAAAAACATAGTTCTGTGGGACGTGCAGGCAACGGAAAAAGTGCCACCGGGAACTCAATCATTAGAAGACCAATATTCACATCAGGTACCCAAGCAACAGGTGTTACAATGACATGTCAAACATTTAGAACTGTGACACCAGGTGGCTCTATAATCAATGTGATTGACACTCCAGGTATGTTTTTGCTCCCTTGACACTCTTTGAACGAAACATCATGAATATCTTATTTAACATAGTTTTGAGCTTATATAACGTTGCTAAGTAGTCTGGAATTTTATATTAAATTCGTGGCATATAGATTTAACAAAACTCCATCATTAAAATTACTAAATATTTATAATATAATTGAGTGTTGTGTTAGGAATTTAGGAATCAAAAGTTTGATGGGATAAAGATATGGGTCAATCTGTGGATTATCAATTGATTTTAAATTGGAAGCTCATGAAATTTGGTAAGGTGATTCAAATAGGGTTTATCCCTAATATATTAAAAAAGAAAACACTTTAAAAGACAAAATAATCTTTAGCTGATGTGTTATTAACAAGAATTCTATGTTGATGTGTCATCACTAAAGAGCTTCTTAGATTAGTTATGAAATAAGGGTTAACTTAGTAGAACAATTACAAACATTGTTATTCCATATTTTTGGTTAGAGAATCAAATGTATATATTATTAAATTAATCATATATAACTATTAATGAAATAAATTATCAATTCTCTTTTCCTTAATTGATCACTACATGAACAGGATAGTGAGGAATTTCCATACCTAAAATCAGAATTATTGAGACGGCCTTTTCCACATAAAAAGGGAATCTTTTGTTACAATAGAAGCAGAAGTGATGTGGATTATTCAAGAATCGAAGTCGATTTGCTTTAGAAAAAGAAGATATCAATGAACTTCTCTGAAATGGTTTCACGGATTCAGCCAATTGTCTTGATCGTGGGATACGATTGAGAAATAGGAATCCGTGTTATCAAAAGATTTCCTGCGATTCTTTCTAGTATGGAATGAGTCAATCATCCACTTTGGTATCTTATTGAACAAAAATGGTGATATTGTTCCTCCATTGATCAAGAATTTCGATTTTTGAGAAGTATTATGATCATCCAATAAAAAGGGTTTCAATTTTTTCAAATGAACGATTTGAAGACCTATTGATTCTAAAAACTGATTGCATAGTTGATCGTTCGGACCTTTCAATTCATAGATGTGGATCTCAGACCTATGAATGGGGATATTCTCGAAACTCACAAAGAAAAAAGGAAGTGAGTTAGACAAAAAGAGAAGTAACTTGGAAAAAAAAAGAAGTAACTTGGACAAAAAGAAACGAAGTGACTTAGACAAATCTTTTTTATCAATAACCTCAGAACTATTCTTCTGAAGTCGGCCGCCATTACCACCGTTGATCTTGACGGCGTTTCTGTTTCGTCAGCTAGGGTTAGCTGTCTTTCCTCACTTCATGGGCTGGGCCCTTGTATTCTACTTGGGTTGGACCCTTGTAACTTTCCTGAGCTAGACCCTTGTAATTTCTATGGGCTTTGCCTATATTTTCTTCTTTGGACTACAATTGGTTTTGCTCTGATTTTTCTTATCAAGAATCATGGTGCATTGATTAAGGAGAGGTTTCCAACGATTTCCTCCTTTCATTTGGAAAGTTATTCGGCATTCCTTTTTATTAAAGGATACTATCTCCTGGTTTCAAAACCGGAGTTAGCTGCCAATTCCCCTACTGCGCTTCCTGGTGTCGCGGTTGAGGAGTGGTTTTCTAGTTACAAGGCAAAGTAACTTCAGCTCGATCTTAGCATTGCTGTGGTGATCTCCATGACGCAAGCGAGTTACGGATCCATTTTGCTGTCATTTTATCTTAAATATCTATCTACTTTCAGGTTATTTGCTTTGTTGTTGTATTGTATTTTGCTAAGAGGATGGATAATTCCCTCAGATGGCAAGTTAAGATCAATGAAAGTTTGTGAACAAAAAAAAAGGAAGATATGAGATTTAAATTAATTCTATGATAATACTTTCTTTTAAAATCATCATATATCTCCTATTATCTTTGTCTGAATCACAATATAAAAAATTTAATAAAGAAAATTTAAAACTTTTTCTGTATACGCTATAATTTGAATTTTTAAATACAAAATAATGTAAATTGTTTAGTACATAACCTCATTTACTAGGTATCTAAACGTAAATTATTATTTTTATTCTATTTAATATGGTTTATTAATTAATTTCTATATCAAATAGATTAAAAAAGTTATTTTCTAAATATTTTATTTTGATTAAAAATTTAAATATTACTCCATTTGTTTCAACTTCCAATATAAAGTTAATTATATTTTTATTATTTTGACAATTTGGATTATGTATATTCTTTTCTTATTAATTGGATTATTTTGAAATTATAATAAAGCATGTTTTAGTTTTAAAAGAAAGTAAAAAAAATAGTTATAATCTGTGTACACTCAACTAAAACTTCTTATCTTATAAAATACATGTATAACTTTTTCAAAAGAAAAATGTTTTATTTTCAGTTTTTTGTTTGTTTTATAAACCATCTTATTATATTGTAGTGATTTGTGTAATATGTATCTTCCTTAAATCTATTGTATTTAATTTATGATTGCAAGACTTTTATTTATTTATCATTTTAAAAAATAGTTTAAAATGCTTAATTTTCATACCATAAACGAATAAACGAAGACAATAATCTAACAAAGGTTAAAATTTCGTGATATTAAATTTCAAGATATTTAAATAAACATCTTTTAATAAAAATACAAATCCAGAAACCATCACCCCGTGCAGGGCGCATGTCAAACCCTAATTCAATCTTAAAGTGGGATTCAGCTCATGATGGGATATTTTCCAATCCACTAATTGCTAATTATTTTAAATTTAAAAAATAAAAAGTCATTTTCTCCATGAAATAATATATTGAGGCCGGCTTGATCTCGGTTGGTGACTCAGGTAGTCAGGTTTGTTTGATTTGATAACGAAACCGGACGTTATCAGTAAGGAGATCGTTAGATGCCTTGCTCTGGCGGAAGAAGGACTACAGTGGTGCTGGTTCTATCTGTGAGAGGTCGGATTACGAAAGAGGAAGAGGACGCCCTTTGCACGCTGCAGATCCTCTTTGGGGCTACAATCCTTGACTATTTGTTCGTATTATTCACCGGTGGTGATGAGTTAGATAGTGATAACCAGACGTTGGAATCGTATTTGGCCGAGTGCCCTGATTTTCTGAAGGTCGGCGATTCCATATTTTATTAAAACTTTGGATTACACGCAACATATGTTTCTGTCTATTAATCTAAATATGGTTTGTGCAATTTTCAGGATATCTTCAGCTTGTGTGGCCACAGAAAGGTTTTGTTTTATAACAGGACTAAGGATGAAGACCAAAAGAATAGACAAATCCAACAGCTTCTCGACCATGTTGCAGCTATTGGAATAAGAAATGGTGGGAAACCGTTTACGGAACGGATGCACCATAAGATAAAGGTGAGACTCTTTTGAAAAGCCTCCCAGATGCACCACTCTGTTAGAATATATGTTGATTGTGAATATGTGGTTTCTCAGGAAGAGACCATGAGGCATAGGAAAGAGGTAAAAGAAGCTGAAGCTAGGTTTTTAGCAAGAGAGATAGAACAAGTGAAGAAGAAGTTAAATGAGGAACATGAGCACAAGATGAGGGAAATGGCAAATATGGTTAGTATATTTTTTTGTTGACTTGATTTGTACGTAATCAATCAATGGGTCATAGAGGCTTGAGAATCTCTTGCCGTATTCAGGTTCCAAGTCAGTGAGAGTTAATTTAACTCATAATCTTTCAGGTGGAGGAGGTAATAGGAAATGCTTGGCAGGAACAGCAGAGATTGAAGCGTGTAATCGAATACCTGGGGCAAAGGAAATCATGCAACATCATGTAATCGGTGCACCCAATCTAGCGAATAAAGATCGGTGAAGACATAGTCAAGGCCTCTCTGGTCGTGCACTTCACGTGTTTTTTTATTTCTTCATTTTTTTGTGTGCTTTGTTGATTTCGTTTGCATTCCCCGATATGATTTCCTAACGATCCTCACAAGTGTTGTGCCCAAAAACTTTGTAAGTAAAGCTTACTGTGCATATGCATACTTTACAAAATTCATATGTTTGTGAAATCTTTATTGTTCTCATTTTTGTCTCATATATAAAATGCTTTGTTTCTTCTTTATTTTTTGATAAAGGGTTTTCATTAATTAAAAGTTACCATTACAGAAGAGAACAAGATTAGAAGAGAAGATTAAGTTTTGGCTTAAACTAAAGAAGCTTCTAAAAAAACTAGAATCTTAAAGTAGATGACAAAGAGCCTATAGCTTAGATTTTGGGGTGATAATTGCCAAGCCACGACCACGACAACCTCGATTTTGCGACCGTTGCATCTTTTGAGAAGGTTTTAAACGTCTACCTCCTCGGGACTTTTGCGCATCACTTACAAAAACTCCATATTTTTCAAAAAGATCACCAAAAGTACATTTATTCTCAGCCACTTTATCCTCTGATCCGGAATGTGGGAAAGAGATGAAGTATAATCAATACTTAGGAGGAGGATTCTTGCTTAAGGGAGCAGTGAAGGGTTGAGTGTCAACAGTTTTGTTTAATGCCCACACTTTTGTGGTCCAGTGGTAAGGGGAAGCCTTGGTGAAGGGTGAAATTCCAAACTCGGGTTCGATCCTCCCTGGAAACAAAAATCACATTTGTGTGGGAAGTCTGTCAGTTGGGCCTAGGCCCAATTGGTTTACCTGGTAATCAAAAATGCAAGCGGCCTGATTACGCATTAGTCGGAAGGCACTACAAACTCAGGATAGGCAGTGTGGTAGTCCAAAGGATGAGTCCACTTTGTAGCACCTCGGTGCGTTCCTACCGGAGCTAACCGGAAGCCGATAGGATCTATCAAAAAAAAAAAAAAAGTTGCTTTGCTTCTTTATTGAGATTAAATTATTGTCCGAATAATGATGGATTCTTGGCGATATTAATCTACGTGATAATTTTTGGCTCGGGTTGATATATTTGATAATACGTAAATATTCAAAGAGGTATACATCTTCATTCTTACAGTGGAAGGAATGTTTAAAAGAATTTTATCGGCAAACGAGCTTGCAAAATGTCCGGAGACACCCTCTCTAGCATTTCAAGAAAATTGATAAAATGCACACAAAATATAAGTATATAAAAAAGGAAGAATGGATCACACAAAATTTCGTTCCCACACCAAACTCTGTGGTGGATCCTTATTAGTAGTTTTTCAGCAGAGTTTGGGACGTCAGTCACATAATGTTGCATTCTACCTGTAAACTTCGTCGAGGGAAGGGAAGTAGGCTCTGGATCTGTTGGCGCTGCCGGCCTTGTTGGCCCTGCTGAAGTATCTCTTTCAGCTCACGCATCTCTCGTTCATGTGTTGCTGCGCTCTGTTTTAGTGCATGCTCAACCTGAAAGAATCCAAATAATATCAAATTAAGCCCATGTGGTGAAGAATAATAAGTATACACATATTCAAGGTTTATGAATATCAATTTACCGCCTGTTGAATCATGCCAATGGTGTGGTCATGCTCTATGCGTAACTTCTCCTTCATCACTGCTATATCTGCATCTGCAAGGTTCTTAGATTCTATCTCCCTTTCTTTCTTCCTGAGCTTATCATTCTCTTCCTGAGAAACCAAAGATTCAGACATCTTAAATCTAATGTTTGCACAATTAGTGCATGATGTTTATATTATGGTTCTTATAGACATTGTTTTTTTTTTTTTTGGAATTTCAAGCATATTTATTTTATATATATTTTGCTACACAATAATTGAAGAAAAACACATTTTCTGCATAAATACAAGAAATATTAGATATTTGATACGCGTTTGTGCAGGTACAAATTTAAAAAAATTTGGATACATAAAATTGATTCAAATATTATTAATTACTTGTGAGAAATTTAAATGCTTTTTTGTATAAATAAAACTTTATGAGGGTGTTATTCAGTTACGTATTTGAAATAATTTTATAGGTTTTATAATCCTTTAGATTTAAAATATTTGTCTTATTTTAAGAATTCATATTAGTTGATTTTAAATCTTTGCAATATCTTATGGGTTCTGTTTTAAAAAGTTTACTCATCGAACTCCATTAGAATTCATTTCAAATGACTAAGTTAACAAAGATTTTAAAAGTCATTTAGTTTTGAATAACACTGGATTTTAAAACTGGATTTAAAATTTTGATTGAATAACACTGAATTTGAAACTCTATTAATGATAGATTACAAATCATATATCGAATAACACTCGATTTTACTTACAGTATAACCTCTATAAAGTAATACTCGATAAAGTAATACTTCGATAAATGCATAGAATTTTCGAGTCCCAAATTAAGGTTTTGGTCTAATTATTACTCGATAAATTAATAATCTCGATAAAGTAATAAAATATTATAGCTCCAACATTATTACTTTATAGAGGTTTTACTGTAATTGAATAATACTGGGTTGTAATTCAATTTCAGTTCATTTCAAATATAACATCCAATAACACCCCTACATGTTTTTATAAGCCCTTAACTGTTTGGAATTCTCGTCATATAGTTTTGTACAATATACTTTAATAATGCATTGTTAAAAAACATAAACGAAAATTCAAGGGGGAATTGCTCAATATAGTACATAATTTGATTTGAAATGCAAAACTAACCCCTTATTGCACTTATGTCAAAACTAGTCTTTTGGGCATGTCAAATTACAAACTACACCCTTATGAACAAACAAAAAAACGAGAGCCACAATGTCTGTTTTACCCCGTAAAAAGTCTACTTCAAATTAGACTTCACAATGAAGTATGCTTTATAATTACAACTTAGATTTAAATTATAAATTTAAATAAAATTAATTTGACTAAAGACAATTATACATAAATAAAATTAACACATTTTGCATCCATTAAAAATAAAACTGCATAAAAATGAATCCATTCAAGTCAAGTAAGATTAATTATGTTTGTAACATTTAAACTATGTGAAGTCTACTCGAAAAGTCTAATATATGAAAAAAAAATCTTAAATTTAAATTTTAAAATTTATTAAAAAATATTTTGGTAAAAAAATTTACACATAACTTTAGCACAAACAATTACTATCCATGAAAAATAAAGTTTCATATAAATTGATCAATTTAAATATAGTAAGACAAATTATGTTATAATCCAAAAAAATTATGTAAAGTCTACTGAAGAAGTCTACTAAAAAACAAAATTTTAAATTTAAATTTTAAAATCTATAAAAAACAATTTTGATAAAAAATGTTATACATAATTTAAATAGGGACAAGTCCTATCTATGTAAAATAAAATTTCATGAAAATGAATCAAGTTATAAGTTTCATGAGTAAACCAATCACCAAGTTTAGTGTTTGAGGTATTTTATATAGGGTTTATGATTGTCATTGTTAGGGTTTAGATAGTTTTGACAAAAAAAAAATGTTTGTGGTTCGTTTAACAATTTAAAACTTACCAATTCGTAGTTTATAATGTAAATTGTGATGATGTGTACATAATTAATGTTTCCTATAGTCTTGATCTTAAAAATTTGTTTTAGGGTTTAGGGTAAATCAGACTTCAGTGTTAGACTTCACCACGAAGTCTGTAACAAAAAAAAATGAGCGGGAAACGAAATATTTTCTAAGAGTTGGCGGGAATTGGAATATACTAAATTGATTTATTGAATATTATAATCGATTTGGGAGACTTCATGCGTAGGCTTCATCGTTAAACTTAATTGAGAAGTCTAAAATTTAAAATAAAAATTCTAAATTTTCTAAATAAACCTGCGTCAATAGATTTCATGTATATACTTTTTGGGTAGACTTTGTGAATAAACTTCATTTTAGATCTGTTTAACCGAATTTTTTTTTAATTAAACCAGAAAATTTTACTCTCATATATAAACAAAATGTAACCTAATTGTGTTAAAATCAAAATCTCTCCCTTAGAACAGCGGCGTCTCCCTTTCCCCTCTCTCTCTCCTCTCGAGTCTCGACATGCATGAATTTCCTCTCCACTGCTCTCTAGCTTCGAAGTCGTCGCATCATGTTCCTCTCAATCGCTGTCGTCACTGGTAAGCCGCCGTTCTTCTCTCCAGATTCGATATGGTTAGATCTAAGCCGCAACCTAACATATTGGAGTTTTTTTTTTCCGGTGCTTCTGCGACGGTCGTGGTTGTTAAAATACCAACACACTTCCGCTCTAAAACCGCTTAACTGGAGCTTCCAGATCCTGCCGTGAGCTTCCATATCCCGCCGTCTACTTGCAAATATCTAAAATGCTAATCAGACAAGAAAACCAATTTTACTTGGTATATAACATATAAACATGTCAGACTAACACTAGAGCACATAAATAGACTAATACAACTAATTGTTCAATAAAATCTAAAAATTTCGTTATACAATTTCTAAAAATGCGTTTTAAAAAGATAAATCATAAGGTAGATTTCTTTTGTCGACTTCAAAGGTAGACTTCTTCATAAAGTCTACTTACTAATTAATGTCTAAAGTGCTAATTAAATAAGAAAACCGTTTAAACTTAATATATAACGAATAAGCATATAAAACCCATACAAAAGCAACTAAATAGACTAATACAACTAACTATTAAAAAAAAAATTCAATGTAGAATTTTCAAAAATGCGTTTTTAAAATAAAGGTTATATATTAGACTTCACAAGGAAGTCTACTATGTAGACTTCTCAATGAAGTCTAACAGACTAGTTTTGCAATTAACGAAACAAATAATTTTTTGATAAGTCTAGCCGTGAAGTCTACTTTTAAAAAATGATTAGTTTTGCAATTGACCTAACGTTTACTTTTCAGAATAGACTTCATTAATGTACTTAGACTTCAGTTTAAAGTTTAACTTCATAATAACGTCTACCGGTGAAGTCTACGGACAGAGTTAAACTTCATATGGATTAGTTTTGCAATCGACCGAATTTTTAACTTTGGTAAGTAGACTTCACGGGGAAGTCTAATTCAATAAACGTTGACCATTAGACTTCAATTAGAAGTCTATCATATATTAGACTTTGCCGTGAAGTCTACCCGTGAGTAGACTTCATTGTGAGGTCTAATACAGCCTAAATAGACTTCATGAATCAACTTCACAAAAAAGTCTTGCGTGGTCAATTGCAAAACTAGTCTTTTTTTAAGCAAACTTCACGGTTAGACTTCTCTTAAAAAGATTTTACTCAGCATCATACAAAACTAATCTGTTTCGAGTTCGACTTCACGTCGTTTTTTTGTTTTCAAAGGAATATGGGATAGACTTCATTGTGAAGTCTAACTCTTCAAAATTTGGAAAAGTCAATTGCAAAACTAGTATGTGAGTTGACTATTAGACTTCATTGTGAAGTCTAATTCGCGGCAAAAATATGAAATTTACTTAGATCTCCCAGAATTTTACCTTGCCGTGATCTTAAGTTACATCGACGGCCCATCAATTCGTCAAACTTTCCCAACTGTTAGAATGAGCTCAGACATCAAAAATGGCAAGATCTAAGAACCTTAATTTTGAAAAGATGAAAAACTAAGTTTTTTGGGTGAAAATGGAGAAGAAAGATGAAAAACTAAGTTTATGATATAATAGAATGAGTTGGTAGATATGTTTGAAGAATAAATCTTGCATTCAAAGCTTCATTTTGGTTGAAACTGGTTGTTGGATGAATTGATGGTGATGGCATTATCGTGAATAAGTGAAGAAGATGAGGTTTCTTTGGACATTTATTTTATGAATTATACTTCACAGTTAGACTGTGTGGAAAAAAGTAACGGTATTTTCGTTATTATGTAAATATGGTAAGAATAGAGAAGGAAGGAAAAAACACATTTTATAATGGAGACTACTTTTGTATTTGATCCCAAATTTTGTTCTAGAAGTGAAAGAAGCCCAAAATTCAATGCTTTATGTAACAAGACTGTAAATTACGGTGCATATTGTCAAAAGGCAAAAGCATATATACATGAATTAATTAAATCCGAAAATAAATCAAACAAATTGAATTAAAACAGTTTAATTCAATTACATCAATTAACCAGAATCAAATCAATTTAAACCAAAATAAACCAATTAAATCAATTAATTCAATTAAACCAAGATAAATCATCACAGAAACAACCAAAATACCATGAAAAAAACTCATCAAGAACAACCACAAACCAAATCTAATCTAGCAAATTGCGGATCCACAGTCATGCACTCACCTTGACAATAGATTGAAATTGAAGGAAATAGGAAAGACAATGAACCGTGCTGAATCCCGACGATGAACAGTTCCCCGATGAACAGTACTTCGATGAACAGTAACAAAATTCTGCTCCAGAAACTCCACTTTTCTCCTCTGCAGCCTCTGAACTCGAAAATTGTGCCAAAGAGAAGACGGTTGCACTATTTTAAACTTGATTTTTAGGGCTTTCTCCACTAAACCAGCCCAAACCAAATCACTTAAATTGAACCGACGGATTTCCCAATTTTTTTTTGGTTTATGGATGTTACAACTCTCCCCCACTAAACTGGATTCGACCTCGAATCCCAACACAAACGTCACAAAGACCACAAAGATCCGACCTCGCAAGGCCACAGAATCGGAGATCCTCACCTAATCCCCGAGACTCACGTCTAATCTTATGTTACACGCCCGTCTCTAGACATCTTTACTCTTAACTCATCACCTCAAACCACTTGTATTGGGGCCACTACACCCAAACAAGTCTGCACCTACCCAAAAATGAGGAAAAACTGCATCTCATTAAAACTCCAAAATGTAAATCGTTACAACGAAAACGAAAATACAATAACACCAAAGCCAAAAATAACAACTGAGGCTACAAAGATGAAATAAGCTCACTCCTCGACCTGCTTGTCGAACCACTTCCTGAACTTCAACTTCATCTTTGCCTCTGGCTCCCAAGTCTCCTCTGTAGAACCACTGCAATCCCACAAAATCCTCAGTAAGGGAATCCTCTTGTTCCTCAGAACCTTTTCCCTCCTCTCTAAAATCCTCAGGCACTGGGTCAAATCTGGCTGAAGATCCTCTGGAATCCTAGCCACTAACTCCTCTGTAGGGTGAAGACACTTCCTCAGCATCGACACATGAAAAACCTTGTGAAAGGCTTTCATAATCTCAGGCAACTCCAGCCTGTAAGCCAATGGCCCAACTCGCTCCACTACTGGAAACGGACCCATAAATCGCGGACTCAGCTTGTTCTCTGCTATGGATCTGTTAGGACCCCTCAACATAGCCATCTTGAGATAAACTCTATCTCCACCTGAAACTCAAGCTCTCGTCTGCGTCTATCTGCATAACTCTTCTGCCTATCCTGAGCCTCCTTCATGTTCAGCCTCACAACACGACCTTCTCTGTCGTCTCCTGAACATAAGTAGCTCCATACATGCTGCGCTCCCCCACTTGGGTCCAGCATAGGGGTGTCCTACATGGCCTCCCATACAAAGCCTCAAATGGAGCCATGCCAATACTCGCCTGAAAGCTGTTGTTGTATGCAAACTCAACTAAGCTCAGGTGATCTGCCCAATGGCCACCCCAATCCAACACACACATCCTCAGCAAATCCTCCAAAGTCTGAATAGTCCTCTCTGACTGACCATCTGTCTGCGGATGATAAGCTGTACTCAGATGCACCTTAGTGCCCATCTCTGCCTGAAACGCCCTCCAAAACTCTGAAGTGAATCTGGGATCACGGTCTGACACAATACTAGCTGGCACTCCATGCAGCCTCACAATCTCTCGCACAAACTTCCTAGCCAAGACAGCAGCTCCATCTGTCTTCTTGATGGCCAAGAAATGTGCGGACTTAGTCAACCGATCCACAATCACCCAGATAGCATCGAAAGTCCTCGAAACAGGTAGTCCAACCACGAAATCCATCGTAATCCTGTCCCACTTCCACTCTGGAATGGGTAAACTCTGCAAAAGACCACCCGGAACCTGATGCTCTGCCTTCACCAAGGCACAAGTGTTGCACTTCGCAACCCAGTCTGCTACATCCCTCTTCATCCCGACCCAATGATAGTACCTCTTGAGGTCATGGTACATCTTGGTCGCTGGATGAATGGAAAACTTGCTCGCGTGAGCCTCTCCCAAAATCTGATGTCTCAACTCCACATCCTTAGGCACACAAACTCGCCCACGAACCAAGATAGTCCCATTCGCAGAGACCTCATACTCAGAACCAGTCACTCTCGTCGCATCTAGCAAACTCTGATCACTCTGCTGAGCAACTCTGATCCTGCTAAGTAGATCCGCCTGATCCACTGCCTCTAAACCCAAAGGCTCCTGCGAAATGGCACACAAACGCAAGGTACTGATCTCGCCAACTAGAGACTCCACATCTCGCTCAACTGCGGAATCATACCTCCGTCTACTCAACGCGTCCGCCACTAGGTTAGCCTTGCCCGGATGGTAGTTAATGCTCACCTGATAGTCCGCCAAGAACTCAACCCAGCGCGTCTGTCTCGCGTTCATCATCGGCTGAGTGAAGATATGCTGCAAACTCTTGTGATCCGTGAAGACCTGTACTGTCTCACCTAGCAAGTAAGACCTCCAAATCTTCAACGCGAAGATCACTGCTCCCAACTCTAAGTCATGTGTAGGACGGTTACGCTCACTGCCCTGCCACTGTCTCGAAGCATATGCTATCACTCTGCCCTCCTGCATCAGCACACAACCAAGACCAATGCCTGAAGCATCTGTATACACCATGTAAGGCTTCCCTGGCTCGGGTAACGCCAACACTGGTGTAGTAGTCAACATCTCCTTGAGCTGACTAAAGCTCTCCTCACACTCAGCTGACCAAACAAACGGGACATCCTTCCCAGTCAACTTCGTCATCGGCTGCGCCATGGTAGCAAACCCCTTGACGAACCTCCTGTAGTATCCTGCCAAACCCAGAAAACTCCTGATCTCGTGGCACTACTAGGTCTAGGCCAATCTCTGATAGCCTCAATCTTAGCCGGATCCACAGAAACTCCCTCTGCAGAAACAATGTGGCCAAGAAATCCCATCTCTCGCTGCCAGAAACTGCACTTGCTCAACTTAGCAAAAAGCTTCTGCTCCCGAAGCTTCTCCAGAACCAACCTCAAGTGAGTCGCATGCTCCTCCTGACTCCTCGAGTATCGATGATGAATCAAACACGTCCAAATACTCCCTGAACACGTCGTTCATCAATCTCATGAAGGCTGCCGGCGCGTTAGTCAAACCGAAAGGCATAACCACAAACTCAAAATGCCCATAACGCGTCCTGAAAGCAGTCTTCCTGACATCTGCCTCATCTATCGGGATCTGATGATAACCCGATGCCAAGTCAATCTTGGAGAACCAAGTAGCACCCCTCAACTGATCCAACAACTCATCAATCCTCGGGAGTGGGTACTGTTCTTCACAGTGACTCGGTTAAGACCTCTGTAATCGATACAAAGTCTGAAACTGCCATCCTTCTTCTTCACAAACAACACCGGTGCTCCCCACGGTGAAACACTCGGTCGAATGAACCCCTTAGACAAAAGGTCCTCTATCTGCTTCTTCAGCTCTGCCAACTCAGCTGGCGCCATCCTGTAAACACTTGGTCGAATGAACCCCTTAGACAAAAGGTCCTCTATCTGCTTCTTCAGCTCTGCCAACTCAGCTGGCGCCATCCTGTAAGGCGTCTTCGATATCGGTGCTGTCCCCGGCTCTAACTCAATCGTGAAAGGATCAGACCGAGATGGTGGTAATCCCTTCAGTGACTGAAAGACATCCTCAAAATCCTGGACAACCTCAATATCTCCCATAACAACTCCAGCTCCTGACTCAGACATAGAAATCGTCGCCAGATACGCCTCACAGCCCCGCTCTAACAACTGCTCGGCCTGAATAGCAGATATCACAATACTCCCGGAAGTCGGTCTCACTCCCTGATAAACCAACCTCCCTGCATCTCGCTCGAAGACCACTCTACCTCTGTAGCAATCCAGATGAACTCTGTAGTGTGACAACCAGTCCATCCCGAGAATAACGTCATACAGCTCCACCGGACTGATGACTAAGTCTGCTGGCATTGACTGCCCCGCAATCTCGATCTCGACTCCTCTAGCACGGCCCAAAGTAGACAAGAATCCACCTCCCGCCACCTTGACCATGCCCGCGCTCTCGCCCGCGCTACTCCGGATGCCACTCTTCTCGGCACGCTCCGGTGTAATGAAGCAATTCGATGCTCCAGAGTCGAATAAAACGTGGGACTCAAAACCGCCCACTAACAAGGTCATTACGAAACACATGCGTTGAGAACCTCAACAATTTTATCACAGACAAAAAGAACAAACTACAACCACCACAAATGCGCTCCACTCAGATAGTGGACTGCCAACTCAACCTGGTACTAAACCAGAATCTGATAGACTGGAAATTCCGCTCCAATCTCTGACGCCACTCATCTGCCGCCTCTGGGCTAACTCCGCCCTCAAAGTACGGGTACCAATCCTCTGCATGTGCCCCAACATATCCAATAGGACGGCACCATCAAACCCACAGCCTGCGGCTGAACAAGAATTCGAGCCAATAGCTGCGTCATCAACCCCACAACCAGGTCATCACGACCATGAGCAGGAGCAGCACCCCCACCCGGAGCCACCCCAGCTCCCACGCTAACACTAGCGTCCAAACTGGCCTCACTCGCCATAGACTGGGTCGCTGACGCAGTCACCACTCTCAGCGCTGCACTCTCTCCCGAATCCGCCGAAAGTTCACGACCTCGACCCCGGCCTCCACGGTCTCTAGCTCTGCCACCACGGTCACGAGCACCGCGCCCTCTCGCGCAACGACCTCTAGCTACTCCGTCCATCTCACTCTATGGAACCGAAATGAGCAAATTAGACCACACAACAAAACTCAAACACAACATAAAACTCATTGCGGAATCTCTTGTAACTGAAGGGGTTGATACTAAATTATCAACCTAACAATCTGATGTACTCAATATTTACATCATTTAGACATATAATTTCATACATATTTGCATGTTCTTGACATTCATTTCACTCATTTTAGGTCAATTACTTCCATTGTGTACATTCATACCATTTAGAGCATACATTGCATACATTCTGCATTTGGAGTTGTATTTAGGTATTTTGAGGAGTTTTGGAGCTAGTTCGGAGATCAGAGTTTGAAGAAACGTTCATGAGCTCGCAACAGGATGGCAATCAGGATGTCAACCAGGATGTCAACCAGGTTCAGAAACCTGTTTCTCGCCTTTCAGCTGAGCGTTGACCGAGAGGAAGAGTTGACCCGCGTTGACCAAAGTCTGACCATTAGAAATGAAGACCAAAACGCAAAGTTTGGAGCCAAGACCATTTGGGGAAGGAAGAAGTCAAGCTAAATGAGTTGACCAAGGGTTTTGGAGTCTCCAAGTATAAATAGATTAAAGTCCTATTATTTTAGCACTTGTAATTTTCCCTTTCAAGAACACCATCCAAAGTCTGACCATTAGAAATGAAGACCAAAACGCAAAGTTTGGAGCCAAGACCATTTGGGGAAGGAAGAAGTCAAGCTAAATGAGTTGACCAAAGGTTTTGGAGTCTCCAAGTATAAATAGATTAAAGTCCTATTATTTTAAGCACCTTGTAATTTTCCCTTTCAAGAACACCAAAAACAGCCTCTTTTAGGATTCTTAACAATTTGTTAGATCCCAAGTTCGTTTTTAATCAAATCAAGTTCTTTCCTTCTACAATCTTCTTATCTTCTCTCTCTAATCATGATTAGAACCCTTTCCCCCATGGGATTTGGTGTTCTAAGCATGATTAGTGAGTAAATCCCTTTGGTCTTAGAGGATGGGATAGATTAGGGATTTTAGAGTTTGATTTTGATGTTTAGAGGTTAAATTCACAATACAATCCTTCCTTGTTGGGTTTTCTTAATGCTAGGTCTCTAATGATAATTTATATCTAGATTTTAAGCATTTCCCACATCAAAAGTGTTTGGAGAAATGTTGGACCAACCAACAAGGAGATTTGCTTGTCTAGCTCATGATAGTGAATGTTTAGAGAGCTTATTGGTTTAGGAGAATTGTTGCTTATTGCTGGCTTGAATCCTTTCCACTAATGAAAGTTAGCTCTTGGATTGGGTTCTTGCTTTGTGATTTTCACCATGAAAATGGGTTAATCTTGCTGCTTGAATTCTCTTCCTAGGATTGTTTGTCTAAACATCATTATCAACCTCTAAGATTCTCTAATCAATTACCCCATCCTAAGACCTCTTTCTTCCTTTAAATTCATCTACTTGCTTGATTCAATTTGGTTTCTAGCTTAGTCTTTGATTTCAAATTGCTTCAAACTCTGTTTATTGCCTTTATTTCTACATTTTTACTGTTCATTTCAGATTTCACAAAACCAAATTTTTTGCTCTTGACTTGAGAAATTTCTTGCATTCTTTCTTGCCCCAATCACTCTTCAAAGTGGATTGATAACCTTAAACTATGCTGCAATGATATGAGCAGGGATTAAGGGTTTGAAACACCTAGAAAGCTTGTTTTCAAACTGGCGCCGTTGCCATTTATAGAGATTTGATTGGGCATTTTCGATTTAGAAATTTCTGAAGATCAAGTTTTTATTTTCTCAATCAGGTTTTCAACCGGGATTTCAAACCGAGTTTTTCTTTTAACTTGCATTTGCTACTAATCTGGTCTTGAAGTTTATCTGTGCTTTTGCAGGTTTATGAACATAAGATCACGAGGTCAAGACAATTTGTTTGGGACAAGTGATCTTTCAGAGACCTAAACAAGAGAAACAGTCAAAGCAAGGCATGGATAGAGCTGAGCAGCAGCTGAGAGCTGAACAGCAGCCACCACTTGGGCGCAGTGCAAGCAATCTTTCTTGGCTAAGTTCTTTCCAACCTCAAGAACAGCACAACTGCGCAATGATATCTCCGGTTTCACGCAAATGCATGGAGAAACTTTCTGTGAGGCATATGAGCGCTTCAAGGGCTACCAGATGCAGTGTCCTCACCATGGTTTCTCTAAAGAGAATCTACTGAGTACCTTGTACAGAGGAACATTACCCAAATACAGAATGCATCTTGATTCAGCAAGCAATGGTTACTTCATGGGTAAAGATGTTGATGCTGGATTGATTTTAGTTGAGAACGTTGCCACTAGTGATGGAAGCTATGGTGAAGATTGTGACAGAGCTGAGAGAGGCAGTCTTGCTCAAGAAGAGAATCACAAGAAGGAGCTCAAGACTCTCAATGATAAGCTTGACAAGCTACTGTCAGGTCAGAAAAAGCAAGTGCACTTCATTAATGGTGAGGAGATTCAAGAGAAAAAGCTCAACTATGTGGACAGCCAAGATGGAAACCAATGGGTCTATTACAAGCACGGTTTTTCTCCACAAGATCTTGGGTCTACTCAAGCTCAAGGAAGCCACAATTCTGGTCAAGAGGCAGAGATGAAGACCATATTGCAACAGATAATCCAAGGACAAGCTAATGGTGCCTTAGAGTTGAACAAGAGGATGGTTGAGATTCACAATAAGGTTGATTGCTCATACAATGATCTAAACAACAAGTTTGAGTCTCTAACTACCAAAGTGCTTACCTTGGAAGCTAAAGTTGGTGGTTCTTCATCATCAAGTACAAAGGAGTATTGTCATGCAGTTTTCTCTACTAAAGATGGTGTGGCTGAGACTGAAGAGAATGAGAGAGCTATAGAAGAACTTTACAGGCTCCTTCATGGTACAAGTGTTGAGATTTCAGTGAATGAGAGACTTCTCAAGCTGAAAAACGAAATGCCAAGGAGGAAGCCTCAAAGATTGTTGCAAGAGAAGAAACCATCAAGGTTGAGCCTCCTCTTTACAAACCAGAGCTTCCATTTCCTGAGAGAGTTCTCACTAAAGCTCAAAAGAAGGTAGTCTCCACATTCAGGAATGATATGAGCAATATTGGTGTTCATCTACCCAACATAGGCAATATGCAAGAAGCTCACCTCCAAATGAGCTGATTAAGATGTTCTTGTGAACAAAGAGAGAGTGGCAGCGCTTCTTGAGCTCTCTACACCCCCAGATCCTGCCCATATCACGCCAACCTCCATTCCCAAGCTTGAGAAACAAGGGAAGTTCACATTGCCTTGCACCCTTGGAGATTTGAAGCTTGATGATGCTCTTGTGGATTCTGGAGCAAGTGTGAATCTGATATCACTTGCCATGGTTAAGCAGCTGGGTATAAAGAGCATGACGCCTCCTACATCTTCTATCATGTTTGGAGATGCCTCTTCTAAGTCTCCACTTGGTCTAATCAAGGATTACCCTTTAAAGATAGGAGACTGCAAGGTTCCAACTGATCTGACTGTTTTGGGTATGTATGGAGATAAGGAAGGTACCATTGATCCTTGGAACACCATTCCTTACAACTGTTGGAGCCTCAATTGACTTTCACAAGAAGCTGGTCACTCTCCACAATATCAACAGCAAGGTTGCATACCCAATGAAGGTTTCTTCAACAAGTTATTGTGGAACCATAACCATTGCCAATTCCAGCTTCAAGAAGGACAAGGTTGAGTGTGACAAAGTTGTGCATGTGCTTGATGAGTGTGGAGAAGATATTATGGATGGAGAGTGTCTCATTGATATGTTTAGTGAGCACATGGGACGTGCTCAGAAGGAGGAGGTGTGTAGAGGCAGAGAGGCCACTCTTAAGAGAAAGAAAAAGATGGAGAAACCACATCCTCACTCTCTTGATCCATCCCCAGGTGATCCAGTCAAACCCCACGGTTCTCTTGCTCATGCCATGGCTATCACTGTCAAAGGCGTGCAGCCCTTCACCATTCACTAGCAAGAGTTAAAGAAGGTCAAGCTTGGGACCTAAAACAAGCTCACTTGGGAGGAAGTCCCATGCTTATCCTTTTGTATATACTTAAGCTTTTCAATTTGTTTTTTTTTTGTGTTTGCCTTTGGTGCTTTTGTGTTGTAGGTTTGGTGCAGCTTGTTTGGATGAGGAATTGGGATGTTCTTGAGAGACCTGAGTTGATTGTCTAAAAATCAGATTGCAAAAACTTGACAGAATGGTCGCAATCAGGATTTCAAACAGGTTTGCTCCTCAGAACAACCCGATTCCCGTCTGAGCCATGTTAAATCTTTGAGGTCACCAGCTCTGGAGTACAGCAACGCATCTTACAGCCTTGAAAATCAATCATCCTCCTCCTCCATGAGTACCTGAGAGGTACAACTCCAACACATTGTAAATACTATGCATTTTTAGTCTTCTCTGTTTTTGCATTTTGTTTGATGGGTCTCTTCTTCAAGCTTTTATTTGCACAAGGGACTGTGCAGTTTAAGTTTGGGGGAGAGGTCCATAGCATTTGACCTTGTGTTCTGTTTTCTTATTTTCGATTTTCATCCTTGAGTCTCATGCATCATGTGCATTGCATCTATGTCATAGAGAAAACCAAAAAAATGAAAATTTTCAAAAATTGCATAACACAAAAAGAAAAGCATCATTTGCATTTGCACATTAGGATTGAGTCTAGATGCATCTCATGTAGTTACTTGCACTTGCATAAGAAAAAAAATATTGATCATTTCCATTAAAAGGTGTGATTTTTCGAAAAGTTTTCAATGGCCTAGTTGTTAATTATTTGGTGCATATTGAGTGAGTTTGAAGTTAAGATAGAACCACATTTGGAATGCACATTTTGACATCATGACTTGGTTGAATCATTGCTTTGAATTGAACTCTCACCTTATCTATTGGAACCTAATTTGATCATTTAAATATCATTCTCATGCATTAAAAGTTTCTGCTCATGGATTTTGTTTCCCTTGGACACTCTTTATCCAATTTTCATCCTTCTTTGTGTGTCCAAGTTTGTTTGATAACCCTCCCTACCAAACCTTTCTTTCAAGCCAAAGCTTTTACTGAGAGATGTGAGGCCTTTTCCAGATTGAGCTAAGCAAAAAGTGTTGAGTCTTGACCGACAAAGTTTGAGCTTCCATGTAGAACTAGCTCACGTTTTTGAGCTAGACTAGGCTTAGGAATTGGGTGGTTGGGAGTTTGTGAGGAAGAGAGTGAGTTTAAAAGAGACCTTGAGAGTGGCAGAAAGTAAAAAAGAGAAAGGATGGGAGAAAAGAAAAGAAAAGAAAGAGGAGAGTTAAAAAGAGTGGTGGCTGTGTGAAGTTGTCAAAGTTAGGCAAGAAAAAAAAAAAGAGAAAATCAAAGCCTAGAAAAGAAAAGCCTTAAGCCACAAAAGTTCAAAAAAGTTTACTCCTCTGTTTTGAAAAGAAAGTTTATCCTCCCTTAAGTCCTAGTTTATAACCCTCTCAAGGTCCAGAAAAGAAAGAAAAGAGAGAGTGTCATTTGGGTTCATTTGAGTTTCATTTTCTTGAAGAAAAGGGTAGCTAGGATTTCAGTGGGTATCTTTGGGTTCTCAGCTCTGTTTTGGGTAGATGGAAGTTCAGCTTTGTATCATCCTTGGACTTGACTCTTAGCATTTTGCCCAAGCTCAATCCATCTTTGAGAGATCCCTGTTTTAAAAATGAGTAAACCACTTTGGAGAAACCTTTCATATCTCCTAAAAAGCCTAAACCCTTAACCAAATGAGCAAATCTTGAAGTGCATGAGTTTTGATTCATGGTTTGTATTAATTGAATGTCAAAAGGTGAGAGTGATATGAATGCATGTGTAGATTGGGTCTAGTGTCATTTTGCTGTTTGATGAATGTGGCTAAAGTTTTTGAAGTAAAGCAAACTCACTTGCATCTTATAATTCTCAACTAGGACATTGATCTCATTTCTTCTCATTGCACCTTGGAATCTGAGTCTTTCTCCTAATCCAATACTCTCAGATTTGTTCTTCTTGCTTGAGGGCAAGCAAGTGATAAGTTTGGGGGTGTTGATGTACTCATATTTTACATCATTTAGACATATAATTTCATACATATTTGCATGTTCTTGACATTCATTTCACTCATTTTAGGTCAATTACCTTCCATTGTGTACATTCATACCATTTAGAGCATACATTGCATACATTCTGCATTTGGAGTTGTATTTAGGTATTTTGAGGAGTTTTGGAGCTAGTTCGGAGATCAGAGTTTGAAGAAACGTTCAGGAGCTCGCAACAGGATGCAATCAGGATGTCAACAGGTTCAGAAACCTGTTTCTCGCCTTTCAGCTGAGTTGACCAGAGGAAGAGTTGACCCGCGTTGACCAAAGCTTTGACCACTTAGAAATGAAGACCAAAACGCAAAGTTTGGAGCCAAGACCATTTGGGGAAGGAAGAAGTCAAGCTAAATGAGTTGACCAAGGGTTTTGGAGTCTCCAAGTATAAATAGATTAAAGTCCTATTATTTTAGGCACTTGTAATTTCCCTTTCAAGAACACCAAAAACAGCCTCTTTAGGGTTCTAAACAATTTGTTAGATCCCAACTTCGTTTTTAATCAAATCAAGTTCTTTCCTTCTACAATCTTCTTATCTTATCTCTCTAATCATGATTAGGACCCTTTCCCCATGGGATTTGGTGTTCTAAGCATGATTAGTGAGTAAACCCCTTTGGTCTTAGAGGATGGGATAGATTAGGGATTTTAGAGTTTGATTTTGATGTTTAGAGGTTAAATTCGCAATACAATCCTTCCTTGTTGGGTTTTCTTAATGCTAGGTCTCTAATGATAATTTATATCTAGGTTTTAAACATTTTCCACATCAAAAGTGTTTGGAGAAATGTTGGACCAACCAACAAGGAGATTTGCTTGTCTAGCTCATGATAGTGAATGTTTAGAGAGCTTATTGGTTTAGGAGAATTGTTGCTTATTGCTGGCTTGAATCCTTTCCACTAATGAAAGTTAGCTCTTGGATTGGGTTCTTGCTTTGTGATTTTCACCATGAAAATGGGTTAATCTTGCTTCTTGAATTCTCTTCCTAGGATTGTTTGTCTAAACATCATTATCAACCTCTAAGATTCTCTAATCAATTACCCCATCCTAAGACCTCTTTCTTCCTTTGAATTCATCTACTTGCTTGATTCAATTTGGTTTCTAGCTTAGTCTTTGATTTCAAATTGCTTCAAACTCTGTTTATTGCCTTTATTTCTGCATTTTTACTGTTCATTTCGGATTTCACAAAACCAAATCTTTTTGCTCTTGACTTGAGAAATTTCTTGCATTCTTTCTTGTCCCAATCACTCTTCAAAGTGGATTGATAACCTTAAACTATGCTGCAATGATATGAGCAGGGATTAAGGGTTTGAAACACCTAAAAATCTTGTTTTCACAGTCCTAAAACCGTCTAGGCTCTGATACAAAAATGAAACAACCAACACTTTTTTTTATAATTAAATACTAATCAATTCTAGCGAAGGTCTTTAAAATAAATTAAATAAATAAATATCAATAACAAATAAATCAGTTCAGCGGAAGCAAATAATAATTAAACAAGTCTAGCAAAACAATGCAAAATAATAAAACATAAACATCCTATCATCCCCCTCTTCAGCCTTGATTCCGCGATCACACAAATCTTTTACCTGCAACACATTGGAATGGAGTTGCATAAGTATTTAATAAATACTTAGTGAGGCAATCACTCTGCCTACGAGCCATTTACGCAATTTACTAGATATTTAATAATATTTATAAACTCCAATAATTATTAAATACCATTTTCCAATTATTAAATAATTATTAATAATTAAAACTCCATTTCTCAATTATTAAATAATTCTTATAATTAAATAATAATTTTCCATATTTTAAAATAATTAAAATAATTATTTTAAATCAATTAATTAATTAAATTTACCATTAATTAATTAAATCCGAAAATAAATCAAAAATTGAATTAAAACATTTTAATTCAATTACATCAATTAACCATAATCAAATCAATTTAAACCAAGATAAACCAATTAAATCAATTAATTCAATTAAACCAGATAAATCAATTAAATTCAATTAAACCGATTAAACACACACACAATTCATCACAGAAACAACCAAAATACATGAAATAACAATTAAACACATAAACTCATCAAGAACAACCACAAACCAAATCTAATCTAGCAAATCACGGACCCACAGTCATGCACTCACCTTGACAATGATTGAAACTGAAGAAAAGAGGAAAGACAATGAACAGTGCTGAATCCCGACGATGAACAGTACCCCAATGAATAGTACACCGATGATAATTATATCGATGAACAGTACTTCGATGAACAGTACTTCGAATCTGCTCCAAAACTCCACTTTTCTCCTTTGCAGCCTCTGAACTCGAAAATTGTGCAAAAGAGAAGACGGTTGCACTATTTTAAACTTGATTTTTAGGGCTTTCTCCACTAAACCAGTCCAAACCAAATCACTTAAATTGAACCGACAAAATTCCAATTTTTTTTTTGGTTTATGGATGTTACAGCATATATTCCTTCTTCTGCCATAGTTAAGCAATTGATGATTTCTTTGCTTAGAAATTCCGCGGATATTGATAAGTCGAACAAACCTATATCACGTACCATAATTGTTAGGTCTCAAAGATTTGTGAACAATTTTACTGTAATATTTTATCCCAAAGAAAGTTTACTGCAATTTTCTCTTCATATTTGATTCTATAATTAACCATGCTTAGATACACAAAGAAAGAAAACTAATTATTTGGAACATGAAGAAGTGGGGATATATACAACCCAATGATTTAGGTGAAACAGAAGTCATATGTACTCTATCTTTGACCTCGTCCATATTGGTATATACTCCTCCCTTTCATATTAAATGTTGTTTTAGAATTAATTTTTTTTTCATAATAATATTTTAAATACACACTTTCTGATAAAATTCCAGTATATCCATGATTTGTTAACTGATTAGTTATTAAAATCAAATAATATACAGTACTCCCTCTGTTTCATTTAACTTGATGTTTTAGGGATTTTTTATTTTATTTTATTTTCATTTTAAGTGGTGTTTTCAAATTTCTATGAAAAAATATTTGTGTTTATATTTACTTTACTCCCATGATTTTTTTATTGGTTGGAATCATTGACATTGACTTAGGTATAAGATATTTAAGAGTTGCAGACATAATCTGAAGCTTTAATAGATCGGAGCACATACCAGGAGTGTCAATGACGTTGATTATTGGGCCATCTGGTATCGCGGCTCTATACATCTCACATTTCATCGTAACACCTATTGCCTGTTTTCTGGAGATGAACAGTTTTTGACCGAGGAGGGTGTTCCCGGTGGCGCTTTTTCCATTACCCGTACGCCCTACTAGAACTATGTTGGTAACGAGTTCTTACGCGGTGCTGCGGTGGGCAACTCAAAATCAGCCATATTCTGATCACCAGCGGTTCTTTGTTACGTTTCTGCACGTACACATGTTTATCCAAAGAAAAAAAAAATCAAGAAATGGAGCATATTGAAAAAAGAATGAAGAAAGGAAGAAGTTAACTAGGGGAGTATACCGAATGGAAACTCGCAAGCTTTCTTATCCTTTTGTGAGTGGAGAACAAAAGAAGAATGAGTGGACACGTTAATGGATAAAACATTCAAGTTTAAATAGAGTATCGCTTGCCCGAGATTATATGTTGGTCTTAGTTAAGAAACATCTATTGGTATTCATTTATGTGCGCTTGAGTTTGTTTATGTTTTATCTTTGGTAGTGTGATTAATTTTCTTATTGAATTTAAATTGTATATAGTTATAATTTGGAACTGGAAACAGTAAACGAAACAGAAAGGACAAGATGAGTTCTTGACTATTGCAAGTCTGCAAGACAAGTTCATAAGGACTATGATGACTTCTGAGGATTGACTTTGGCCTAAACAAATCGAAGAGAAACGAATCTTTTTTACCTTTTTGCTTGCAGCAATTTCAAGGCTTCTAACTCGGAACTATTCTTTCAAGTTTTTTTCTTCGAACTATACACCCCTTGTGAGCTACTGCATTTGTAGCAATTCATAAATGTGTGAAATTTTGCCGTCTCTTCAAGATTCCCGATCGTGATAAGTACATCTTCCTGAAAATAAAAAAGAACCCGTTTTTTTTTTCCAAGAAACTATGAAAAGGGAAAGAAAAAAAGGTTTGGACCTTCCATATAAGTCGAGTCTCTAATGGATTTTTTTTAACATATTTACGCCATAGCCACATATCAAAAGAGAGATTCTTTGGTTTACGACTATGGTTTTTGTTTTGGGCCTTTCTTCTGCCTTGTTGTTGCCACTACTCTGATTTGCTCTTTTTTGAGCTTTGATTAATACACACAGTACTACACAGTGAAAAAAAAAAAAAAAAAAGATTCTTTTGAGCTACATGACAATTGTGTTCTTTTGCTGATTATCTCTGCTTAACTATACCACCAAAATGATGGGTTCATGTTTAAATCTTGAAATAAAACTGCAAATGTACAACAAATGTAATAGTACTTAGGAGAAAATCTGGTACTCGTAGTAGTAATGCTTACAACAAAAGTACGGTTAGAAAAAATTCATGATTATGCCATTCTAACCGTAGTTACATTTAAAACCTAATATATGTATATATATCAAATTGATCTCCATAATAAGGAAACTGTTTCTTTAAAGGAAAAAAAAAAGGTCTCCATAACAATTGTTTAGCTAGCTAGTCATCATCTTTAAAAAAAAAAAAAAAGCTCTAATCACACAAATGCTTGTACAAGGTGATGTCTTGCGTTTTTGACACATTCTAACCAATGTTTTTTCGAATTTATCGAGTCTTTCTAGTCTTTATCGAGTTTTTTCAGGTCTAAAGATGTTCATGGTGGAGTTTTTATCACAAGGAGTAACAAGAAGTCGAACGGAGCAAAAAGGAGAACAAAGTCAGCAAAGACCGCACAAAGAAGTCGATCGAACCTTCAAACGTCTCCAGCATAGATCGATCGAACCGAGATGCGCCAGCGTAGGTCGATCGACCCGTCGTACCAACATGCAGCTCGATCGATCGCGCATGCACCCCTGCCATGCAACGATCGATCTCAGCCGTTCGATCAAACCGTTCAGATGATATCACAGCCGTTCGATCTATCTCCCCAACCGTTCGATCGATTCCCAGTTTTGTTATCTCAAACCGGATTGAACCGAACTCGACCCCAGAACTATTTTAGACCTACTTTCAGCCATTGTTTCGGCTAGGCTGTTTTTTCGGAGATTTTCACTGTTTTTGAGGGAGAAGATTTCAAACCTTTGTGACACAGTTTGAAGAAGATTTCTGAACCCTTTTTTGTTTACTGTTTCTTATTTCTATTCAATGACTTTCGTTTGAACCTTTGTTGGTATCTGTTTCACCATGTTTGAGTAATCACTTTACTTGATCTAGGTTTTTCAAAGGATTTCATGTGTTAGCTAAACTAAATACAGATAGGGCTTTATCATGTTGTCTTCGCAACTGTTGAGTTTAATGCTTATATTGAATTGATCACTTAATCTCTGACCTTAGGTTAATCTATTCATCAAAAGTGTAATAGGTTGCTAGAACAAACAATTGTGAGCAAATCGTCCTTAGCCTGCGAAAGTTGATGCTAAGGCGACTTGTGAACATATCGAACCTATCCTTATTGCTTGCCTTCAATTACTAGATTCAAACGACAGTTTAGACATCTAGGTTGCTAAGCAAGTTGTTAAGATCGCGACAGTGGATTAACATACTTTTATGTTCGAGTTCGAGACCTGTTAATAACTTGTGCCTTGAATAGTTGTTTGGTTGTTAACCATGAACCTCCTGCGAATTGCCTTGATCTAGTGCTTGTTTTATTGAGTTTACATCGTCGTTTACACTCGTTAATTGTTACCAAATCCAAAATCAAATCATTCTTTTCTTAGCTCTGCTTTAAATCTCTTAGATTCATAGTGTAACACTGGTCCTCTGAATTTCGAATCCTTTATATTACATCTTCATCACTGTACACTTGCAGTAGAGAAAAATGATCTATTTTTAGATTATCACAAGGATAACGAAGACCAGTTCTTCAGGCTAGCTATATCAACTGAGGATTTTATATCAAACAAAAAAAAATTATAGTCATTTAAAATGCTATAAAATATGGTCGAAATTTGATCAGTATTATTGTTCTGTACTTCTGTCGCGTTTATTCATATAGCTTACATAATTCACATTAGACCAATCAAAGGGCGCAAATGTGGTCGCATGACGTCTTTGGCCGTATAGGTTTATCTCACGGCTGGAACCTAGTCGGATAGTTTTCCAGGTCGGACAAGACAACAAGCATGAACGGAGTCAATCCCCAAAAGTCGTCTTGTCCTTTCTGCTACTTTACCGTTTCCAATTTCATATATATTATAAGCAATCGAAGTTAAACTACTGCATTAATAACATTATATACGGTTGACATACACAAAACAAAAAGAACACTGTTATATTCAACTGGTACAAAAAGAAAAAGAAAAGAAATTTCCATGTAAATCCCAAAAGGCCTTGGTTGCTACGTTATATCATACAAACTTTCTTCTATTTAGACTTCAGATTTCATGTAAATCTCAAAACCTACTGGGTCCCTTAATCTATTAAAGACTTATCAAATTTCTTGTTTTTTGTTTACTCTGCTCCGGAAGTACTAACTAAGAAAGTTAAGAAAGCTCGTGAGTTTCCTTATTTTCCTAATTTTTAGATATCTCACTTCGCTCATATGATTGAATGAAATGAAGATATCACATATTTAATCTTTTCACGGGTAAACAATGATCCAATGTTGCTTTTCTATCTGTTTAGAACATCAGTGAATGGTCCATGGCTTCTGGGTCCGAACCAGTGAAAAACATAGTTCTGGTGGGGCGTGCAGGCAATGGAAAAAGTGCCACCGGGAACTCAATCATTAGAAGACCAATATTCACATCAGGTACCCAAGCAACAGGTGTTACAATGACATGTCAGACATTTAGAACTGTGACACCAGGTGGCTCCATAATCAATGTGATTGACACTCCAGGTATGTTTTTGCTTCCTTGACACTCTTTGAATAAAACCTCTTGATTATCTTATGTAACATAGTTTTGAGCTTATAAGGATGCTAACCAGGTAGTCTTGAATTTTATATTAAATTTGCTGCATTTAGATTTACACGAGAACATTAAAATTACTAAATATTTATAATATAGTTGAGTGTTGTGTTAGGAATAGGAATCAAATGTTTGATGGGATAAAAATATGGGTCAATCTCTTCAGTTGATTTTAAGTTGGAAGCTCATGAAACTTAACATGGTATGGTATGGTGGTCCAAATAGGGTTTATTCAATCTTAAAGTGGGATTCAGCTCATGATGGGATATTTTCCAATCCACTAATTGCTAATTAGTTTAAATTTTAAAAATTATGAAGTCATTTTATCCATGAAATAATATATTCAGCCCGGCTTGATCTCGGTTGGTGACTCAGGTTTGTTTGATTTGATAACGAAACCGGACGTTATCAGTAAGGAAATCGTGAGATGCCTTGCTCTGGCAGAAGAAGGACTACATGCAGTGGTGCTGGTTCTATCTGTGAGAACTCGGATTACGAAAGAGGAAGAAGACTCTCTTTGCACGCTGCAGATCCTCTTTGGGGCTAAAATCCTTGACTATTTGGTCGTTGTATTCACCGGTGGGGATGAGTTGGATAGTGATAACCAGACGTTGGAATCGTATTTGTCCGAGTGCCCTGATTTTCTCAAGGTCGGCGATTCCATATTGTATTAAAACTTTGGATTACTCCCATGCAACAATGTTTCTATCTATTAATCTATTTACTTTGAATTGGCATGGTTTGTGCAATTTTCAGAATATCTTCAGCCTATGTGGCCACAGAAAGGTTTTGTTTTATAACAGGACTAAGGATGAAGACCAGAAGAATAGACAAATCCAGCAGCTTCTCGACCATGTTGCAGCTATTGGAAGAAGAAATGGTGGAAAACCATTTACGGAACAGATGCACCGTCAGATAAAGGTGAGAACAAGACTCTCCCAGCTGCATTTCTCTCTTATAATATGTGCTGATTGTGAGACTAAGCCTCAAATCTGCGTTTCTCAGGAAGAGACTATGAGACACAGAAAAGAGGAAGAAGAAGCAGAAGCTAGGTATCTAGCAACAGAGATAGAACAAGTGAAAAGGGGGTTAAAGGAGGAGCATGAGCGTAAAATGAGGGAAATGGCAACGATGGTAACTATATTTCTTTTCGTTTACTTGATTAGGCATTTAGGCTTATTTAGGAAATCAATCAGAAGGAGGCAAAAGTGGCCTTTTAACATATTAAATAATGTGTTCTTGTGATCTCTCAGATGGAGGACGTAATAAAAGATGCTTGGGAGGCCCACCAGAGAATGCTACGTTTAATGGATAACATGGGGTCAAGAAAAATGTGCAACATTATGTAATCGGTGTACTAAAGATCTCTGAAGACATATAGTCAAGGTCTCTGGTCGTGCACTTCACGTGTTTTTTTATTACATCTTCATGTGTGCTTTGTTGTTTTTGTTGTTTTAGTTTGCATTCTCCGATATGATTTCCTAACAATCCACACAAGTGTTGTGCCCAAAATCTTTGTAACTAAAGCTTACCATACACATACATACTTTACAAAATTAATATGTTTATGAAATCTGATCTTTGGTTATTCTTTTTAATATCTTTTATTTTTGGGCTTATATAATGGATTACCAAATTGTGTCGTGAAATTGGCAAACGCACAAGTGGTCAAAATCATAATTATTCAAGAGAGTCTTTCTCTGTAAGGTAATTTGAACAATAGTTTTTTTTGTAACAATTGTATGCCATGTATACTAATTCTCATTATGTTATCTACTGTATGTAGATTTCTACCATAGCTTTGGCCTTTGGATCTATATATCGACCATCTTTATGTCACTCCATTTTTGCTAATAAAAAAAACTATATATTTTTTTTTTATAATCAGGAATTCTTAATGAACATAACTTGCTTTTTTCTTTACGTGCATCAAGATTTAATTATTGTTGGAAAATAAAACCAAACTAAAGTATAAATTGACTGTGTGACATATTTTCCTTTTCTTTTGAACAACTCATTCATTAAAAACCAACACGAAATGTTACATTGCAGTTGATCATGAAGCTAAGAAGTCACAAAGCGCTTTCTTAACAATTGAATCAGCAGCCATATTGTCTAAACATGGAATAAATCTAAAAGTGATAGAAATAAACAGATCCACGAGAGATTGGATATCGAAGAAAAGTCCAAAGATTTTCTTGACATGATCTCGGAAGCAATGGCTCAGACCAAGTCTTGAGCGTCACCGAACCAAACTATTGTATGATCCCGAATACGACTTATTTTCTAGACCCAAAAACCCCAAAACCAGAATAACCCTAACCGATGTCAAAAAAAAAAAAAAAAAAAAAAAAAAAAAAAAAAAAACGAAGAAGAATAACCCCAACCAAACCGAACGAAATTACTGAATTTCCACCCTTTATCTAGTATCATATAGCAGGTATAGGAAAACATTATCAATTTTCCCAAAAGTAAATAGTCTAGCAGAGGACTTTGCAGAAAATGCGAGGGGAGTACATGTTTGATTTAATTAATCTCTAGGCCGTCGGCTCATACACTAATTCCACTAACTGGGTAGTAGGAACGAATAAGTCTCTGTAAAAGCAAAGGAAGAAGTCCGTCAGCTCAAGTGGATCTGCACATAACAATTAGAGCTTACTTTTGAATTATCAATATGACATAAATTAAAAGCAAAATATCTAAAACAATCTAGTTTATTAGCAAATACCCTAATTAATATTACTGTAAGAACCAGCATTTTTGGGATTTAATTTTGTTGATACTTCTGAAACATTATTAACATAATCCAAAAAGACCTCGTCGTTTATTTCAAAATCAAACAAACTCAAATGGCACAAACAAATATTCTAGTTTCTAAACTTAAATTTTCAAAATGTCAACATGTCATAGCATACAAGAAAAGATCACACAACCATCAAGAAAGCGTGTTAAGTAAGCGTTCTTCTATATAAACTGTCATGTTTAGTTGATACATTTTGGGTTTAGGTTTTGACAAGAGTATCTTATTTTATTTCTTTGTAATACTTGAAGAAGGTTTCTCTCAGTTACTTTAGATCGGTATGTTTAACTACTTTTGCTCATAGTTATTACATTTCTTGATCAAGGCTTTTACGTTGAACTAACAATTCTGTTAGCTAAGGTTTACATGTAAATTTGTATGCAAAATAGCTAAATATGGATGTTTCGGAACTGCCGTCAGCGTCAAAGCCAGTCAAAAACATAGTTTTGGTGGGGCGTACCGGAAACGGAAAAAGCGCCACCGGAAACTCACTCATTGGACAACAAGTGTTCATCTCCGAATCCCGAGCATCAGGTGTTACCACAACATGTACGACATCCAGAACTGTGACACAAGATGGCCAGCTAATCAACGTGATTGACACTCCTGGTATGTTTTATATAATTTTTTGGAACAAAGCATGTCCATGATACGAGACTATCGGTAGGGTTTTCTTTATATGGTTACGATATTTTATGTCTTGGTATCTATATACGTTAGAGTGTTCTCTTTTTTTTTTTTTTGTTATTAGGTTAGCAAATGCCTGCATAGGATATCTATTGATTAATTAAACTTAACCCTAACCGAGACTAAGGTTAAAAGAAGCTTAGATTAAATCTTTCTCACATCAAAAATATCAGTCCATTGTTCATCAAAGGCAGGGTTTGATCAAGCTTGTACATTTTTTAACAAAGTCAGGGTGGTTTGATGATGTGATGCAGGTCTGTTTGATTTGTCGGTGTCTGCTGAATTCATTAGCAAAGAAATAATCAAATGTCTTACCCTCGCGGAAGAAGGAATACATGTTGTGGTGTTAGTTCTATCTGTGAAAACCCGGATTACCCTAGAGGAAGAGAACACACTTAGTACCTTACAAGTCCTTTTCGGGAGTGAAATCGTTAAATATCTGATCGTTCTATTCACGGGCGGTGATGAGTTGGAAGCAAACAACCAAACACTGGACGGTTATTTTCTTCAAGGTTGCCCTGAATTTCTAGAGGTTAGTGATTTTGATAATGGTCTTTGGATTTTTGGATTATTTGCAATTAAGGAATATCTGCCTACTAATATATATATATATGGATGTTGAATAATTGAATTTTGTTGTGATATTTCAGATAGTTCTCAGAGAATGTGAAGGCAGAAAGGTCTTGTTTAATAATAAGACTACTGATGAAGGCAAGAAGGTTGAGCAAGTCCAGCAGTTTCTTGCCCTTGTCTCATCCATTGGAAATAGCAATGATGGGAAACCGTTCACACACGAAATGCATCTTAAGATAAAGGTAAAGATAATATCCTAAAATGACGCAAAAATAGTTTCTTTTTACAATTCTAATTTAACATACCAAATTTAAAATTTCAAAGATAGCTCAAATTGTTGTGTGAAAGTATTTGTTTGTCTTAAATGAATTTAAACATTGCATTAATTTTATTCAATTGAGAATTTAGATTTCTTCCATTAGGAAGGGTTTTGAGTTATTTTGATTTAAATTTATGGTGTTATTGAATGTTTTAACTAGTTATGTTTGGATCAAAAACTTTAAAATGTGCTATTTTAGATAATTGTCAATGGTTAAAATTTTCTGTTTGTTTCTCAGGAAGAGGCTGAGAGTCTTAAGGAACAGAAAAAAGAGGTTGAAGCTAAGAACCTTGGAGAACCAGAACTTGAAGAAACAAAGAAAAAATTACAAGAATCATATGATAACAAGATCAAAGAAATGCAAAAGATGGTAAATGTGTATTTCCTAAACTCTATGCCAACACGGTAATGATTTATAGAGATCCAACGAGACTTGCCTATCTTTTCAGGTGGAGCAGACGCTAAGAGAAACTTCTGCTGCACACGAGAAAATGGTCCTTCAGTTAAAAGAGAATCTCGATAAGGCGCATAGAGATACCAATTCTCTGCGCAATGAGCAGGATCAGCAACATAGGCGGACAATGTATCAGCTCGCTGTACCGGCGTTGATAGCGACGGGATGTAACATCTTGTGATCGATGTGACCAAGTCACCCCAGGATCAAGTCAACGTCAACCCGTCCTGCACGTCGTCCAACCTTTCATATACCTTTTGTTTATATGTGTGTATTTCTAAGTGTTTCTTCTATTTCTATACTACCATTTCCCTTGCAACCAATTACATATCTAGCTTGTTGCTACAACGTGTAAAAACGCCTTTCTCTCATATGAAAATATAATAATTCAGTATGGCCCAAACATAAAAACATGGAAACAAACATACATATAGGACCCAGTCACCCAGGGTTCGGAACTCCCACGGTTTAACAAACAAACAAAAACTTACAAATAGGGAAATCAACACGCAAAATAAACCACATTACTCTTTTGAGAGAGCATGTAATCCGAAAGCCGATTTTTGTAACAAAACAAGTGACATTTGTATCTTCACATAGCAATGGAAAATCACTTTGATACTGATCTTTATTAGGCACAACTGTTGTCAGATAGAAGACATTATTTATAGGATGGTGCATGAAAAAAAGAATTGTATTTAAGCAATTAAGCCCATAGTCCGGACTAGAGCATTTAATTTAATATGTACATATTATTGATGCCTAGAATCATATACTAAAAGAGAATCGGACTGCCAAACCAATTCAAATATCAAGTAACAATGTGCCTGGAGTGTCAATCAAATTGTTTGTGTTTTGTAAGGAGACATGTTTTGGTTTTCTTTTTTGTGATTTAATAAAGAGTCGAAAAAGAGGTTTTTCTTCTCTAAAGAAAACTTAAAGAGCTACATGATTGTTGAGTTGGGGTAAGGGTGGGCACGGAAAATAAAAATCAACTCAAATTCGTCAAAGCATAAAAAGATTGAAAAATTCACATCGCATGCATTATAAAACCCTGTCTTTAGCTAGCTATACTACTTAGTTATAAAACCCTGTCTTTTGACGATAAAACCATATATTGACATGAATATGTCAATATAAATGAAAGCCCCTTTATCAGTTTAAAGCTTTCAATACTTCAATCACAGATTGATGCACTTTCCCAGCTTCTTCTGGAGTTCCTTCGTCTCTTTCTCAGCCCTCTCCAGATTCTCTCTCAGCTTCTTAATCTCATCACTCGACCGTTTCTGAACTTCGCTTGCCCTCTTCTCCGCTTCAAGTCTTGCAGCTTGCTCTTCTCCCAATTGATGCTCCAGTCTCTTCGCTGTCTCTCTAAGCTTCGTCTCCACCTACACAAACAACAAAGAAAACAGAGAGATGAATATGAGAAAAGGGCTTCTGAGTTTAGCTCGGGACCATGTGGTTACAGAATCATCAACGAAAACAGCAAGATTTGATCCCATTCTATGACACAATGGAATCTACTGGTTCTTGGTGTACATTGAACCAATAAAACAAAACAAAGCTACTACAGCTTTTGCTTCTACAGCTAATTTTCAACTTTTGTACTCTGTAGTGAAGCTGAAACTCTGTTTTACAACCTATAGGCATATAAATTATTGAACTTTCCTAACATGAACCCTCTAACAAGATCATAAATCAGCACTACAGTAAACAGAATTTACCATCTCGGTGATGCGGTTAAGCTGCCGATCATACGATACATCAATCTGCTTCTTGAACTCAGAAATCTCATTCTTTGAATAACCCTTCAGCGACTCAACCTCCTTCTTCTGGTCCCTTAGCTTCACAGCCTCATCCTGAGAACAAAATCAACAAATCATTCTCTGCTTCAAAAACAGATAAATCGAAAAGAGTGTAAACAACAAAATTTCACCTGAAGCTCCTGAAACAACTCATCTGTAAACGGTTTACCATCGTTCTTTCTAGCAATCGAATCAACAAGCGAGAGAAGCTTCTGCACTTGCTCAGCTTTCTTGCGCTTATCCGTTGTCTTGTTATCAAACAACACCAATCTATTGTCACATAGCTCCAGAATTTCCTACAAAACCAAACACAATTCAAACATATAAACAAATCTTCTTTATCCTTCTAAAAGACTCAAGTGTAAAATAGCCAAAGATACTAACTTTCATAAACTCAGGACACTCCTGACCCAAATAGTCATCCAAAGTCTCATCATTCTCTTCCAAATCATCACCACCGGTGAAAACAATGATCATATAGTCAGCGATTTTACTCCCAAAGAGCGTCTGCAAGTTATAGAGCGCAGATTGCTCCTCTTCCGTAAGCCTTCCCCTCACAGAGAACACCAACAGAACAGCATGGATTCCATCTTCAGCCAAAGTTATGCATCTCACAATCTCTTTACCGATGAAATCAACTGTTGTAGACAAATCAAACAAACCTGTAAAACAAAGCAATGATCAAATTAACTTAACCCTTCTTCCCAATGAAACAAATCTTTGATTAGATTGGAATAAAGGTTTGATTTTTATACCAGGAGTATCAATAACATTGATGATTTGACCATCTTCTTGCACAACTCTGTGTGACTGGCACGTGCTTGTGACTCCTAGAGAGCTTGCTCTTGACTTAAACGCTTTCTTGCCGAGGATACTGTTCCCTGTTGCGCTCTTTCCGTTTCCGGTACGGCCAACGAGAACTAGGGTTCTGCTAGGGTTTGTTGATGAAGCAAATTCCCAATCATCTTCCATCAAATCTCCACCCATCTTGAACAAACTCATATACTTTTTTTCCTGCAAAAAACGAATTGCTGATAAAGTTGTAATCTTTGACAGGTTAAACAGAAAATCCATGTAAGAGAAAAAGAAACAATGACGATCGCAAGAGCTTTACACACCAAAAGTTTCAAGCTTTCAATAGATAATTGTTGATTCGCTTAATGGGTCGAAGTAAAGTTCTGAGCTTTGACAGATTAAAGAGAAAATTAAAGAACAATGACGATCGCAAGAGCTTTAAACACTCAAAAGCTAAGTTTATGATAGAATATTACTTGCTTGTTAGAGAGGAAATTAAACACCAAAAACAGAACAGTACCAGGAGAATCAAATCAAAACCAGATAATCAAACAGATCAAAACAATCGATGAAGTAAGTTAAAGGAGAGAAAGATAGAAGATTACTTGCTTAAAAAGAGGAAAGTTGAAGCGACGAACTTAGCCAAAAAGCGAAAATATCTGTTGCAGCAATTTATACGGAAGTCAGTAAAACCTGAGTAAACGAGGAAGAGTCTTGTGTGATACAAAGTGCAAGTTATCGCATGAGACGCGGATCATCTTACGATGTGATTATATACCGTACGATGTATTTAGTCTTCATCCTACGGCTCAAGAGAGATGACGTCATTTGTTGGACCACGGCTTAAAATAGCCCAGTAGCAAACCCCATTCGAACTTAGTCTGCTCATATCGGGTAAGGATAATTAGGTGGTAACACAAGGTGTAGACTAGGAGAAAATTACAACTAGAACTAGATGTACTTTTTTAGTTTGGCTTTACACAATGAGTGACTTTGTGAAAGTGGTGTACTTCCACTTTGTGATTTTACCATTGTCCTTCTTTTATCTTGCTATTACTTTGAGATTTTATATTTTACTGCTGCCTATTTACATTTCTCTTCTTCCTGTAAAACACCCTAATCTCACCGGAATCTGTAACTCACGATTCATCTTTCAGACCTGTTCACTTTCCTTTTTTCGTTACCCTTTACGTTTTCGTTTTTAATTGTAACCCAGATTCCGATTCTGCTCCAATGGTGAGAAGTTATGAAATGTATTTTTCTCTAAATCCTTAGCTTAGCTCGTTCTAGATTTTTATTTAGTTGGTCTCCTAAAAACTCCGACAGATCCGTCGTTAGACTAATTACTTCTCTTACTTGAATCTAATCTTTCACATCTTTCACCCCAAGGATCTGTTGATATCGAAGAGATGATTAGTGAAATTAAAGTCAATTTCTGTGAACACATCTCAGTCCTATATTATGTTTTGATTATCGTTTTTAAAGTTTCTTTTGTTGCAAATAATTCATTGACCGTACTTCTCTTCCATGACAACAGATGGGAACATCGAATCTGGTCGGATCTCGTCGAGGAGAGAGAGCGATTGAACTTTTGGATCTCAGATTCATAACTGAAAGAAGAAAAGCTCAGGGCTTGATGTTGTTCCACCGTTCCGAGCTGCTAACGATATATATCCATTATTTTTTATAAAAAGATATATATCGATTTTTGTATGTATAATATAATTTTTTGAGTTATGCGGATAAAGAACAGATAGTTTGAGTTACTAAACTATTATCATCAGAATAGATAAGGCTTAAACTCAGGTTTCTTGTATTTCGGATGATTACGAGAAAATTTGGATCATATTTATAAATTTTGTGATAGTTTGTAAAAAAGAATTTCAAAAAAACTTGAGTTTAAGATATTAAATTAAGTATTTTAGGGGTAGTTAATAAAGCAAAAATTGCTATGTGGTTTTAGGTCACTTCACTGATTTTCCCTCCATACACATCAATTTCGTTATACGTTTAGCTTACAGTTTTTTATTTAAACAAACAATAAAATTGTTTGTTTAAACAGTTCATGAACTATATATTCGTCGTAGATGATATAATCCTCGTTTATTTAAAGAAGTATCTTTCAAATAGTATAACAAACCAAAAAAGTGATTCAAAATATCAAATAGTCTTAGCTAATTATCTGGTTTATACCCTTATCCGTCAGGATAAATTATTTTGATTTCAACTGGTGACATTAAATATTTACATGAAAATTTTAGATCATTCAGGTCGGCTTTGATCTTGTGAGCCCCCGACCCACAATGCACAGGTCATTTGTCCGAGTCATTAGCTGCCGTTTGATGCCGTAAATCTCCATCTTACGGCTTAAACATAAAGTGAAAAGGTCGACAATAATAGGCCCAAATCGTTGGCCCATAGGGTTTCGAAAATCCACGTAGACTTATTTTACCCTTTTCCATCTCAAATGCGGTTTGGTTTCTCTTCGGGTTCGAAGAAATTTATGTGAATTTTCCTGTTTTTTTTATTTAATTTAATTATTAGCTGTGTTTTTTAGAGAGAGAAGAGAAGGAAGAGAAGAGAGGAACAAAAATTAGGGCAAAATCGTCTTGCGATATGTTCACTGCGTTCTGATGTGTTTAACCTTTCTTCGTCGTGTTTCTGTTTGATTTGCGGCTTTTCCCCCGAAGAAATTAGGGTTTTCCTTTTAATCCGATGAAGAACCCATCACCGAAGAGGAAGGTGGTTGTTCGGCACTTGCCGCCTTCTCTTTCACAGTCCGATCTCTTATCCCAAATTGACCCTCGTTTCGGTGATCGTTACAATTGGCTCTCCTTTCGTCCTGGAAAGTCCAGGTAAAGCCCTCTTCTTTCCTTTGTTCCGTATGTTACTTCTTGAATTTGATTATTGGGTTTTTACTCTCTGAATACATATGGATTCTACGAATGTTGCTTAGTTTTAGGGTTTCGATTCATTTACAAAGATGATCGATTTTAGGGAATAAAGGTTTTGACTTTATGTTAGAGACTCTCGCTATGTAGTTGCTTTGGTAAGTGATGTGTTGCTTTCTTTTTTTGCTGTTTCCTCAGCTATAAAAATCAGAAATTTGCAAGGGCCTACGTTGGTTTCAAGGCACCAGAAGATGTTTATGAGTTCGCTGCATTTTTCAACGGGCATGTGTTTGTTAATGAAAAGGGTACTCTAACTCTGTCTTCGTTCTGGCTGCTTGTGTGTTTTAGTTGTTTTTTTTCCTTTCTCGGAGATGTGATCATGTGGTTTCATTTGGGTTTAGGTGCTCAATTCAAGGCCGTAGTTGAATATGCGCCTTCACAGCGTGTGCCGAAACCATGTGAGAAGAAAGATCCTCGTGAAGGGTCTATTAGCAAAGACCCTGACTATCTTGAGTTCCTTAAGCTGATTGCTCAACCTGTTGAGAATCTCCCTAGTGCTGAAATCCAGCTGGAAAGAAGAGAAGCTGAGCAATCTGGTTCGTTATTTCGAAAGCCGAGTACTGTTTTGCAATCATTTGGTATTATGTCCTGAATCAATGGAAATTACTAATGAAAATCACATGTTTAGGTACTTCAAAACCGGCTCCGATTGTTACCCCTCTTATGGAATTCATACGTCAGAAACGTGCTACTGTGAGTGGATCTCAGGTACATTATGCTCGCTTAGTCCTACCTGGTGGAAATGTTAGAGCTTAAACGTAACTTCTATTGTTGATCTCTGCTTTCTGTTCAAGCAACAGGGTTTATTAGATGCTCGAAGAGGAGGCAGAAGAGCCAGAGCAGTCGCTGCAAACAAGCCAAGTTCAAGGCCCTCGAAACGAAACTCTGAGAAGAAAAAGGTGCGTTCTCTGACTTTGTACGAGTGAATAGTCAGTGTAGTCTGCCATTTTGATCTCCATTTTAAGTCATCTACTTGTTTTCTTGATAGTATGTGGAAAAAGACAATTCGAAAAGCGTGCTCCGGAAGGTTACATCAGACGGCGGGAGCTCCAAGCAAGATATACCAGAAGCTGATACTGGAAATCAGTCAGCAGCTATAGGTATTCTTAAGTATCTAATCACATATTTTCTCTATTCATAAAAGTTTCTCTGTCTTTCTAATATATGTTTTTAATCTACTCAACTGCAGATTCTATCTTGGATAGCTCTCTCCCAGGGATTCCATTGACTATGGATTCTGGGAAGAAGAAGATTTTGCTCCTGAAATCCAAAGACCGAGACAATCCTAGTGTAAGCTTTTGGCTCTTTAAGAAAGTAGTGCAGACCAAAAGCATTGGTTTCTTTTTCATCTAAGTTGTAGAGAGAACCTCAAATCATGTACAGCTTCTCATTTGTCAAATGGTGTTTGATAATGGCTTTTCAGAACCCTCCGCCACAACTGGACAGGCAGATGGAGAATAATTTATCTGGTAGCTCCTCGGTTTCAAGACAGAATTCGAAGAATGATGTTGGTGGGAGGTTGATCAAGAGAATACTTCTGAAAAATGAGTTGCGACCAAGCGCGTCATCATCTTTTGTTCAGCCTGAGCAAAGAGTCGAACCCTCGGAAGCAGAAAACCCCAAGCGTCCTCCTCGGCCAGCCAACACTCGAGCAGGTTATAAGGGAGTAGGATTTCAGTCAAAATGTTTGCTTCCCAAGTTAGGCTGATAATTCAAAATACAGTTTTGGGTAAATTTGCAGGGAAAGACTATCATGCATCTAGTCCCATCGGTGAGAAGCAAGATAGGCGTACGAGAAACAAGGACAGGCCTGATCGTGTTGTGTGGGCTCCTCGTCGTGGTGATGGGTCCAGTGTCAACGAGGATCAACCTTCATCTTCAGCAGGTTCTGTTCCTGCTCTTGACCAATGCGTAATAAGTTTTAATCTTTATGGTTGTGATCCATGACATCTAAACTCATTTTGTGTATCATCTTACAGTGAACAATGGAGAAGTGAAAGAAAGGACGCTCTTGCAAAGATCTGGAGAAGTTGTGAACTCCTCTGTTGGACACTCTCTTGAGAATGGTTAGTTCATTTGAAGTTGGAGAATACTTAATAATGTTCCTTGTGTCATTATATGAATCAAGAAAAGTGATGTTGGTTTTGCCAAAACTTCTGGACTTTCTCAGGTTCTGTTAGAAACTCTAATCGCCGTGTAGGAGCTCGTAATAGAAAAGAAGACGGCTTTGTGATGACTGGTGAGGGTAAATCATCCCGGAGAGGAGGAGGTGGTGGTGGTGGTGGTGGTGGTGGTGGTTCCAATTCACAAGAGGCAAGCCAAACCAAAGCCTTTTCTTTACTACGCCTTAGAATAAGCTTAAAACCATGTCTAAAAGACTCATTTTTACTGTGTTGCAGAAGCAGATGTGGATCCAGAAGTCATCATCGGGTACTTGATATATTCACTTGACATATGGTAAGCTTTAGTCACACGCCTACGTTTTATTACTTCATGATCTGTTATACGTATTTTGCCAACACAATGTTGTGATTTGCTATGACCTTTCAGGCTAAATATATGAGCCGTTCCAATGGATTTTGTCCTTCAGATGGGAATCTATAGATCTCAATCGAAATGGAGAAGTTAACACACTATCAACATCAGTCGGGTTTTTGGGGACTTTTGGTCCAGCGTCGTTAAGTCGTAGTATTGCACATAAAAGAGGCCCTTCTCAAAGTAGGAATCATCTCAAGATTTATGGGTTTGAGACACAAGAAAGACTCAAAAGTAGCTACAAGGCTCTTAGCGGTTCGGTTTCACGGTACCTGCATCCCCTTTTTGGCTTGTGCGGTGTTACAGACAAGTGGGTGGGTGAGAAGTGTGAGAACTTGCTTACCCGTGAGTCTATGTAATGAAATAAAGTCAAAAGTATATAGGGAGCAGGAAACACTGTGTCAGGGTTTTATTCTGTGTTCCTGAGAGGCCTTGGAATGTGATTTGCAGGATTTTAACCATATTATAGTTTGATTACTGTGAAAGAAAATTTCTATCCAAGTAATATTTTTCTTGTGGATGGTTGGTTTATTTCACATGACTGTTACATAACTTGCTCCACGGAAAGAATGTTTTGCATGACTATTTCTTGTCAAACCTCTAATTCATCATTATGGTAATCAGTTAAAATGATATTGACATAAACAAACTGATTTTTAATTACCATCTTAAAAATAAAAATTTGACGTTTAGAGAATATCAAAACGTAGCAAAAGATTAAACTAGTTCTGAAATTATCAATGTGGATTCCATTTTGGCATGTTTTGGGTAATCTGTCGGATTCCATTTTGGTATGTTTGGAGACAATTGCAGCTAAATTGTGTGTTCAAATTAATTTTGACTTGAATGATTAAGATTAAGAGCCAAGATCTTATTTATCCACAAGTATGTCTATGTCGAATGTGAATTTCCAAACATGAATATAGTTAGCTGTCATACACACCCTCCTAGATCAATACTTCTACAATCCTCAAATATACTATTTTAAATTTAGTTCTTAAATTAAAAAATTAATTTATGCATGTGACTAGAATTTGTCTTTTTCCTACAATCCTCAAATGTACTGTTTTAAATTTAGTTCTTAAACTCTACAGCTCTTTACGAGTGAAACGTGAAAGTCCATAGAGATATTCAATTGATCTGGATAAAAGTTGTAGCGATGACTATCCTGTGGAACTTGGCGATGTTGATTATAGGCTTAGTGGTCATAAAGATCAGCCACTGGCTTTATCGATGGTCAAACCCTAAGTGCAATGGCATTGGCAAGTTACCACCAGGAACAATGGGTTTTCCAATCATCGGAGAGACAATTGACTTCTTTAAGCCTTCTGGATTCAACGATATCCCATCCTTTGTGAAGAAGAGGATGTTAAGGTTAGATAGCTATCAAATCCTCCATAGTTATATATAAACAAGAACATGTATGTTTATGTGTTTATGAAATGTTTCCAGGTACGGGCCATTGTTCCGGACGAACATTCTCGGTTCCAAAACAGTGATCTCAACGGACCCAGATGTGAACTTACAGATTTTTCGGCAAGAGAACACGTGTTTCGAACCAGGCTATCCGGACATATTTTTCAAGGTATTTGGAAAAGATAATCTGTTCATGAAGGAAGTGACATTCCACAAATACCTCCAGAAAATCACTACGGAACTTATTGGCTCAGAGGGTTTGAAGAGAACGATGATAGGAGTCATGGACAGAGCGATCCGTGACCATTTTCTATTGAAGGCTAGCCAGGGGAGCTTCGATGTTAGGAAAGAAGTTGACAACGTTGGTTCACATATCTTTCTTTATTTGTCTATATATTGACGATTTTTTAACTAAGCTCCAATTATTTGATAGTTTCTTCCTTATTATTTGCAGTTGGTATTAGCATACATGACACCAAAGTTGATAAGTAACCTCAAACCAGAGACTCAATCAAAACTTGTGGATAATTTAAATGACATCACTCTTCATTGGTTTCAGTCCATTTTTAGCCTCTCTACTTGGAAATTTCTCATCAAATTCTTGAAGGTGACTGAGAAATTTGTTTCTTCTTCTTTTTTTTTTTTTTTTTTTTTTTTTAATTACAATTAGCACTTAATTAAACTTCTCTACTAAATCCTTGTTGTATTCAGTCACGCGGAGAAGCCATCCAGGTGATGAAAGACGCTCTCAAGAGGAGGAAAGAATCGAGGGAGAAGCAAGGAGACTTCCTCAACACAATGCTTGAAGAACTAGAGAAAGAAGACAGTATTTTTGACCAAGGATCGGCTATAGAACTCATTTTCCTTCTTTCGTTCGTCACGAGAGAAGGTACCTCTGGTTGTACTGCTTTGGCCGTGAAATTCATATCCAAAAATCCCAAAGTGCTTGCAGAGCTCAAGGTAAATATATATTCTCTTTTTTTTCTATCATCTTAAGATCAAGTATGGATGGAGTTACTTTTTGCACAGCGTGAGCATAAGGCAATCGTAGAGAACAGAAAAGATAAGGAAGCTGGAGTTAGCTGGGAGGAATATAGACACAATATGACTTTCACCAACATGGTAATATATGTATATAATATATATATATATATATATGTATATATGTATATATACGTATATTCCGGATTCACCATAGATGATGGATACAAGGATATTCACAAGTTGAAGAGGTGACATTAATCTGTAGGTTATCAATGAGTCGCTTCGATTGACAAACACAACCCCTTTACTGTTTAGAAAGGCTGTGAGCGATGTTGAGATCAAAGGCAAGTACTACTACAAAGTCATATATATATATATAAAAGGAAAGTGGTTACGTAATTTAATTTTTGAAGTATTAATTTTTCTCAAATATATATACACAACCACTAAAAGATGCTTTAATTATTGGCAGGTTATACAATTCCGGCAGGTTGGATTGTGGCGGTTGCTCCAGCAGCGGTTCATTATGATCCTGAAATATATGAGAACCCATTTGAGTTTAACCCATGGAGATGGAAGGTCTTATATACTTACTCTTATTTAGCCTCTCTTTTTTTTTTGCATCATTCATTGTCACATATCTATAGTTATAGTTGGGAACTTGGTTGGTTGGCAGGGGAAAGAAATGGTTTGGGGCTCGAAAACATTTATGGCGTTTGGAGGTGGAGTGAGACTGTGTGTAGGTGCAGAGTTTGCACGGCTTCAGATGGCAATCTTCATTCATCATCTTGTCACCTACTACGATTTCTCATTGGTCCAAGACTGCGAGGTCACTCGTACACCATTTCTTCAATTCACCAAGGGTCTTCTCATAAACATCTCCAAGTCTTGCACCAAGTGAGCCATGCAATCTCAAATCAGATCGCTATAAGCAACAAACAATGCCCTCTCCTGCCGTCCGCCTTATTTCTGGAGTAATTTTATGCTCTATATAATTTTTAAGAGTATATGGAATGAGTTAAACTTTCAGCTAGTCAGTAGTCAAACACTATTGATAAACAAGTTCGAAATAGGTTATGGTCTTATGGACGATCCGGAATAATTCTACAAACATTTTAAAAGATAAGACAGTCGTTGTACCAAAGTTTTTTTGTTGAATAAATTTTACATTTAATTAAAAAATAAATAAAGTACGAGTTCCACTTCTAACACATAAACTCAAAGGGAACTGACAAACAATACACAGTCATTGAAATTTGGAACGCAAGCAATACCTCGCCTTACAAGGAGGTCAATGGACATCTTATTGGAAAGACACGGCATTCCCGTTTGACTGTGAAGGAAAATGGTAGCAGCTATGAGGAGAACATAGTAATTAAAGTAAAACCTCTATAAAGTAATAACGTTGGGACTTTGATATTTTATTACTTTAACGAGATTATTAATTTATCGAGAGATAATTAGACCAAAAACTTAATTCGGAACTCAAAAATTCTATTCATTTATCGAGATATTACTTTATCGAGTATTACTTTATAGAGGTTCTATTGTAGGTTTTACAAAATAAACGCATCATAATAAATAAATAAAATTGTCAACCATTTGTACAATACAAAATGGTTACAAAAACGTAAACTAGGAGAACATAGCTCATATAAACAATATCAAACTGACAAAGTTGAGTACTCCATGCTAACATATGCGCCTTTGTATTGTTAACGCTCACGAATTCCTCCAAAATGTACTTCGAAAGCAATCAAATAAGCATTCTCCGCTGGAATCTTTACTTGCAATTTGATCAAGACAGCTATCCAAAATCAGTTTTAACTCCTCTGGTGTAATTTCCATCTTCGAATATTTTTTTAAACTATAACAACAACAAAACATGTGCGTATGCGTGTACATTAGTCTAATATATATTTATTTTCCTAGACGAAAGAAATATTGTAGATAAATATCATTTTTAATTTCGGTGAATCATTTAGTGAAACAACCAAGTTTTTGTTTATAATTAAATAAGTACTAAAAAATTCTAGCAGGTCTTAAAATAAATTAAATAAATAATTCATCAAATAACAATAACATTCAGCGGAAGCAAAACAATAAATAAATTTAGCAACTTAAACACCACATACTAGAAAGTCAAACAAATGCAAATAAATATATCCTATCATCCCCTTTTTCGGGCTTGATTGGGCGATCACATAAATCTTTTACCTGCAACACATTGTGAAAGAGTTGCTTAAGTATTTAATAAATACTTACTTTACTGAGGCGATCACTCTGCCATAGGCCAGTTACACAATTACTAGACAATAAAATAATAATAATAATTCTCATAATTATGAAAATAAATAATTTCTCAATCATTAAATAATTCCGCGTAATTAAATAATAATCTTCCACACTTAAAATAATTTCCATAAATATTTTAGACCAATTAATTAATTAAAATAACCATTAATCAATTAATTATCGAATTAAACCATTAATCAAATTAAACCAATTAAATTCGATTAAACTAATTAAATTCGATTAAACCGGACTGAACTGGCCTGTATCGAGTGACACCCGCTTGGTGTCGGTCGACACAAGACCACTTAGTATCGACCGACACCGGCTCGACAATCCGACGCTAAAACCAACAAAACGACACAGAAACACCAAATCCACCACACGAAATAACTCAATTATAACATGAATTCATCAAGAACAACATCAATCAACCACAAATTTAGCAAGTTGCAAGCGTACAGTCACACACTCACCTCGAAACGGTTGGAAGAAAGGGAAAACGAGATGATAGAGGAAGAACACGACGAACAACACTTCGATTCAACACCAGAAACTCGGAATTCGCTCAAGAACTCCACCAAATTGCCTCTTCTCTTCTCTGCCTCCACAAAACGACAAAACAGCACAGAAACTCAACGGCTGGCTCTTTAAATTGCGAGCTAGGGCTTTTCCCCATTAAACCGGCAAAAACAGAACTTAAATCAAACCGAAATTGGATTTTAACCATTGATGTCGAGCAGGAGGGTGTCGGTCGACACCATCCAAAATTCACAATTATTTGGTTTACGGATGTTACATTTAGCGCCATGTATAATTTAGTTTAGGGGAATCACTTAGCGCCATTTTCTTAATTATACTTCTTATATCCCAATATATATTCAGCTTAAGGTAAAACAAGAAAACTATTTAAAAAATAAAATAACACCTAAAATTTAAATAAAATATAACTCAACCAATCGTGAAAAAAGGCTGCAAAATATATTTGGTTATACAACAGATAATAAAGTAAAAGTTGTATTAAAATCTGAAAAATGCTTATATTTTGAAACAGTTTATATTGGGAACGTAACTTATATCATGGGACAAATGGAGTAGTTTTTATCGGCAGACTCTAAGAAGTATGTGGGCATGCTTAAATTAGCTTGAATACCTTAAAGGATAAAGTCACCCCAATCTATATGTCTGTTCTACGGTGGTGTGTGATATCTTGCGTATTTGACGCATTCTAATCACTTGTTTTCACGAGTTTTATCGAGTCTTTTCAGGTCTAAAGACGTTCAGGAGAGCTTTGGTCACATGGACCAACAGGAGGAGAAAGCAGGCAAAACGGAGCCCAAAGGAGCTCGATCGAGTCGAGTCGCCGATCGACTCGATCGACCGATCACCCACTCGATCGATCCCTACAGCGCTACACTCGATCGATCCCATGCAAAGGGAGTAGCTCGATCGATCCCATGCAGAGCGACGAAGCTCGATCGATCCCGTTCTGTTCAGCCGTTCGATCAATCCCGGTCAGATGATATCACAGCCGTTCGATCTACTTGGTGCAAACCGACTTGATCGAACCACAGCGAACCGGATTGAACCGAAGTCGACCCCGGAGCTATTTAGACCTATCTTTAGCCATTGTTTAGGCTACGCCGTTTTTCAGAGTTTTACACTGTTGTTCATTGTTTCCGAGGGAGAAGAGATCAAACCTTGTTTTCACAGTTTGGAGAAGATTTCTGAACCCTTGTTTTTCTATTTTCTATTTGATTCAATGACATTCAGTTTCAGTATTGTTTGCTGTTTCGTTATGTCTGAGTAGTCACCCTGCTAGATCTAGGCTTTTCAAAGGGATTCATGTGTTAATTGACTGAATACAGATAGGGCTTTAATACTGTCTTCGCCATTGTTGCTTACTGCTTAGATCGATCTGATCATTCGATCTCTGATCTCAGATTACCTGTTCATCAAAAGTGTTATAGGTTGTTAGAACGAACTGTGGTGAGCGAATCGTCCTTAGCCTGCGAAAGTTGATGCTAGGCGATTCGTGAACTTATCGAACCTGAGTTTATTGCTTGTCATCAACTGCTAGATTCAAACGACAGTTTAGACATCTAGGTTGTTAGATAAAGTTGTCATTATCGCGAAAGTGAATTGACTTATTTTTTGTTTGAGTTCGAGACCTGTTCTTATCTGTGCCCTGAATAGTTGTTTGGTCGTTAACCTGAATCTCTGCGAATTGCCTTGGTCTAGTCCCTGTTTAATTGAATTACATCATCGTTTACATTCGTTACCTGCTACTAAAACCAATCATCTTTGTCTTAGCTCTGTTTTAAATCTCGTAGTTTCACAGTGTAACGCTGGTCCTCTGGATTTCGAATCCTTTATATTACAATCTTCATCACTGATAATTTGCAGTAGAGAAAAGGACCTATTTCTAGTTTATCAAATTTGGCGCCGTTGCGACGGGGAACACACTGATTCCAGCAGACTTTGTAGTCCTCGAGCTTGACGAAGAGCCTAAGGATCCGCTCATCTAGGGCGAAACTTCCTATGCACAGCTGGTGCAATCATTGACGTGAAGGGAGGAATCATTGATCTCCATCTGGGAGATATCGTCATGAGGTTCGAGATGAACAAACTCCTCAAGAAGCCAATGTTAGATGGGCAAACTTATGTGATTGAAGATGGCTCAAACTTGGTGGACGAAGTGAGTGAGGAGATGCTTCTTGACGACCCTCTGGAGGTAGCTTTGACTAAAGCTGAAGGCGATTACGATTTCCTGAATGAGGAAGCCGATGGCTTCGGGAAGATGATGGATGCGAGCGGCAAGATGGAGAGACTGGTGGCGTTCATGAGCTTGGAGGAAAAGGAAGATCGATCGAATGCTGTGCCAGATCGATCGAATGACCCTAAGGAGAGTCCCGACAGCCCTGGAGCGAGTCGAGTGCGCCTAAGCTCGAGCTGAAAACACTCCCTGCGGGGCTCAGGTATGCGTTTCTGGGACCTAACTCTACATACCCTGTGATAGTGAATGCTGAACTGAACAATGTTGAACTTGCTTTGCTTCTCTGTGAGCTTAGGAAGTATAGAAAAGCTATAGGGTATTCGCTAGATGACATCCCTGGAATTTCTCCTGATCTTTGCATGCATAGAATACATCTAGAAGATGAATCGATGACTTCTGTAGAACATCAGAGGAGGTTAAACCCGAATCTAAAAGATGTTGTCAAGAAAGAGATAATGAAACTTCTAGATGCTGGTGTAATTTATGCTATATCTGATAGTAAGTGGGTCAGTCCTGTGCATGTAGTTCCTAAGAAAGGTGGTATAACTGTTGTTAAGAATGATAGGAATGAGCTGATACCCACTAGAACTGTCACTGGTCATCGCATGTGCATTGATTACCGCAAACTGAATGCTGCAACTCGCAAAGATCATTTTCCTCTCCCATTTATTGATCAAATGCTTGAGAGATTGGCTAACCATCCATACTACTGCTTTTTAGATGGTTACTCAGGTTTCTTTCAGATCCCCATCCACCCAGACGACCAGGAGAAGACGACATTCACATGTCCATATGGCACTTATGCATATCGCAGAATGCCGTTTGGACTGTGCAATGCACCGGCGACGTTCCAGCGCTGCATGATGTCTATTTTCACTGACCTTATTGAGGACATAATGGAAGTTTTCATGGACGACTTTTTGTCTATGGAAGCTCCTTTGCTGTCTGTTTGTCTAATCTGTGCAGGGTATTGCAGCGGTGTGAGGAGAGACATCTTGTGCTGAACTGGGAGAAATGCCATTCATGGTGAGAGATGGGATCGTGCTGGGACATAGGATTTCGGAGAAGGGATCGAGGTGATGATCTACAGCCGCCTAATTCTGTCAAGGGAATCCGCAGCTTTCTGGGGCATGCAGGTTCTACAGGCGATTCATCAAGGACTTCTCCAAGATCACCAGACCTTTGACGCTGCTGTTGTGTAAGGAGGTCAAGTTCGACTTTGACAGTACATGCTTGGAGGCCTTTCACACGATCAAGGGAGCTCTGGTGAGTGCTCCAATTGTCCAACCTCCTGACTGGAGCCTTCCTTTCGAGGTGATGACAGATGCTAGTGACTATGCTGTCGGAGCGGTTCTGGGCCAGAGAAAGGAGAAGAAGCTGCACGTGATCTACTACGCCAGTCGCACACTTGATGAAGCTCAGTGCAAGTACGCTACGACTGAGAAGGAACTATTGGCGGTGGTGTTTGCATTTGAGAAGTTTCGGTCCTATCTTGTTGGATCGAAGGTGATTGTCCACACTGATCACGCTGCCTTGAAGTACTTGCTGACGAAGAAGGATGCGAAGCCGAGACTCTTGAGATGGATTCTTTTGCTTCAGGAGTTCGATCTGGAGATCAAGGATAAGAAAGGGATTGACAATGGTGTAGCTGATCACCTGTCAAGGATGAAGATCGATGATGACGTCCCTCTAGACGACAGCTTACCTGATGAGCACGTCTACGCTGTTGAGGTGATCGACTACGGCGAGCCCCTGCTCGCAGATGATGGAGTTCGATCGAGTGCCAGAAGGAGATCGATCGAATGGTGATGACGGAGATCGTGCTTTGAGCTGTAACGCCGTTACCGTTCCAGTTTCCCATGGTTTGGAGAGATAGCGAATTACCTCGCTGCTGAGCATGAACCTACTGGTTTTGTGGGAACAAGAAGAAGAAGTTCTTGAGAGACATCCGTCGCTATTTCTGGGATGAGCCATACCTGTACAAGCACTGCACCGATGGAGTCTACAGGAGATGTGTAGCTGATGAGGAGATACCTGGGATCTTGTTCCACTGTCATAGCTCGTCTTATGCTGGACACTTCGCGACGTACAAGACTGTATCCAAGGCGCTGCAAGCTGGCTACTGGTGGCCCACCATGTTCCGAGATGCTCACAGATTCGTGTCTAAGTGTGATGTGTGCCAGAGACAGGGGAACATCAGTAAGAGAAACGAGATGCCACAGAACTTCATTCTGGAAGTAGAGGTTTTCGACGTGTGGGGAGTTGACTTCATGGGACCCTTCCCATCTTCCTATGGAAACCTGTACATTTTGGTGGCTGTCGACTATGTATCTAAGTGGGTAGAGGCTTTGGCCAGTCCCACTAATGATGCAAAGGTCGTGATGAAGATGTTCAAGTCGGTGATCTTCCCTCGATTTGGTGTGCCGAGAGTTGTTATCAGTGATGGAGGTTCCCATTTCATCAATAGGACCTTCGATAATATGTTGAAGAGGCACGGGGTGAAGCACAAGGTGGCGACTCCTTATCATCCCCAGACGAGTGGCCAAGTCGAGCTATCTAACAGAGAGATCAAGAACATCCTTCAGAAGACTGCAGGCACGACTGGGAAGGACTGGGCTGCAAAGTTGGATGATGCACTCTGGGCCTATCGAACTGCCTACAAGACTCCTATTGGTACGACACCTTTCAACTTGGTCTATGGCAAGGCTTGTCACCTGCCTGTGGAGTTAGAGTACAAGGCTGCGTGGGCAGTGAAGCAGATGAACTATGACATGAAGTCTGCGGCAGAGAGGAGGAACATGCAGTTGGTCGAGCTTGACGAGATTAGGCACCTGGCCTATGACAGTTCGAAGATCTACAAGGAGCGGACTAAAGCTTACCATGACAAGAAGATCCTGAAAAGGAACTTTTCCCAAGGAGATCAAGTCCTGCTGTTTAACTCCAGGCTGAAGTTGTTTCCTGGAAAGCTGAAATCAAGGTGGTCTGGGCCCTTCGTCATCAAGGAAGTCAGACCATATGGAGCTTTTGAGCTATGGGACAAGTCTGGTGGACACTTCGTGGTGAACGGTCAACGCCTCAAGCCATACCTTGCTGATACCGACATCACAGAGAGGGAATCTGTTCCTCTCAGTGATCCATCTCCTGCCTAATGGGCATTCAAGTCAAGCTAGTGACTTAAACCAAGCGCTTGGTGGGAGGCAACCCACTGGTAAGTGTACATACTCCCTTTTCAATTTGATTTCCTGCTAATTTTGTTTTCTTTGTTTGAAAAAAAAAAAAAAAAAAAAAAAAAAGTTTCAGGAAATCCGTCGGGTCGACCCACCCATCCTGTCGACCCGCCCTCTCGCCCGACCCTCCACAACCATCCGACCAGGTGGGTCCCGCCGCAGGTAAGTGGGTCTCTCTCTATCCACTTGATCGATTCCCTTCCCCTGACAACCACACACTTTCCACCCTCATCTCTTTTCTTATCTTCTTCCACTCTCCTTTACTTCCACAAAACCGAACACTTTTCACTCACTCTCACATTCATCTCTCTCCTTCATCGTCCCATCTCTTCTCTTTCACCATTTTTCTTCTTCTTTCATCTCTCTCTCACCTTATTCTCTCTTCTTCAACCCGACCACACCACCATAATCTTCATTCTCTTTCACCTCTCCCTCTCATTCCAACACTCTCACGCTTAAGGCCGATCTATTTTGATTGCATATATTTTCATTCCCACCATGCGAGGAAACAGGTATGTCCAAACTTGTTCTGTTTTGGTTAAGTCGATCGAGTGCTCTCTCTTGTGTTGTTGTATTGCGCTTAAACCTACTCGATCGTGTGCTATCTCCCTTGCGGTTTTGGCTCGATTATCATTTGTTCTTGAACCATATATACTGTTGATCGAGTGTTGCTTCTAGGATCGAACTAGATCTTGACATGATTTTTAATGAGATTGGAACTTAATTAGAACTTGAATTTGTCGGCACTATGCTCAACGTGAGCTTCGTTGTTCTTAAATTGTTATTTCAATTCGGTCGGATGACTAGTCGGTCCAACTGAAGTCGACCGGATGCGGTTTTGATTTCTGTCCTAACCGCCCGTTTGTACTTAGATTTCGATCGAATTGGAGCGCTAATTGCTGAGCTGACTTGTTTTCTCTTTCGTGGTTTTCAAGAGCCGCGGCGATCCCGGATCCTCAACCCGCCGAGAGGAGATAGCGCGGGAAGAGACCGCCGTCGAGCCCGATGACGACTTCGTGGACGACTCGACGATGCAGGGATGCCACCTTTTCCTGAGACCCCGGGAGACGACGAGACCGAGGACGCTGTCACGGCGGAGGAGATGCAGCGTTCCGCACCCTCCTCGACATGAAGTTTGCCGGGACGCGATGCCGACGCCGACAGACGATGCAGACGCTTCGCATCGACGAGGACATCGACGAGATGTTCCAAACCTCGGGATCCACCGACTCATGTTCCAGCAGCACGAGTCTTACCGGAAGGCGACTTGCCTTTTCCTTGCCACTCTCGAGCACGAGCCCTGCCACCCGGCAAGACCACACCCGACGGCAGTGACGGGTACATCACGTTCTGGGCCACCGGACAGCGACACTATCTCTCATACAGAGACATCGACCGAGCACTTTCCTGCCGCCAGGCAACCGTCTAGGCCTCGACGTCGACCGCGACGAGATGTCCTCACTTTGGGGGACGATCGCGTTTGGGGATTACTTCTCCTCAACGCGAAGTCCGCTCAGATCAGGAGCCCGCCGGTCCGCTACTTCCACAAGGCGATCGCCAACACGCTCTTTTCCCGACAGGCCACCGGGAACGTCACAGAGACAGAGATGGCCATGATCGACGTGGCACTCACAGGCATCCCGTTGAGACTGATCAACGGGACCGAGCTCCGAGGCAGCAGGTCCACGGAGGCATCACGGTCGCCTTGCTAGCCAGCTCCGCTCTTACAGGGACTGGGCTTCGAGGAACAGGACCATCCGGCACAAGTGCACACTGCGGATGGGCGGCTTGGTCACACCTCTTCTACGCGCCGTCGGCTTCACACCTGACAGAGAGGACGAGGTCGCCACCCGAGTGGCTCGATCTCGAGTACCTGAGGAACAGCGTCTTCTTGCAGAAGACGTCAGACGCCAGCCGACTCCTGTACCAGTTCACCCACGTTCAGCTCGGCGTTCCCGCATGTTGCTCCCCAGCCCCAGCTGGACGACGATCAGAGGTGGGACCAACGTCGAGTTCAACCCACCTCAGTCTGCTCTCTACGGAGACCGAGACCGCCAGAGACTACGCCACACCTCAGGCGACCACACCGCGGCGATCCATCACACGAGCTCGACTCCATGCAGACGGACGAGCTCGACCACTTCCACTTCGGGTACGCCACCACTGCCAGACAGACCGCCGGGCTGAAGGCGGCTCACCAGCACATCAGCATTCTTCAGCGGTGGAACAAGGCGCAGGACAAGATCACCACAAGCTCAAGAGCAAGGTGAAGAAGATGGCCGATCAGATCCGTGCCATGCAGGACAAGCTGAGCTGTACTGCCTCAGCTTCAGGAGGTGTCCACAGGACCGCAGTCGGTCCACGCCAGGCGATCCCCTCTGAGGACGACGACGAGCCCGACCACGACACCACCGGCGGACGACCACTACCTCCTGAGCCACCACGACACTCTTCCTTCGAGCCGCGACAGCAGCGGAAGAGGCGCTTTGGAGAGCCGCAGACAGCGAGACCATCAGGCGCAGAGCTCGGCAGACTTGCCATTCAGGCGATGCAGCTCCACTTCGAGGCCGACAGCGCCGACAGACCACACACCGCCGACGAGAGCTCCGCCGGACCAGTACGTGCCTTACACCAGAGCGAGCTGCGCCACCACCGTCCCTACTTACACGCAGGAGAGCATGCAGGAGGATCTCGACGACTTCATCTACGGACGCCGCTGATGCTCTCTCCTGACGCCACTCGACCGACCACCACCACTGTATCATTCCATTTTCCCTTTTCTTTTTCTTTTATTGAGTCTGTTTAACTCTCTCCTTGGTTTCTTTTCACACCGGGTCGGTGTGAAGTAAGTCCGGGGGAGGGTCTTTGTGTTTACTAACGTCTTTTTCTTTCTTTTGTTTTCTGTTTCACCTTGAGTCATTTTGATGTTTTCTTTGAGTCAGGTTTTATTGAGTCAAAAACTTGTTGGGAATAAACTTATCTGATGAAACCATTTGATCTTGAATTCTTTCTATCTAGTGACCAATTTTGCAGGGTTTGTTATGTGTAAAAAGCTGGATTACCCTTTTGGTCAGACTTCCCCCAGGAATTTTCGTTTTGCAGAGATTTTGGTGAAACATTTGGTTGACTCTAATGCTATTGGACCACTAATCTGACATCAATTACCTCTCATTCGGAATGTCATAGCAGGGAAACGGACCATACACTCAGGACTTCTTATTCATTTTACCACTCTCTGTTGATCCTGAGTGGCCAGCCCATTTTTGGTTGGTACCCCACCTTGAGCCTTACCTTCTTTCTGACTTCATGCACTCTGTTCTTTTTGTCATATATGCAGATATGTGCAAAAACGTCGGAGAGAAAGGTTCGACACAGCTTCCCAACCACATTCAAGACGAGTGTTCATCTACAACACTGAGAATGGGAAGTGATGGTGGAGTATGGAGCCTGAATCGATCGAACTGATGGTCGTTCCTTGGAGATACACGGTAACATTTACGAGCCATTGACACTAGTTCCCCTCAAAAAAAAAAAAAAAAAAAAAAAATCAGAAAAACTTGAGGAAAGGAACTAGTGGTTCAATAAAATGTCAAGCTCGACCGAATACCTCCAAGGAACACCACCGATCAAGGCGAATTGGGAGTTAGAGCTGTTCTGGATAAAATCCAACATACAAGGAGTTGAAGAGTGAAGTGGTTGGGAAATGTGGCTATCAACAGAACCATTCTCTCTTGCTGTTTTGCGCGATATCATGCATCCTCCGGCGTATCTGGTAACCCTTAAACACTTTAACCTCACCAAAACAGGCCTTTTGATACCCAACACCGTCGACCCTGTATGATGTTCTTGATGAGAGGTCCACGCCAAACTTAATGAATGTAGAGAGTTAACCTATGTGTAGCTTGAGTTTCTGCAGGATGGAGGTTCATCACGGGATCAGGAATGCGAGACTTCAAGGGGACTACAGTGATTATGCACTGACCGAACCTTGTCCTTTGAGGTCTACTGATGATCCTTCGGGGTATGGTTGCTGATGATTTGTGAGTTCCCGCGTTTTCAAACTTCTTCCCTATTCTTGGAATTTATGTTTGCTTGAGGGCAAGCAAAAGACCAAGTCCGGGGGAGTTGATATCTTGCGTATTTGACGCATTCTAACACTTGTTTTCACGAGTTTTATCGAGTCTTTCTAGTCTTTATCGAGTCTTTTCAGGTCTAAAGACGTTCCAGGGAGAGCTTTGGTCACATGGACCAACAGGAGGAGAAAGCAGGCAAAACGGAGCAAAGGAGCTCGATCGAGTCGCCACAGATCGATCGACCACTCGATCACCCACTCGATCGATCTACAGCTACAATCGATCGATCACCTCCTGCTACTCGATCGATCCCATGCAAAGAGTAGCTCGATCGATCCCATGCAGAGCGACGAAGCTCGATCGATCCCGTTCTGTTTCAGCCGTTCGATCAATCCCGGTCAGATGATATCACAGCCGTTCGATCTACTTGGTGCAAACCGACTTGATCGAACCACAGCGAACCGGATTGAACCGAAGTCGACCCCGGAGCTATTTAGACCTATCTTTAGCCATTGTTTAGGCTACGCCGTTTTTCAGAGTTTTACACTGTTGTTCATTGTTTCCGAGGGAGAAGAGATCAAACCTCTGTTTTCACAGTTTGGAGAAGATTTCTGAACCCTTGTTTTTTGCTATTTCATATTTGATTCAATGAATTCAGTTTCAGTCATTGTTTGCTGTTTCGTTATGTCTGAGTAGTCACCCTGCTAGATCTAGGCTTTTCAAAGGGATTCATGTGTTAACTTGACTGAATACAGATAGGGCTTTAATACTGTCTTCGCCATTGTTGCACTTACTGCTTAGATCGATCTGATCATTCGATCTCTGATCTCAGATTACCTGTTCATCAAAAGTGCAATAGGTTGTTAGAACGAACTGTGGTGAGCGAATCGTCCTTAGCCTGCGAAAGTTGATGCTAAGGCGATTCGTGAACTTATCGAACCTGAGTTTACTGCTTGTCATCAATTGCTAGATTCAAACGACAGTTTAGACATCTAGGTTGTTAGATAAAGTTGTCATTATCGCGAAAGTGAATTGACATATTTTGTTTGAGTTCGAGACCTGTTCATCTGTGCCCTGAATAGTTGTTTGGTCGTTAACCTGAATCTCTGCGAATTGCCTTGGTCTAGTCCCTGTTTAATTGAATTACATCATCGTTTACATTCGTTACCTGTTACTAAAACCAATCATCTTTGTCTTAGCTCTGTTTTAAATCTCCTAGTTTCACAGTGTAACGCTGGTCCTCTGGATTTCGAATCCTTTATATTACAATTTCATCACTGTTAATTTGCAGTAGAGAAAATGATCTATTTCTAGTTTATCACTGTGGCCATGCTATCAACTACAAACTACAAGATGAACAAAGCCGTGCATGCATGGCATCAATTTTTTATAAAGATTAAGAGCATATTTTCATTAGTTTTATTTAGTTAAACTTAAAAATATAGTTTTAGTAACACTAGTCTTAAACGTGAAAGTTTTGTGATACTTTAGAGAAACAAAACATGAACTTACAATATAAAAATCATGGGGTTTTGATGGTCAAGTGACTAAATTGCCAGAATATACAACATACAAAATTGGGTGATTGGTTATTTTATCTATATAGTAAAAAACTTGAATTTAAAAGTTTGGCTAACAATTTTGTGGTGAAATATGTTTTAGAACTAATATTTCTGTTTGCTAGTGTATTTCTTTTAATTATACAACGATAGTATTAATTAAGGTTGTGTTCTTTTTATGAATTAAAACATTTTGTTTTTATTCCCTTTCGATGTTTTTTATGTTGGCACGGCTCTACGGTCTACGGTATTATGACTGTGGTCTGTGGGGGCAGTACGGAGTGATGAGAAGATAGAAAGGAGTGATCGCACGTGTCTCTGTCTCTCGATTGTAGTGAATTGTGATACGTGATTGTGCAAGGAGAAGCTATACTACTCAACCAATCATGGTATGCAAGGACAAGCTAAATTACAAAAAAAGAATCCTTTTGGCTGTGTAGATCATTTCTAGTATTATATAAACTTAGTTGTTAGTCTCTACAATTCTTAAACGGTAAACGTGAATGTCCAGAGAGAGAAAAGTTGTAGAGGCAGGGCAAAATGAATACTTTGTGGAACTCTGCGATGTTGATTATAGCCTTAGTGGTAATAAAGATCAGCCACTGGCTTTATCGATGGTCAAACCCTAAGTGCAATGGCAAGTTACCACCAGGAACAATGGGTTTTCCAATCATTGGAGAGACATGTGACTTCTTTAAGCCTTCTGGATTCAACGATATCCCATCCTTTGTGAAGAAGAGGATGTTAAGGTTAGATATCATTTTCTCCATAGTTATATAGAAATTAACAAGAAGTCAAGAACCGTCATATATGTGTATGTTTATGTCTTTATGAAATGTCTCCAGGTACGGGCCATTGTTTCGGACGAACATTCTCGGTTCCAAAACAGTGATCTCAACGGACCCGGATGTGAACTTCCAAATTTTCCGGCAAGAGAACACGTGTTTCGAGATAGGCTATCCGGACATATTTTTCAAGGTATTTGGAAAAGACAATCTGTTCGGGAAGGATGTGAATATCCACAAATACCTCCAAAAAATCACCACGGGATTTATTGGCTCCGAGGGTTTGAAGCGAACGATGATAGGAGTCATGGACAGAGCGGTCCGCGACCATTTTATATTGAAAGCTAGCCAAGGGAGCTTCGATGTTAGGAAAGAAGTTGACAGCGTTAGTTTATACATATCTTCTTCATTTGTCTATTGACCAATTTATTTAAGCAATTAATTGATTAACTCTTCCTTAATTTTTGCAGCTGGTATTAGCATACATGACACCAAATTTTATTAGTAACCTCAAACCAGAGACTCAATCAAAGCTTATGGATAGTTTACATGACATCTCTCTTGATTGGTTTCAGTCCATCTTCAGTCTCTCTACTTGGAAATCTCTCATCAAAGTCATGAAGGTGACTTAAAACCTATTTTTTTGTAACTATAAATAGCACTTAAATTTCTTTACTAATTCCTTGTTGTTTTCAGTCACGTGGAGAAGCCCTCCAAGTGATGAAAGACGCTCTCCGGAGGAGGAAAGAGTCGAGGGAGAAGCAAGGAGATTTCCTCAACACGATGCTTGAAGAACTAGAGAAAGAAGATAGCCTTTTTGACCAAGGATCGGCTATAGACCTCATCTTCCTTCTTTCGTTCGCCACGAGAGAAGGTAGCTCTAGCTGTACTGCTTTGGCTGTGAAATTTATATCCAAAAACCCAAAAGTGCTTGCACAGCTCAAGGTAATATTTATAAATCTTTTTGTTTCTATCATCTTAAGACTTAAGATCAAGTATGGATGGAGTTGATATATAATGTTGCATAGCGTGAGCATAAGGCAATCGTAGACAACAGAAAAAATAAGGAAGCTGGAGTTAGCTGGGAGGAATACAGACACAATATGACTTTCACCAACATGGTAATCTATATTTACCATAAATAATGGATATTTACATGTTGAAGAGGTGACATTAATATGTAGGTTATCAATGAGTCGCTTCGATTGACAAACACGACCCCTGTACTGCTTAGAAAGGCTGTGAACGATGTTGAGATCAAAGGCTAGTACTACTGCAAAGTTATATATAATTGTTATATATGGAAAATGGTTATTTAATTTAATTTTCAAGTACTAGCTCAAATATGTATACTCAATCACTAAAAGATGCTTTAATTATTGGCAGGATATACGATTCCGGCAGGTTGGATTGTGGGGGTTGCACCAGCAGCGGTTCATTATGATCCTGAAATATATGAGAACCCATTTGAGTTTAACCCATGGAGATGGAAGGTCTTATATACTTACTCTTATTTAGCCTCTCTTTTTTTTTTGCATCATTCATTGTCACATATCTATAGTTATAGTTGGGAACTTGGTTGGTTGGCAGGGGAAAGAAATGGTTTGGGGTTCGAAAACATTTATGGCGTTTGGAGGTGGAGTGAGACTGTGTGTAGGTGCAGAGTTTGCACGGCTTCAGATGGCAATCTTCATTCATCATCTTGTCACCTACTACGATTTCTCATTGGTCCAAGACTGCAAGGTCACTCGTACACCATTTCTTCAATTCACCAAGGGTCTTCTCATAAACATCTCCAAGTCTTGCACTAAGTGATGAACCCTTCAATTACAAATAATTTATAAACAGATCACCATATGCAGCAAACAATGTCCTCTCCTGCGTGCCGCCTTATGTGCGGAGTACTTTTATTCATCTTTTATGCTCTATATAATTTATAAAAGTATATGGAATGAGTTCAACTTTCAGCTAGACAGCTTTCAGCTATTAAAAAAAACTAAAAGTTAGATGCATCCGTTGTAACAAAGTTTTTTTTAGTTCGAATAAATTTTATATTCGATTATAAAATAAATAAAGTATGAGTTCAACTTCTAACACAGAAATTCAGGGAATCAACAAAACCAAACAATACACACTCATTGGAACGTAAGCAATGCCACGGAATATCTAAGTCAAATTCAGAGCAATACTTGAAAGAATAAAGAGGTGAATGCACATCTTACTGGAAAGACACGGCATTCCGTTTGACTGTGAAGGAAAATGGTAGAAGCTATGAGGAGAACATAGTAATTAGGTTTTACAAAATAAACGCATCATAATAATTATTTTTTGCCAACCATTTTGTACTAATCAAATTTGTTACAAAAATTTAAACTCGGAGAATATAGTTCATATAAAGAATATCAAACTGACAAAGATGAGTACTCCATTCTAACACTCGTGAATTCCTCCAAAATGTACTCCGAAAGCTGGCTACTCCTGTTAGATCTGAGATAGCACGTGTTCAGCGACGAGATATCAAAGATGTGAGTTTTTGTAACTGAGATTTTATTGCTCAAAGAAGTATCAAGGATTACAAAAGGGAGTCTCGTCAAACAGATCTTGAGGAGACGGAATGAGAGAACAAGAGAAAATTGAATAAAAGTTGCTATTGCTAGGAGTGATTGCATAGAGTTTTGGATTAGGTCTTCAAGGAATGAAGTTTATTTGAGGAAGTTAAGGCTTGAAGAAGGGCTGGACTTGTGATGTTACTAATCGTGACGGGTTCAAGGAAATGTGCTCATTTCACCTCTAACAACTCCTCCTGTGAAATAATTATTCACCTGGAAAAACAAGTGGATAATTAGTAATTTTTATTAGATCTAAGATTAAATTAGCTAGGCACATTAATTTTTTTTATTAGATCAAAGATTTTTCAAACACATGAACTTAAAATAAATAAAAGTAAAGTTTTGTGATACTTAAAAGAAACAAAACATGAACTTACTGTATAAAAATCATGGATTTAAATGGTCAAGTAACAAAACAAATATGACGATAATCTTTAATTGTTAAAGAATAAAGTAAGCTATATATATAATTGGTTATGATTTGGTTATCTTATCTTTGCTAGAATATACAACATACACACAATTGGGTGATTGGTAATATTATCTTGAAAAAAATTAGTTAAAAACTTGAATTTAAAAGTTTGGTTAACAATTTTGTGGTGGAAAATATGTTTTAGAAGTTACAACTAATATTTTTGGTTGCTAGTTTATTTCTTTTATACAGCAATGGTATTTATTATCGCTGTTTTTTTTATGAATTAAAACACTTTATTTTTAGGATTAATTTGCTCAATGACAATATTAGGGATCAATATTAAGAATATAGCCATGGTAATTGAAAAATTAAGAAACTAACAAAGAGAAACATTTTTTGGACAATTTTCTCCTTTCACATCCATGTTAATTTCTATCCACCTCATCATCGAGAACAGACGATGAAACATCAGCGGTGGTGCCGACTCTACTCTGATTGCTATAGAATGAGTGTAAAATGGGTCACCGACAACTAATATACGCCGGTTTATTTCGGTGAATGAAGAAGATAGAACAAAGTGTAGGACCGCGAAAATCCAGATTGAAAAATACGAATGAAATTCTTATATAATAATAATATATAGTAAGAAATCCGATTGAAAACAGACGAATACACAGAGGCGAGATTTTATCTCTTTCCTTAACTCAATAAATCTCCCGCAGTGTGGCGGTTTTGATGAGACTTTTGAATCCCAGGATACAACTGTGTGAGACTATAGTTGCAACACCCAACTACAGAATCTGCGAACTAAATAACTACGCTATACTCTCGAGACTTACTTTTAGAGAAGAAAGGAAGAGATGTGAGAGATTTGCTGGAGTGTTTGATTTTGAATCAATGATTGAATGAATTGGTGAATGAATGAATAATGAGAGGGTGAGGCCCTTTATTTATAGGTGATAGGAGACTTGCTCTCCAAGGAGGAAATATCCTTTTTTGATGTTTACCAAAAGAGATAAGGAATAATTCCATTAAAGGATAATGAATAATTCCATTAAGGGATAAGGAAGAATTCCATTATTCCATTAAGGGATAAGGAAGAATTCCATTATTAATTTCTTGTTTATCAAACAGAAACTGAACTCAATCTTTCTAGAAGTTTCTGGAAGATTTATTCTTGACATTATTCCTTTTTTCCAATTTGGGACAAATGAAGTGCTCCTTCATTTAACTCACTTAACTTTCTCATTAATTTTACATGAGCCTAAGCCCATTTCTTTTCACACTTGTCCACAATTTTATTCAGCCCATTTGGCTTAAAAATTTGGTTCCAACAATCCCCCACATGAATAGAAATGACTCTAAAACATATGCAGACTCTACTAACTCGAAAGACTATAATGCAGACTCTACAGACTGACAGAAGGACTTTACGAGAGTATAAGCGAAAATTAACTGTGTATGATGTAGTAGCATGTTTCAGCCTTGAACTAATCACTGTTAATAACTGTCGGGTTTACTTAGCCAGGAGGTGAACACGATGTCTTGAACCACCCGGATGTTTATGTAAACCGAGACAACAGCTATAACCCAGCTTCATTTCCTCGTAGAACTTAGTTCTCTATTGCGTTCATTGTGGCCTTGAACTTTTCCTGGTTGATCATGAGTGAACTTAGAGAATATAGCCTGACTTCATCCTCCTAGAAACGGCCGCATTTCACACTCACTAGGTGATTTCATTGAGCTCCTGTCATATAAGAAAAGTATCCTGTTAGTACTCCTTGTATATATGAAAGCTACTCATATCATTAAAAGCAACGCTTATCCTTTAAACTTACAGGAAGCACTGTGCATCATTTTGGGAGCTGGGCTCAGACATATTGTCTTGCAGTGCTGTAAACAGATTCTGTTTGATTTAGTTGTCCCTTTGAACCAGCCTTTTGGGATCTCCAATCGCGAAGGTTGGGTGTCCATCAAACATCCTCTTTTGTCATAGGCAAAAGACCCATTCCCTTAGATGATTTCAAAACTTGATCTCTTGACACACCTGGATCCTAGGTTATCATTTAAGGTAATATAATCTATTAAGATTACTCCATTTGAGATCAGTTGTTCAAAGTGTTTAGGAGGTGGTATTACAACTTTTGCAATGCACCCCCACACTTTTAGGTATTTGTACAAATGTACTTTTACCTTTATAAAGTTCATATGACATTTTTCAATGACTTTATCTGGTAAGCAATGCTTACCCCCTACATTTCATGTTTGTCTTTTCTTGATTTGCATTTTGTAATAAGGTTTAAATTACTCAATTTTTTTGTAGATTTATAATTTCCATACCTTAACTTGCAAACCAAATATTGAAAGACTCAACTCTGTAGTTGTTAACTTTGCTACAAAGGTACTATACCTTTTCAAAGTTCATATAGAGTTACACCAATCACCTTGTGTGATATTTTGTTGATGATATGGTTTGTGGTGAGAAGCGCTTCCCCCCACAGATCATGCTGTAATCCATTTCTACAACATTGCATTCATCATCTCTTTCAGAGTTTGATTTTTTCTTTCTGCAACTCCATTAGATTCTGGTGAATATGGAGCAGTGGTTCGATGTATGATGTCTTTCTCCTGACAGAAAGCATTAAAATGTCCATCATACTCACCTCCTCTATCACTTCTAACCATTTTGATGGTTTTTTCCAGTTGGTTTTCAACTTCAGTTTTGTACTCCTTATCCAGGGCTTCCCACAGCTCCTTAGATGTTTTGACCTCACTGTAAACATTGTACAGTTGATCCACTAGGCAATTTTGATTGTATTTCACAAAACAGATTTTGTCAGTATTGTGGGGTATGCGAAAATAATTCGCTAAGTTCACAGAGACTTGCTCTTAAACTTTATATTAGATCAGAGATCAGATATAATAGAGTTGAAAAAACGTTTCGCAATCCTGCTGGAAGCTGTCGCGTAAATCGTTTTATCAAGTAATGATATTCGTCTTTTTTGAGATCGAAACTTTCTGCTGAATAGCTATAAAACTTTCGCAGAACTGTTTCAGATCAGTAAGAAAACCGTTTTATAATATCATATAAGAAAAAACTGTTTCGCATTTTCAATCCGATTCAAGCGATAAGGATCGGATTTATTGAGTTAAGACTGTAGGACCGCGAAAATCCAGATTGAAAAATACGAATGAAATTCTTATATAATAATAATATATAGTAAGAAATCCGATTGAAAACAGACGAATACACAGAGGCGAGATTTTATCTCTTTCCTTAACTCAATAAATCTCCCGCAGTGTGGCGGTTTTGATGAGACTTTTGAATCCCAGGATACAACTGTGTGAGACTATAGTTGCAACACCCAACTACAGAATCTGCGAACTAAATAACTACGCTATACTCTCGAGACTTACTTTTAGAGAAGAAAGGAAGAGATGTGAGAGATTTGCTGGAGTGTTTGATTTTGAATCAATGAATGAATTGGTGAATGAATGAATAATGAGAGAGGTGAGGCCCTTTATTTATAGGTGATAGGAGACTTGCTCTCCAAGGAGGAAATATCCTTTTTTGATGTTTACCAAAAGAGATAAGGAATAATTCCATTAAGGGATAAGAATATTATTCCATTAAGGGATAAGGAAGAATTCCATTATTAATTTCTTGTTTATCAAACAGAAACTGAACTCAATCTTTCTAGAAGTTTCTGGAAGATTTATTCTTGACATTATTCCTTTTTTCCAATTTGGGACAAATGAAGTGCTCCTTCATTTAACTCACTTAACTTTCTCATTAATTTTACATGAGTCTAACCCATTTCTTTTCACACTTGTCCACAATTTTATTCAGCCCATTTGGCTTAAAAATTTGGTTCCAACACAAAGAAGAGATTTAGTGTCGTGGAGGTTAGGGATGCCATGGATTCCGGAGAATACGGAAGACACTATGTGAAGGCTCATTGGAAGTCATGCCGGAGGAGTATCGGCAGTGCTCTGCTTCTGTTTGACAGAGATGAGAAACTAGAGGCTAAGAAAGAGGAAAATATACCAATGGTGGAATTTATAGGTGAAAAAATATGAGAATTTAAAAGTTTTGAATCGCAATGTTACATGATGAGATTCTTCGAAACAATACACCGATCACATGATGAGATTTCTGGTAAACATGATAATTCTTGTCGTTCTCGAATCAATATATTAATGAAATTATAATTCTTGAACACGATGACTTTCTATAGATCTCTTTTCTCTTTTATACCATAGTATTTCAGATCAAAATCGAACTCTTTTTCTGGCCTAGATTTGAAATCGGAAACTTAATTTCTTCTCGGAAACAAATTTGTAGAAGACTAGTCATTTTTTTCTTATCTGAATTCGACTAAAACTAACTTATGTCTAAATAATTTGTAAATCTTAGAGGATTGAAGAAGAATCTGGAAATTTCTTACGAAGAGCAAGATCTTTCATCCATGAAGGTTAATTTGGGCATTATTACAGAAAATACAAACAATACTTTAGAGTCTAGCCATGAATCCACTATGGTCATTTTGTTAATATTTGGTTTTTTTATGGCTATCTACTTATATTTCTTCCCTTATTCGCTTTGGATGCTTTTTTATGTTGGCAGGCTCTAGATATGGGCTAAAATTACTCTTATTATGACTGTGGCCTGTGGCCCCCTGTGGGGGTACTACGGAGTGATGGGAAGATAGAAAGGAGTGATCCACATGTGTCTCTGTTTCTCGATTTTAGTGAATTGTGTGATACATGATTGAAGCTCTTACATCTAAAAATATCTCTACAGTACTCAACAATCATGTTCTACAAGGACAAGCTAAATTACAAAAAGTAATCTGTGTAGATCATTATTAGTAATACATAAACTTAGTTGTTAGTCTCTACAATTCTTAAACAGTAAACGTGAATGTCCATAGAGAAAAAAAAAGTTGTAGAGGCAGGGCAAGATGACTATCCTGTGGAACTTTGCGATGTTGATTATAGCCGTAGTGGTTATAAGGATCAGCAACTGGCTTTATCGATGGTCAAACCCTAAGTGCAATGGCAAGTTACCACCAGGGACAATGGGTTTTCCAATCATTGGAGAGACATGTGACTTCTTTAAGCCTTCTGAATTCAACGATATCCCACCCTTTTTGAAGACGAGGATGTTAAGGTTAGTCCTCCATAATTATATATAAAGAAGAACATGTATGTATATATGTATGTTTATGTGTGTATGAAATGTTTCCAGGTACGGGCCATTGTTCCGGACGAACATTCTCGGTTCCAAAACAGTGATCTCAACGGACCCAGATGTGAACTTCCAGATTTTCCGGCAAGAGAACACGTGTTTCGAGTCAGGCTATCCGGACATATTTTACAAGGTATTTGGAAGAGATAATTTGCTCATGGATGCTGTGAACCTCCACAAGTACGTCCAAAAAATCACCACGGAACTTCTTGGCACAGAGGGTTTGAAGAGAACGATGATAGGAGTCATGGACAGAGCGGTCCGCGACCATTTTATATTGAAGGCTAGCCAAGGGAGCTTCGATGTTAGGAAAGAAGTTGACAGCGTTAGTTTATACATATCTTTCTTCATTTGTCTATTGACCAATTTAAGCTCAAATTAATTGATAAATTCTTGCTTAATTTTTGCAGCTGGTATTAGCATACATGACACCGAAGTTGATTAGTAGCCTCAAATCAGAGACTCAATCAAAGCTTATGGATAGTTTAAATGACATGTCTCTTGATTGGTTTCAGTCCATCTTCAGTCTCTCTACTTGGAAATCTCTCATCAAAGTCATGAAGGTGACTTAATACTTTTTTTTTGTAATTATAAATAGCACTTATATATTTTTTTTTTTGGTAATCATATTAGCACTTAAATTTCTTTATTAATTTGTTGTTGTATTCAGTCACGTGGAGAAGCCCTCCAGGTGATGAAAGACGCACTCAGGATGAGAAAAGAATCGAGGGAGAAGCAAGGAGACTTCCTCAACACAATGCTTGAAGAACTAGAGAAAGAAGACAGCCTTTTTGACCAAGGATCGGCTATAGACCTCACCTTCCTTCTTTCGTTCGTCTCGAGAGAAGGTACCTCTCGTTGTACTGCTTTGGTCGTGAAATTCATATCCAAGAATCCAAAAGTGCTTGCAGAGCTCAAGGTAAATATATATTCTCTTTTTTTTCTATCATTTTAAGATCAAAGTATGGATGGAGTTGATATATAATGTTGCACAGCGTGAGCATAAGGCAATCGTAGAGAACAGAAAAGATAAGGAAGCTGGACTTAGCTGGGAGGAATACAGGCACAATATGACTTTCACCAACATGGTAATATATATGTATCTTCCGGATTTACCATAAATAATGGATATTTGCATGCTGAAGAGGTAACAGTAATTAATATGTAGGTTATCAATGAGTCGCTTCGATTTACAAACTCGACCCCTTTACTGTTTAGAAAGGCTGTGAACGATGTTGGAATCAAAGGCAAGTACTACTGCAAATTTATATATAGGGAAAACTATAATTTAATTTTTCAAGTAGTATTTAGAGCCTCAAGTTAATGTTGACCTCCTAAATTTAGGCACGAGAAAAACCAATGTTAACTAAGAAAACAGAGACGTTAGCATTGACTTTTTCATGAGTCCAATGTTCTCAAGTCGAGGGAAACTTGAGAACCCATTTATTTCCACTGAGAAAAACAAATTCAAATATATATATATTCGCTAAATCACTAAAAGATGCATTAATTATTGGCAGGGTATACGATTCCGGCAGGTTGGATTGTAGCGGTTGCACCAGCAGCGGTGCATTATGATCCAGAAATATATGAGAACCCATTTGAGTTTAACCCATGGAGATGGAAGGTCTTATATAATTGCTCTAATAATTTACCCCTTTTTTCTGCATCATCCATTGTCACATAAAAATAGTTGGGAATCTGGTTGGTTGGCAGGGGAAAGAAATGGTGTGGGGCTCCAAAACGTTCATGGCGTTTGGAGGTGGAGTGAGACTGTGTGTAGGTGCAGAGTTTGCACGGCTTCAGATGGCAATCTACATTCATCATCTTGTCACCTATTACGATTTCTCTTTGGTCCAAGACTGCGAGGTCACTCGTACACCATTTCTTCAATTCACTAAGGGTCTTCTTATAAACATCTCCAAGTCTTCCACCAACTGAACCCCTTCAATTACAAATATTCTATAAACAGATCCCTATATGCAGCAAACAATGTCCTCTTATGCGTGGAGTATTTTTATTCGTCTTTTAAAAAGAACGCTTCTATGCTCTATATAATTTTAAAAAATATATGGAATGAGTTCAACTTTCAGCTAGTCAAGACTATTTTTTTTTTTTTTTAATAAACAAGTTTACACAAGAATGTTTTGCATGTCACCAAGATATCTGGCTTTTCTTTCTTGTGAAAGCTATATGCATGATGCATCATAATTTTAATGGTAATCACATAAAAGATTTGTATCTTAAGTATTTTTTGTTTTTATGACTTTGTTATAACTATATTTATCTATAGTCTAACATCAGATTGTATTGATATTCGATTTGATGTAACAAACCCCAGTAGCTTTAGTTGCAAACGGTGGACAAAGTTACCAATTTTTGTTTATCGCTAAAGCCAAATACTAGTCGAAGAATCATATTATCGATTTCTATTGTAAAGATTATGTAAAAAAAACAAAAAATGATTGTCCACAAATTATTGTTGATTTTGATTTTTCTATTCATCTCATCAATCCAGTTTAATTGGATTTTTAATTGATTTTTGTTAATATTTAACTGAAGTGTTTCATGATCACTTTTTTACATGTGCAAGTGGAATCATGTAACCATTTACATGACTCCAATTCAATTTTTTTTTTTAAATACCAATTTTGATCATGACATACAAATGTAGTTTGAGATGGCCTTGCATTCGTCCAAAAAAAAAAAATGGCATTCAACTAAAAGTCACTCAATTAAAATTACCTTCTATTGAAATTTAGATCCCTTTGATAACAGAAAATGGAATACAAGTCACATGTAATGTTTTATCTACGATGAACAATCCAGTATGTTGCAAAAGAAAAGTTTTAAAATTTATTTTACACATTCCTAGCTAATATTCAATCATAAGATACTAAAATAATGTTTTGAGCTCAAGAAAATCTTGAAACACTCAGGAAACAGCGGTGTGAACTTACATCATATCTTACAGATTGAGATTAAGATTGAGATTGAGATTGAACGAGAGAGAAATAAAGGAAATCTCTTACCAATCCACAGCCTTAACAAACTTTGTCTGCCTTTTAGTCCAAATCTGTCTCTATCCTGTGTTTTTTTTTTCTTGCAGTGGTACAAAAACTCAGAAACAATTCGCAATTAATGACCGTTTTCTTCTTCACCTACTCTCTCTTTCTCTCTCTCTCTCTCTCTCTCTCTCGAAGTAATTAGCCTCCGCTGATCCCATCTAGGGATTTCCTAAAACTTTGACTTTCTCTGAGACTTGCCATTTTCTCTAGAATTTTCTTGAAATTCCCTTCCTTTCTGGGGTCAGACTTGATTCTGGATTCCGGGAAAGATGGGTAACAAGCTCATCTCCATGATGAAGAAAGACAGCAAAGATGGATCGAAGAGCAAGAGAATGAATCGTTCACAGAGAAAACTGCTTGCTGATGAAGAGATGTTGCATCGACGAGCTCTGTCCATGGCGATTCACCAAGCTCAGCTTTCTCAGAGATTCGATGGATCTATGTCTAGACGTGTCGGGTCTACAAGTACTAGGAAACAACGGACCCTCTCTGACCCGTTTTCTAACGGCAAGCAGGTCTCTCACTAACTCAATCTCCTCCTCTTCCTTCACACTTAAAACACATATTTTTCTTGAAAAGTTCAAAGCTTTTTACTCATTCAATCATTTTTTAATATATTGTAAATGATTATTTCGCCTTTTTGTTCAGTAATATTGATTGAAAAATAGGATCTTTGGTGTAATGATTGTTTGGATCCTTTTTCTTTCTCTATATATATGTTCTCTATATATATATGTGAGAAGAAAAAGTCATTACAAAAGGAAGATTCTTTGTTAAAGGTGTTCAGATTTCTAACTCATCTGTTGGAAAATGTGAACTTTGTCAAGAAAAGAAATGTTCTTTACTCTGATACTGACACTGGGTTGGGACCAGATGAAACGATAGAAATGTACTGATAAACTTGGTTATGTCTGAAGAACTTTTGTCTCTACTCTTGTTTCTAAATGTCCTGTAAGAATCTGCTTGTCATTATTCATGCTTTTATTGGTTGTTAGTTGAAGACTGAGTGAGAAGAGAAGAGAAGATCTTGATTTTCTGAGAGAACTGAATTTGTATAACTTTGTTGAAAAGTGAATCTTTTTGGCTGATTTTGTTCTTGTCACACCTTGTAATTGAAAATGTTAGAGCAGTGAATGAGTATAGAAGCTTCCTTTTGGATAAACGTATCTACTTTCTTTCTTACAGGTACCTGATTTTGCAACAGAGAGCTTGACGGTGAAGAAGTTTGTTCTGGTGCACGGTGAAGGGTTTGGAGCATGGTGTTGGTACAAAATGGTTGCTTCATTGGAAGAGTCTGGACTGTCTCCTACTACAGTCGACCTCACTGGGTCTGGATTCAACATGACAGACACTAACAGTGTCTCTACCTTGGAGGAATATTCAAAACCATTGATTGAGTACCTCCAAAATCTACCTGAAGAAGAGAAGGTTAGAGTTTGCTCTTCTTGTTTGGATTTTGGAGAATTATTCAAAACCAATTTGATTAGAACAATGGTTTGTTGTTTTATGCAGGTTATTCTGGTGGGTCATAGTACTGGAGGTGCGTCCATTTCATACGCTTTGGAGCGGTTTCCAGAGAAGATCTCGAAAGCTATATTCGTATGTGCAACAATGGTTTCTGATGGCCAAAGACCCTTTGATGTTTTCTCTGAAGAGGTAATAACAAACAGTCATTAAGTCTTTGTTTCTGTTTTCTTGTGCTGACATTTGTGAGAAACCATCTACATTGCTGCAGCTTGGTTCCGCGGAGAGGTTCATGAAAGAGTCTCAGTTCTTGATCTATGGGAACGGAGAAGACAAGCCTCCTACAGGTTTCATGTTCGAGAAACAACACATGAAAGGCTTGTATTTCAATCAATCACCAAACAAGGTAACACTCCCAAAACGCCAATTCTTGATAGGTTCTTGATAATCACCGGCCAAAGTCTGCAGCTTTTTTTAATGTTTAATGGTTTTTTCAGGATATAGCATTGGCAATGATCTCAATGCGACCTGTACCGCTTGGACCAGTGATGGAGAAAGTGTCGCTGACCGCAGAAAGATACGGGAAAGGGAGAAGATTCTACGTTCAGACGCTAGACGACCGCGCGCTCTCACCAGACGTTCAAGAGAAGATAGTGAGAGAGAACAGCCCTGAAGGAGTCTTCAAGATCAAAGGAAGTGATCATTGTCCTTTCTTCTCAAAGCCTCAATCTCTCCACAAGATTCTTCTCGAGATTGCACAGATTCCTTAAGAAGAGAAAATTGATTACGAGAATACTTTCAATTTAATCCTTAAAAAGTTAAAAAGTCTATTCCTTCCTTTTGTATGCAATTTGTAGAATCGATTCACAGATCATATATTATACCATTTGAAGATATAAGGTTGTTGAATACACAAATGGCCCCTGTATTTAAAAGATCTTAGAGATACATATACAGGTAGAAGAATCAACAAGAAGATGAAGATTTGAACATAGAAATCGGAGACAAGAGAGAAAGGGTGTATCTATTATATAACACAACACTCTTTGTTATTCCAAGTCTAGAATGCCGAAATTGGAGAGGAGGATCTTCACTTGATCGACCAGATCTGAGCCTGTTGCATACTCTGTCAGCATACCGACAGCGAAACCAAACATAGCCCACCTGCAAAACATACATAGAGAGATATATCATGTCCTATCCAGGCACTACCAACTAGTTCTTGAATCAACCACAATTCTTGTGTGTGTGTGTGTGTGTGTGTGCTCGTTATTAAGAACTCTATACATTCAAGCACAGAGGAATCATGACAGAAGTCAACAAGTGTGAAACTTTAGGCTCTGTATGTCTGAATTTGAAGGTTATACTGCAGACAAAGAAACACCAACGACCAGAAACTTGTCTTAAGAATCAGAGCTAACCTAAAATGCATTGAGATCAGGTTGCAAACTAATGTATCAAATAAGTTTATGAAGAAAACACTAAACACAGCAAATTGCAGACAGTTTGTTCTCTAAATCAAATTCATCTCTTCACATATTATATGTTCTGAGTTATTAGCAAATCCACAGAACGACCAGGACCAAGCAATTGAACAAAGCAAGTACCTTCCATTAGAGATCTCGTTTTTGGGTTGGAAACCAAAGAAAGGACCTTGACCAGCAGCTTCAAGCTTCTTCTGTTTAAAGTAATCCTGAAGCTCTTTAGCCTTCTGCCTCTGAAACTCCACCGTGATTGCACTCTTACCGTCAACAGCAGCCACCGATTTTTGCGGCTGTTGCGGTGGAGGAGAAGAAGAAGACGGCGATTGAGGAGGAACAGGTTTTTGCGGAGGAGAAGGCTCACGGAGAGTAGGAGGAGCAGAGGGTCTTCTCAATGGACCTTCGGCTTGAGAACATCTGATGATGAGTACACATGGCTTACTCGTTGAGAATCTAAAAGACGACGACGAAGCTGTCGACGAAGATGATGATAAAGAAGAAGAAGATGGATTTAGAATCCTGATACATTGAATCGGTGAAGCTACTGACATCTTTTTCGTTTATTGAGTTTGCGTTTGATGTTTCGAAGCTGTTGTGTAGTGTTCTCTGGTAATGTCTGTGTGGATGAGATATGGCCAAGTCTCTTCATTTTGCACAAATGGCTTTTGTCAAATGGTAGTTTGGAATCATCCCCACGCGCGTGGGATCAATCAACAAGAATCTGAAACAAAGTGATGATGATTTGGGTAAAGTTTTTAGTAATTAACTTGAAAGTTGATTTTTTTCTTTCTTTATACTCCAAAAAAGTTGTGGTGTGGATTTTATCATTACAAGACAGAGTAGCATAGAGATGTTGTACATTGAATAATCTCTTTTAAAACATGACAAAATTGACAAATCAAGTGGCTACAAAAGGTACACACATCCAAAAGTTCCTCTTCTTATCCAATCTCTTGCAAATTATATGCATCTCTCTCTCTCTCTTTCTCTATCTCTGTCCCTATATAGATAACGAAAATGCAGAGGACAAGAGAGAAGAAAAAGAGGATCTACGCTGCTGCCATTGAATAACCCTTTAGTTCTGAAAACAAGCCTTGACTTGTGCTTTCTGGAGTATACAATTGGTAAATGGATCAAGGAAACACACTGGTCGTCACATGATTGTGCACATACAGCTTTTGCCACTTCCATGATGAAACTCATCGTCCGATTCATCCACTTCACTGCAAAAGTCAAACCATAGCAAATGGTAAATAAACAAATGTCAAGAAGAAAAGAAACGCAAAACGAGAATGATTAGTCAAGTAAAGGGAATTCTGCTAGTAGTATACATTCAAGAAATGAATAAAGTTCAATACTTTTAAAAAAATCTGTGTAACTGTTACGAAATATAACCATATAAACGGTATTCCTATCAAAATCTCAGACTATGATCTTAAGCTTACATAGAAGAGTGTGGTAAGAACAAAAACAAAACCATTGTGCCAAGGAATAATATCCACTAGTCTGCTTAAGGGAATTCTTAGAAGTCTCTATTTCAAGAATGAACAAGCTAATGGTTCTATTAACTGTTGCTTATTCATGATCTAGAGTGTTATTGCTCTTAAGTCTCAGACTACGATCTTAAGTTTACATATACGAATGCGGTAAGATCTATGATAAAGGATGTTCCTTTCCCATCTAAAGCCGCAAGAGAGAGATATAGTCAGTTTGTTTCCTGTAAGATGCATCTTCGAATACTTTTGACAAAATCCAAGTTCATAAAAGAGAGAGAGAGAGAATCGATACCTGGGCTCAAATTCTCTGACCTCAGCAATCTCAATACCACAAGTGTCAGGCCACTGAACTTTCCTTCTATCCACATGTTCCAACACGCCATCTCTACTCACACGATGATCATCATCACCATCAGCAAGAACAGCATCGCTAAAAGATCTCTTCTTTAGGCTGCTCTTGAGTGCAAACCTATTGGTACTCACTTCACAGTTATAGTCAACACTCGGTGGTGGTGGTGCATTATCATCATCCTTCTTCCCCTCAGGATTGACTCGGATAGGAGGAGACGGATCATCCTCCGTTGTTTCGGATTTGCGGCGACCAAAACATGTAAGCGAGGAGCATCGACATGAGAGCCAATTCTTAGGCTGAGATTTGGTATCAGTTTCTTCAACAACCAAATGGTAATGGTTCCATCTTATAGGCTTTTGTTCACTCTTTTGGCCTAACAGAAGAAGTGCTAAACCGTTGCTATAACCAGAAGCTGATGAAGAGAAGAATCCTCCTCCTTCTGCTGCAAATAACATCTCTGATAAATGCTCATTTGCACATCCAAGATCAGTTTTTTTTCTTCCCCCCCACACACTCCAATCCCTAAAACCAGAGTCTAGAATCAGATCACGTTGGGAAGGTTCAAGACAAGAACTTTCGACTAAAATGCAGCAAATTGAAACTACAAAATTGAACAGGAAAAGAAAGAAATTTACTTGCAACTAAATCTAGGAAAGTTTCACTCCCAAATCCAAATTTAGTAACTTTTTGAATCGATGGAGAAAACTAGTAAAGTTCCACTCTCAGATTTGGTTGGGTACATAAGAGTGAAATTGGGTATCAAATAGTGAAAGTGAGGTTGATGAATCACCTGACGGATCTGAGAGTTGGGAAAGGCGAGGTTGATAACCGGAGAGAACGCCGGCGGAATGTACCTGCGAGTAGAGAGAGAGAGAGAGAAATAAGATTCAGAGAGAGAGAGAGAGAGGGTCTAATTGGTAAAGGACTGTGGCTTGAATTGGCTGCAGAGAAATTGGATGCAATGTAAAGTGTTGAGCTTTAGAAATGTAACTGTTATTTACACAAATTGTAAAAAACTTCTTTTTTTTGGTCAAATTTCGTTCTTTTTTTTACGTTTTACACAAATCATAAATCGTACATTGTTCTAAAAAATTTAATCAATTTTGTTTACTTTGTATAACTAACTAATTTACTTTTAAGCATCAAATTTCGTTAGTCAGAATTAGGACTGCGTTAAAAATTAAAATAAATTAAACAAAAAAAATGAACGAAAATGTTTTTTTTTCTTGAGAAAAAAAAAGGAACGAACGAAATTGCTGGAGCTGACTGTTACTTCTCTCGCTCCACGAGCCTTACGCTTCCCAACTGCCTTTTCAGATTACATTTTCTCTTTGCAACAAACAACACTCCGATTTCAAATTCACAGCTTCCACTGATCCACTCTCCACCGTCGACGCCGCCGCCGGTGTTCCGATCACCTCCGCCTGATTCATTTCCGATTGCTCCAGGTAAAAAAATCCCCACGCCGTATTCTCGGACTCTTATTCATTTCCTCTTGAATTGTTTGTGATTCGAATGTCGGAGAAGAGGATCGGTCGTTTCCAAAATCAGTAATTAGCTCCGTCGAGATTGATCTATGATCTAAGATCTTACGGAAAATTCGCTCTCCGGAGCCGGATCCGATCTGATGCACATTGATCTAGTTTTGATCGTGTAACATTCGAAATATTATTCTTCGTTAACACGATCGAGCACAATGGTTTTGTAGTATGAATTGCCATGGAAGTTAAAGCTTTACGCTTTATTGATTTCTTCATGATTTCCTGATGAATTTTGTATGTAACATTCTTAAGCTTAAGCGGAAAGTGTCTGGTGAGCGAGTCTCTGGAGAATGTGAAGTTGAAGAATTTGGCTGATTGAGGAAGAGAGAAAGTTAAACAAAAAAATGGCTCCTGTTAAAAAAGCTGATAAGAAAGCAGCAGTAGATGCTGCTGCGTGGATGTTCAATGTCGTCACTTCTGTTGGTATCATCATTGTCAATAAAGCTTTAATGGCGACTTATGGTTATAGCTTTGGTAACAAACATTTCTCTTTTGCCTTGTTAAGCTTCTTCTTCTTCTTATTATTATTTTTCTTCTTCTGATTGTTTTACTTATTGTCTCGGTTCGATGCAGCTACAACCTTAACCGGTTTACATTTCGCTTTCACTACACTGATGACGATTGTGCTAAGATGTCTTGGTTACATTCAGCCTTCTCATCTTCCGTTTACGGAGCTTCTGAGGTTTATTCTGTTTGCAAACTTCTCGATCGTTGGAATGAATGTCAGTCTTATGTGGAACTCTGTTGGTTTCTATCAGGTAATTAGTAAATATCATCTATCTCTGCACTTATTAGATTGCGCAAAGAAGAACATCTAATCTTGATTTTTTCCCTTATTTCTGCATTTGCTTGTCAGATTGCAAAGCTTAGCATGATTCCTGTATCCTGCTTGCTAGAGATGGTGCTCGATAAGATCCGTTACTCGAGAGACACAAAGCTTAGCATAGGACTGGTTCTTGTGGGCGTTGGTGTTTGCACTGTTACTGATGTTAGTGTGAACAGCAAAGGCTTTATAGCTGCTTTTGTTGCTGTGTGGAGTACTTCTCTGCAACAATACGTAAAGCTTTTGTTCTCAAAGCTATCTTGCAAAGTTAACATATCCTTCCTCTTTATTTTAACTCATAACTAAGATTGGCGTTGGTGGTTTTATACATGAATGCAGTACGTACATTATCTTCAGCGCAAGTACTCGCTTAGCTCATTCAACCTATTGGGACATACCGCTCCAGCCCAAGCCGCAACATTGCTTGTTCTTGGCCCGTTTCTTGATTATTGGCTCACAGAAAAACGAGTAGACATGTACGACTACAACTTGGTCTCCGTGGTAAGCTCCATAGACCTCAATAAACTCCATCCTGTAGTCTCACTGGCATTAGATTCAACTGGACTCTCCTCACAAAATGGAGAATAGCGCCGTTATTTCACTACTTATGAATCTTGTGCTAATCTGATTTTGATAGTATTCTCTATTTATGCCATTTGGTACCAATCTTGTTTAGACTCGGTATACCATAGATTCTAGCTTGTTACATCCAATTTAGTGCACATTTCTTAGTTACCATAAGAACAGTTTCTCTATGCTTGACTATTCTCTTAAGGCTACTTAACAAGTTGTTTTGAATTGTGCAGCTGTTTATAACCCTATCGTGCACGATAGCGATAGGGACCAACCTAAGCCAGTTCATCTGCATAGGGAGATTCACAGCGGTATCGTTCCAAGTTCTTGGACACATGAAGACGATCTTGGTGCTGATAATGGGATTCTTCTTCTTCGGTAGAGAAGGCCTAAACTTGCATGTGGTTGTTGGAATGGTTATTGCAGTACTCGGTATGATCTGGTACGGTAATGCATCTTCTAAACCAGGTGGCAAAGAGAGACGAAACTATTCTCTTCCAACGACTCGTCAACAGAAACTTGGAGCTGCTTCGGATTCTGATGACAATGAAGACAAAGCCTAGTAGACAGTAGTAAGTAGTAAAAAATGATCAGGAACACATCACATAGTTACGTTACATCTCTGTTCTTGAGTTTGTTCTTTTCTTCTTCTTAGCTTAATTTATTATCAACTACGATTTATTTTTTCATACAGACATTGAGATTTTTGTAATGGTTTTTGGCTGCGGAATCAAAATGTGATCTTTCTTGAAATTAAAAGTACAAATCCATACAGTAACTGATATCTATCGGAATTATAAATTTGTCATAGTTTTAAAGTTATACGAAATCAACTGAAATTTTGATATTTTGTGATGAAACCAAACAATTGTAAATTTGTCATAGTTTTCAAGTACTCGGCTAATAAAAAATAACCTGAAAATTTGAAACCAAACAAACTGGTGAAAAAGGCCACCAAAAGATGTAAATAGAGAATTGAGATCTTGTGATAAAAGAGTATCTTAATCTTAAAATGTCAAAAACATCATAGAAGATCACTGACAAAGACTCAAAACTGAGTCATGCAAAATTGTACGAATAATAAAAACTTAAAACTCGGTCCTTGACAAAGATCAAATCCAGCTTCTGCAACTAGCAAACATTGGCTTAACGCTTCTTGGAGACACCAACAGTCTTTCCTCTGCGACCAGTGGTCTTGGTGTGTTGTCCACGGACACGAAGACCCCAGTAGTGTCTCAGACCACGATGGTTCCTGTTCATTGTGAGAAAACGCAATAACCACCGTTCCATGAATTCAAAACCCCAAGAAAACAAAGATAGGTAACGAGAGTTATATGATTGTGATCGAGTATTACCTGATTTTCTTGAGACGTTCGAGATCATCCCTGAGCTTCATGTCAAGACCATTGGAGAGCACCTGAGAGTACTTTCCGTCTTTGTAGTCCTTTTGTCTGTTCAAAAACCAGTCTGGAATCTTGTACTGTTTTGGGTTGGCAACAATTGTCATGAGGTTCTCAAGCTCAGCTGCAGTCAACTCACCAGCCCTATACCAGAGTTGAGATCAAAATTTAGACAAACAATCCAATGATAAAACAGGAAAATGAAAGTTGATACACACCAAGATGTTAACATACACTAAACAGCGGCTAAGTTTTTTAAAGATAACAAAGTGTAATCAATATTCATGTCACTGGTAATGATACTGTAAACTACAGGAAAAGATTCAACACACATACACTAATCGATTCAATGCAAAGGAATTGCTAATTTCCATTATAACTATCCAAAGGTTGAATTTTTTATTGACAAAAACAAAAGAGAAGAGGGAGTCTAGAACACACCTCTTGTTCATGTCAACATCGGCTTTCAGACAATGTTTGCCATTCTCCTTCCAATACCCTTGATTGAGGTAAGGGCAAACATAATCTTCTGCTTCCCATCAACGTTGGTGTTGAGCACACGCAGAATGTGCTGGAACTCCTCATTCGCAACGAGAGACTACACAGTAACAAAAACCACACCCAAAATCAGGAAAAAAAATCTCTCGATTCATGAAATCAATAAACTTTCTACGAAAAACAGGATTCGACAGCTAGGGTTTCTTCAGTGGTTTATATGCACCTCTCGTAGATAAAACTGGACTTTTACATCACAGTTAGGGCCCAAATTATTTTGTTTTATATGGGCCCAAACTCTATGAAAATAGTGTAAAGTAGAAAATGATTTCATTGTTCACACAGTATAATTACAAAACTATAATAGAATACGAAATGACATAAGCTTAATTATAGTGATCCAAATGCTTTATTTCATATGATTGAATTAATTAATTACATTTGTTGATACAGCATCAAGTTCTCAGATGGAATCAGCTCCTAAAACTTCTTGGGAGATGAACTTCTTCAACATATCAATAAGCTGATCAAACTCGTCTTGTGATTTGATGAGACTCAATCGCACAAAACTTTCCTCAGACCCATACATTTTGCCACCACGTCCTGTGATCTTGGCCTCTCTAAATATCTCATAGCAGTTTTTGTCTTCTTCTCTCTCACACTTCACCCACGCATAAGCTTTCAAATCATAAGCAAACACAAGTATTTATGCATTTGTGTAAGAACGGATCAAAACAAATTTAATATATCTGAGGTTTCTTGTGTTACAAGAAAAAAACTTACAAGGAGTAAAGTCTCTGACTTTCTTGAAGTAGTTGCAGTACTCGGGCTTGATTGCTTGAAGCGAGAAACGCGTGGACATGGAGAATATCTTGTTCAGTATCTCCCATCTCCTCTTCATTGTCTCATAACCAAAAGGAAACATCTCATCGCCTCCATCACCAACTACTACTTTGAGCAACTGTAGAACCTGAAGCTGTTTGTCTCTTGAAACTCCCATACTTGTTAGATATATGTAATTTAACATTCGTTCATAAACATCTTTGTCCTTTACTAATGCCCATCTGCAACAACATTAAAATCATTTGTGAGTTGTTCTGACCAATCCAAAGATTTGTTTAGAGTATACACTAGGAGAGCAAGAAGTTGAATCACCCGAATCTTGAACCAGCATGACCTGTAGCCTTTGAGAGACTAAACAAGCTCAGATCTTCATCAGTTAGATTTGTGATAGGTGAGTAATAAGGCCAGTAATATGCGTAATCGTGAATTGTTTTGACATTAGGACCATCAAGAACAGCTCTTTTCATCTTCCCATCTGGATTATTAGGAGATGTTACTATCTCTATAACTTGTGTGATGTTATCATTGCCCTTGCTCTTCTTCCATGCAGACGCATCTCCTTCAAACTTTAGATGTGTTGAATCAAAGAACTCTGCTTGGTCCTTGTAAATCTGCACACACATAGAGACTAATCAGAAACATAAGTGAATCTGTTACATGCATAAAGCCAAGAACAGAGATTTTTACTTACATTGTAGTATGGAATAGAAGCCAAAAGCCTTAAAGGTGATGATGATGAGTTTATTTGGGACAAGGCATGAACAGAGGCTGCAATCAACTGCGTGGCTCCGGTTCCAAAGATTATGAATCTGTCATCAGTAACTGCATTTCCCACTACTTTATGCAGCTTCCTTATGATCCTCTCGAGCTCTGCGGACACATATGAGCCATCTTGAAAAAGATAACTCATTCTGTGCCATCCCGAGACCAAAACCGCGCTTTTCTCTGCTTGTCTCATCCAGAAAGGCTCCAAGAACAAAGGGTCTCCTTTTAAAGGTGATGATGATGAGTTTATTTGGGACAAGGCATGAACAGAGGCTGCAATCAACTGCGTGGCTCCGGTTCCAAAGATTATGAATCTGTCATCAGTAACTGCATTTCCCACTACTTTATGCAGCTTCCTTATGATCCTCTCGAGCTCTGCGGACACATATGAGCCATCTTGAAAAAGATAACTCATTCTGTGCCATCCCGAGACCAAAACCGCGCTTTTCTCTGCTTGTCTCATCCAGAAAGGCTCCAAGAACAAAGGGTCTCCTCTTCAAAACAGAAAAATACAAAGTTTAATCCAAAGTTTATAGCTTGGTTTGGTCATAATGAAAAAAAAGAGAAAGATTTAAAAGTTCTTGCATACGCGCTAGCATCAACAGGACAATCTTTAACAAGAATGGAGCAGTCTTTGCCTGTGTAGCAACTGTTGCATTCGCAAGGAGGTTTATTGCCGTCAAGAACACCAATACCGTCCACGTAAGCTCTTCCATGGCCTGAGCATGAAACGGAGGCTGCAACTTCTGCTTCTGCTGCGGCTCTGTTGGTCCACGTCGGATTCCATATGGTGAAAGTATTGTAAAGAGAATGAATTATGAATATGAGATTCAAGATGATCGACGCTGCAACGAGTAGCTTGTTCTTCATCATCTTTTGCTTAATCACCTGCACACAAAAAAAGAATCAAAGACTGGAACTTTTCGTGCTCATGTATAGATAGAAAACACACACCACATTGTATTGGATGTACAAATTAAAGAAATAAAAATACTTTCTTGAGTACCCAATTGACAAGTTAAGATAACTGAATGAGACAAACCATAATCTTATAGACTTTTATGGACTTGTCAAAGTGGTCATAGTGGAAACATATCATTTAATGATTATTAGAGTCTATGCACCTAAGTAAGCTTAACCTATTTAAGAATTTGTATACAAATAAAATATTACCTTGCAATATGGCGTAAATATTACCTTGCCAGTTCATTACAGTAAATGTTTTGACAACAATAATTGAAATGTGCTAAAATTCTTAAAATAAATAAGGGGAGAACGAGGGATTATTTAAATTGGACTGTCTTTGTATAGGATAACTTGTACCAATAGCAGAATTCTTTTATCTTTAGATCAAAATATATATCGTCATTTAGTTTGATGTGTAAGAGCATCTCCAACCCAGCTCCATATTTCACATTTATTGTTATTTTGGAGTCAATTTTGCTCCAATCCAACTCCATTTTCAATCTCAAAATAGCAAAATGCCATATTTTTTCCCAAATTGAGGATGGTTGATCCCATTTTCATTTCCATTTTGGAATTAAAGTTTTTAAATTATATAGCAGTCCTTAAAGTTTTAAATTATTTCAGTTTACATATAAGTAATTATTTTGAAGTTTATTTTTACCCTAAAATACAAATCACACATATTTAAAAAGAAATTTAATTATTTAAACTAATAATAAATTTAAAAGGAAATGAAAAGTTTCATAATTAATTTAAATAATTATAATAAATTGTGAAAATTTTGAAGAAAACAAAATTATGGGGCAATTTGTAATATATATAAATATACTATATAAATTTAGTAATTAATAAAAAGTTTTGAAGTAAAAAATGAGGCAATACATTGGAGCAAAACCCAACTCCATTTTGAGATTTCTTCATTTTGGAGTCAAATATGAGGCAATACATAGGAGATGCGCCCTAAGTAAATTAGGTGAATATTGTCAAATATTTTAACGGTGATTTCTTATCAGGCTCTTCTTATTTATTTATTTATTTTAAATTATTTTAACGGTAATTACATTTGTCGATATAGCAGCATCATGTTTTTTCAGACGGAATCAGCACCTACAACTTCTTGAGAGACTAACTTCTTCAACATATGAATAAGCTGATCAAAGTCGTCTTGTGATCTAATGAGACTCAACCTCACAAATCTTCCCTCTGATCCAAACACTTTGCCACTGCGTCCTTTAACCTTGGCCGCTTTGAAAATCTCAGTGGAGTTTGTGTCTTCTTGTCTCTCACACTTCACCCAAGCATAAGCTTTCAAAAAGAAAAAGAAAACAAGTTATACATCTGTGTGAGACCTAAAATAGCCTTCTTGCATTACAAGAAAAGCTTACAAGGACTAAAGTCTCTGACTTTCTTGAAATAGTTGCAGTACTCAGGCTTGATTATCTGCAGTGAGAACCGCGTGGACATGGAAAAGATCTTGTTCAGTGTCTCCCATCTCTTCTTCAATGTCTCGTAACCAAAATAAAATATCTCATCGCCTCCATCAACAACCACTACTTTAAGCAACTGCAGAGCACGAAGCTGTGTGTCTCTTGAAACTCCCATACTACTTAAAGTTATATAACTCTCCATTCTTTCATAAACATCTTTGTCTTTCAGCAGTGCCCATCTGAAACAAAAACACTAATGTTTAAGTGAGTTGTTGTAAAAACAAATCCAACAATGCAAAAAAAAAAAAAAAGTGACTAACAATCACAAAGTAAATCACTCAAATCTTGAACCAGCATGACCTGTAGTCTTGGAGAGACTAAACAAGCTTAACTCTTCATCAACTGGATGTGTAATAGGTGAGAAATAAGGCAAATAATAAGCATTATCATGTATTGTTTTGACATTAGATCCATCAAGAACCGCTCTTCTCAACTTCCCATCTGGATTATTAGGAGATGTTACAACCTCTATAACTTGTGTGATATTATCATAGCGCTTGCTATGCTTCCATGCATACGCATCTCCATCAAACTTGACATGTGCTGAATCAAAGAAATCAGCTTGCTCCTTGTACAGCTAGTACAACACAGACTCATTAAAAACCCACCAAGAAGTTTGCTTACATAAAGCCAAGAACAGAGCTATCTTACAGAGTAAAATGGAATGGTAGTCAAAACTCTTTCAGGTAAGTTTGACAAAGACTTAGACGACAAGGCATGAACAGAGGCTGCAATCAACTGCGTGGCTCCGGTTCCAAAGATTATGAATCTGTTATCAGTAACTGCATTTCCCACTACTTTATGCAGCTTCCTAATGATCTTCTCAAGCTCAGCAGATACATATGAGCCATCTTCTTGATAATGATAACTCATCCTGTGCCATCCGGAGACCAAAACCGCGCCTTTCTCTGCTTGTCTCATCCAGAATGGCTCCAAGAACAAAGGGTCTCCTCTTCAAAGCCCAATAAAACAGAAAAATACAAACTTTAATAAGTTTGGTCAAAACAATAGAAAAATGGGATCAAGTCAAAACTTGTTGCATACGAGTTAGCAGCGACTGTACAATCTGAGACAAGAACAGAGCAATATTTGCCTGTGTAGCAACTGTTGCATTCACATGGAGGTTTGTTGCCGTCAAGAACACCAAGACCGTCCACGTAAGCTCTTCCATGGCCTGAGCTGGGGTAATTTTATGAAGGCTTACACTCTGGATCTTGAGCACTTGTAGAATAGGAGAGTTATCGAGTATGAGCATTAGTAAATTCCAGTCCTCTAGTTCAGATGGAAACAGTTTCAAATATACCAGCTGATTGAAGATGCTACCAACAGGAACCTTCATCTATGCATGAGCCAGAAACCATGTCACAACAACAACAACAACAACAAGAACAGCAAAGTTAATTAACTACTATAAAATATATATTTTTCATCCCTTTTTTTATTTACAAGAAAAACTTACCTCCAAGTGTGATATACTCAAGGTGAGGTTTTTGAGTGAAGTGAGTGATCCCATAATTACGTTACTGCTGAATATATATGCCTCCACTAGCTGAGGTGCATTCTCAATTAGAAAAGATCCGTAATGATGACTCGCTTCAATATTCAAGTACTTCAAAGAAGGAGCATTTATCACGTAGTCCGCACCATCACCATAGCCAGATTGTATGGTTAGCTTCTGTAAGGATGGCACCACAATAGTGAAAGTTTTCACATCATCATTTCGAGATGGACGAACCAACAAAGTTTCAAGACTATCAAGAACACATAGTGAAGGTGCAGAGTTCTAAGAGACTTGAGACAAACTGGAGAAGGTACATCAAGAATAATGGAACTACCGCAGCCACGAAGTTTCAAGGTCTCTAGCATCTCACATTTATACAAGTTTATAGGAAATCTGAACGACCCTTGGCTAAACTCAACTGTGAGTACCAACTCACGCACATGATGTCCAAATGCAATTCCAACTAACACTCCAAAATCAATAGTACCACTTTTCTTAGCAATAACTTGCAGATGCAAACTCTGTAGAACCGGAGCCTGGAGTGAAAGCATAGAGCTGCAAACATTATCTGAAAATCTCTGAAGATCAATCTCCTTGTCACCATTTCTTATAGAGAAAGTAAATTTGAGCTTAGGCACCATCTTCCAAAGAGACCTCCACTGTTTAGACAAAACACTGGTGGCTAGGACATCTTTTGTTGGAATTGAAGACAATATCAACAGAAGCAAAGCATCGGGCAACTGACTTATCCTGTCTTCATTTCTCAAACTTTCACCAGAGCTTTTGCTGCATAAAACCCGAATTTAAGGAATTGGTTTGGAGCTTAGAGTTCATATATATGAATAAGCACATGTATAGAAGAGACATAATATATACCTTTCCATTGTCGTTGATAGAGACATGCAAAGAAAGTAAAATCTCACAATAGTTATGGAAGAAGCATAAAAACTCTCTTCTTGAAGCGTTAGAGAAAGTAAAAGCTGGTAATTAATGATTGTTAATGTGCCAAAGATTGATTTGGTTTTTTAAAAGAAATTAATTAACTAAAAGCAAATGGTGATTGATAAATCTGTAGAGCTGATGATTCTTGGATTCATTTCCTTATTACTTACCTTTGGAGAAACATACATTCTCAAGATCTGCTTTCCTTCAAAAGCTGCTATGTTACCTTGTCCATTTGAAAACGCAAGCACTCTCGCTCCATCTCTTAGTAGACATCTTTTGGCGGCTGATGATTTTCATGTGAATTGCAAAAATGGATCTGACCCACTCATAACACTGAAAGGCTTGCACCAACTTCACATCTTGTTGTTCTTCTTGGCCATCTTTCATATTCTTTATAGTTTAGTCACCATGATGCTTAGCAGGCTCAAGGTACAACAAATCTAGTGTTCATCAAACTGGTGTTTAGTTGAGTAAAGAATGCTTCATTTTGTGTTGGCTTTGTGGCAGATTCGTGGATGGAAAAAGTGGGAGCAAGAGACGTTATCTCATGATTACGAGTTTTCTATCGGTATTTTTGTTCTTCAAATAATGTTTTGAAGCTTTAACTTTTAATTTCTTTAAGGCTCATTTTTTATTTTTTTATTTGGTTTTGTGGAGCAGATCAGTTAAGACTTAGGCTCAGTCATGAGACTTCTTTTGTGAGAGCACATATAAGTGTCTGGACAAAATTACCATTCTTCTTTTACGTCGTAAAGAAACCATTCCTCATTTCTCTTCCAATATCATCAATCGTTCTTGGTTTGATTATTTTGAGCTCTCATAAACAATTTTGTTTACAGGAATGCTTCTTAAGACAGTTCTTTGTATCCGTGGGAAGAACTGATTACTTGACGCTGCGCCATGGATTTATCTCTGTGAGTCAAAATCTTTCATCTTTCCCTTTTCTTCTTTCTTTCGCATCTTTGATGAGTGATTCTTGTGATTTCTTCAGGCCCATTTAGCCCCGGGAAGACAGTTCAACTTCCAGAGATATATCAATAAATCTCTTGAGGATGATTTCAAGTTAATAGTTGGTATAAGGTACAACACAAATCCAAACATCAAATGCAATTCCAATTTTGCTTCTTTATCCGCTTGGTCTTATATAACGTTTTCTTAACATTTTGTTTTTTTGCTAAACAGTCCAGTTCTTTGGGCATCATTTGTGATCTTCTTGCTGTTTAATGTTAATGGTGAGCTATATATCTATCTATAAACTCAAATTCAATTCATATACTGAAATATTTTTAATTATTTTTCCAGGATGGAGAACATTGTTTTGGGCATCAGTACCTCCTGTGCTCGTAAGACAATCTCTCTCTACTATACAAATCTTTCTTGGAAGCTTTTTTTTTCATATATGAATAACAAGGCTTGTTGCAGATAATATTAGCTGTTGGAACAAAGCTTCAAGCAATTCTCGCAACAATGGCGTCAGAAATCACAGAGACACATGCAATAGTTCAGGGGATGCCTTTAGTGCACGGTTCAGATCGATACTTTTGGTTCGATTGCCCTCAATTGCTTCTTCATCTTATCCACTTTTCTTTGTTTTAGGTAGTTTCATTATCAAACACTATGTTTTAAGTTTTTTTTTTGGGTGCAACTATGTTTTAAGTTGTTGTGTTCTTCTATAATGTTTTATATCTAATCAGTATTTCCTCTGTGTTATACAGAATGCTTTCCAAATAACAGTATAACACACTTCTTTTGGATATGGGTAAAAAAAGAAGCATCTCTTCTCAATTTGTTTTTTTTTTTTAACTTTTTTAGTTAATAATGAGTAACATATACGTAAGAAATCATCTTTGGGGATTGTAGTATTCTTTTGGATTACGATCATGCTTCCATAAAGATTTCAATCTTGTAGTCACCAAACTCTTTCTATGGTAATAAATCATTCAAAACCTTAAATTATGTTTCTTACAATGGAGCTAGAAAAAAGTATAAAATGTGAGCATGCATGTATGTCTATATATGCAGTCTAGGAGCCTTGATCTTATGCAGCTACATCACTCTCCCGTTATACGCACTCGTGACTCAGGTAACTTGTAAACAAATGTTTTCGTTATTTTAGCCAAAATGATCTCTTAATGAGAGTAGTATTGAACTGAATGAAGGAAAATAAAGAAATGATGAAATGTTTGGGTTTATGTGTGAGAAGATGGGTTCACACATGAAGAAAGCAGTGTTTGCTGAGCAAATGGCAAAGGCATTGAAGAAATGGCACAAAGACATTAAAACGAAGAAAGGCAAAGCGAGGAAGCTCCAAAGCACAAGACTTGGTGGTTCGGGGAGTTTCAGCATCTCCTCCTCTTCGTATGCAACCACTCTACACCGTTCCAAGACCACTGGCCACTCTTCTAACACCATATACTACAAAAAAGAAGAGCAAGAAGAAGAAGAAGAAGAAGACGAGATGTCTGATCTTGAGGCTGGAGCAGAGGATGATACTGAAAGGTTTCAAGAACAGCAGAGGCAATTCCACCACTCCTAGCTTTGTTATATGTTTTTAGTGTAATGTTATTACTTTAAAGGTAGAAACGAAACGATGTTGTTTTAGTAACTGGAACTTGTGAGAAAACGATGGTTTTATAAATCTTGTTGATCAGCAGGTGACTGAAGAAACTTGTTGATGCGATAGAGCTCAGTAGCATTACTAATGGGTGGAAGCGTGGACTAAGCAGTTCTCAGAAGAGAGAAAAAAAAAACTATTGTTTTAATCACATCTTGTGTTTTTAGCTCTTATCAAATGTTTGAAATGTTGGTTATGAACTAAGAAAATATGTTTTCAAATGTATTAATATGTAACGAATTTTGCTTAAGCAACTCCCACCAATTAAAGAGGATGAGTTACAAAACTGACCAACATATTTGTCGTTAATTAATCAGCACTCTGAACTGGTTGTAATTAATCTCACAATAAATATAGTCAAATGAAAAATCGAACTTATATGTTTGAGATATCGGTTTCCCAAAAAAAAAAAAAAAAAACTAACTTATATGTTTGAGATTGATACCGCCATGTGTGAACAAGAATGTAATGACGTTCTGCCATATAGGATGAACAATCCAGGGACGAGGCTGAAACTTACGGACAGAAACAGCTGCTTCACACCATGCTTTGCAGACAAGAGAAGCATGGATGCTGGCTTTTAATCCGAGGCGAGATAGTATCTCCTGCAGTAGGTAGGTCTGAGGGAACTTTTATATTCCAAACTCCTCTAATAATACAATTCCTCTTCTTCTTTGATCCACGTTTCCTTTAACTTCTGGATTGCAACTAATGATTATAAGAAGAAGAAGAAACCTCAAGTGAGAGATCCTAAATCCTTGGAATTTCGATTAATAGGAATAGCGAAAAGAAAAGAAAACTCATGATTGGAGTTTTCTTCTTTTTGTGTCGGACACTGGAAGTGCTTGAACTATGGGCTTCACTGTTAGGGCTTCGGGGAACAATGACGGCGGAGTTGCTGCCGTGTATGTACGACGTCGTGTCCTCATTTTCTCGAATTAGGTCATGATCTCAAGAACATAGTGGGAGTTTTTGAAAGGCTGAAACCCTAAGTCCGCGCCGCCTTTTCTCTCCAACTAGGCAACTAGTACTGTATAATATAAAGGGCGAATTGCCAATTATAGTTCACAATTTGATTTGAAATGCAAAAGTAGACCCTATATTGCATTTAGAGCAAAACTAGTCTTCTGGGCATGTAGAATTACAAACCAAGCCCTTATGAACAAAGAAAAAAACGCTAGTCACAATGTCTGTTTTACCCTGTTTAAAGTCTACCTGAAGTCTACAGCGTATTAGACTTCATCATGAAGTCTAATTCCTAAATACAACTAAAATTTAATTTATAAAATTATAGGAAATTGTTTTGATCAAAAAAATTATACATAAGTAAGATTAGAACATTTGGCATCCAAGAAAAATAAACTTGCATAAAAATGACTCCATTTAACTCAAGTAAGAGAAATTATGTTTGTAACCTATAAACTGCGTGAAGTCTACTCCCGAAGTCTAATATATAGCAAAATCGTAAATTTAAAGTTTGAAATCTTTAAAAATATTTTGATGAAGGTATTTACACATAATTTAAACAAAGACAAGTACTATCCATGAAAAATAAATTTGCATATAAATTGATCAATTTAAAACCGGTAATACAAATTATGGTATAATCCAAAAAATATTGTATGAAGTCTACTGAAGAAGTCTACCAAATAACAAAATCTTAAATTTAAAGTTTAAAATCTATAAAAAATATTTAGGCTTAAAAAAATTATAAATAATCTAAATGAAGACAAATCCTATCTATGTAAAATAAATTTTCATGGAAATTAATCAGTTTATAAGTTTCATGAGTAAACCAATCATCAAGCTTAGTGTTTGAGGTACAATGTATAGGGTTTATGAGTATGATTGTTAGGGTTTAGAGAATTTTGACATAAAAAATTGTTTGTGGTTTGTTTAACGATTTAAAGCTAATGAATTTATAGTTTATAATGTAAATTGTGATTATATACATAATTGATGTTTTCTATAGCTTTGATCTCAAAAATTCGATTTAGGGTTTAGGGTAAGTCAGACTTCATCGGTAGACTTCATAGTTAGACTTTGCTATGAAGTCTTTTATTCAAAAAACGAGTGGGAAACGAAATTATTAGGGCGGGAAACGAAATATTTTGGGCGAATAAATTTCTCATTAAAAGTTCAATTTGTAGACTTCACGAGTAGACTTTGTACATCAATTCCGGTTTTTGAACAGAACCGGTCAAGGAAATTATAATTTTTGTTGTAATTGGGTTTAACCAAAATTAGCCGGCCCTAATCGAAAGTGAGAAACCCAAAATCAGGGTTTCACTTTCACAAACCCAAGTCCGTTCCGTTCTCTCTCTTTGTCGGATAGGCGATTGCATGTTCTCTCCGCCCACCGTCGCCGTCGAAGAAGAAAGACAGACCCACTATCGTCGCCGCCGCCTTTTCCCCTTCCTCCTCCGAAGTATACTTCTGTAAGTCATATTCATATATCAGTGATATACGTATTTGTGTCTGTTTCCCTCTACTGTCGTTATACTCACAGTGGAATCTTCTTTTGAACCCTTCCGCCACCGTTGGTTGCCGCTGTCCGTGTTGCCGTTGTCCGTGTTGCCGCTGTGGAATCGAACGACCTATTAAATCGCACCAATTATTCTCTTCCTCTCAGCGCCGGTTAGTTATCTCCCTTTCACTTTTTTTCTCTCTGCTTACGCCCTTCAAACCATGGACTAATCGATTGTAGATCTGTGGCAGGTCTCCGTTGCCGGATAGTAGTATCCGCCGTCGTTGCGCTTCTTAGTAGTATCCGCCGCCGTTGCTGGCCCTCATAACCGCAAAGAATAAGGTAAAAGTCTATTGTTAGGGTTTAGTTAGCCGCTCTTTAGCGGCGGTTGGCTAGAGTAGAGCAGACTTAAAGTACAGACTTCACCTTTAGAATTGATAGACATCATAGTTAGACATCATAGTTAGACTTCATAATTAGACATCATAATTAGACATCATAGTTAGACATCATAGTTAGACTTCATATTTAGACTTTATTTATGCCGTGTAAAATTGTAGACTCCTCCTAATTTCTCATATTTTCAATGTGTTTTCAGTATGGACGCCGTGACATTTCCTAGGAGGTTGTTCACAGAAGGAGAAGAACCGGATTATGATCGCAGTGTTGTCTACTATAGCAAGAACACTGCACTGTGGTCTCAAATGCACACCACACTTGAAGATGAATGGGATGAGCTTGAGAATTCTAAGCTGGGACCCCTCTTCAGGTTCACGAAGCTCGAGTTTAATTGGGCATCGAAGGTGGCACAGACTATGCTCACTATGCAAGTAGCATGCAAGAAGAAGTATGAGATATGGAGTGCCGTGGGTGTACAGCCAGTGCGATTTTCTCTGAACGAGTTTGAACACATCACCGGGCTTAACTGCGAGTATAAAGAAGCGCTGACGAAGCCAGAGACTGTTAACACAGACGAGATGAAAGACTTCTGGCGGAAGCTTGGTGTGAATGAGAAGCTTGGTCCGAGCGTTGACGAACTCTTAGCAGCGTGCCAGTGGGCCGGAGAGTGGAGCAGAGAGGATAGGCTGAGACTTGGTTTTTTGGCCGTATACGCTGGCTTCATTGATGCTCGCAAAAGTTCCACTCATACACGAGTAGCACTGGCTAGTCAAGTTATGGACTTGGAGAAGTTTGAAAACTATCCCTGGGGGCGAGTAGCTTTCAAGACCCTCATCAAGTCCATAAAGAAAGCAGACGTGTCCAAGCCATTCAGCCTCGAAGGCTTTGCTGAAGTCGTGCAAGTGTGGGCGTACTATGCTATGCCGAGGTTCGGAGAAGAAAACGGTGATCCGAGGCCAAATAATCCTGAGCCACCGCTGCTAGCATTCAATGGAATCAGAGGGAAGAGATATGTTATCGGAACCATGAAGAAGCAGGTAATTCATTTGCCTTGTACTCTCTGCATATTAATCATAATATCCAAAATTCTTGACTTTTCTGATAACGGTTTTGCAGGTGCTTTTCAATCACATGGTAATGGTGGACAAGGCAGACGTGTACCCACGTTGGGACAAGGAAATAGATGACGAGAAGGTGGACAACATCATCAAGGCCTTGCTTGGGGAATTTGGTGGAGGATGGGTGTGGAAACCAGCTGACTGGGTTAGAGAAGGGATATCGGTGGTTAAGAAGGTGAAGTTTGAGAAGTCTGTGAAGTCAGAGAAGTCTCATGGCAAGAGGAGTCTCTCTGATGAGGCTGATGATGATGAAGCGATAAGTGTCAAAAGAGCTCGGACCTCAGATGGTTCACCTGCGGAGGCCTCTGGTGCTGGCTGGAAAGGTCTTGAGGCGAAGATTGAGGAGCTTTTTAAAGACTTCACCAAAAAACACTTCGAGGAGATGAGTAAGACCCAGGAAAAGATTCAGGTCCTCACCGCTCAAGTCGCTGTGGTAGGGAGGATTGTCAAGAAGCTTTCGCATCCTCAGGCTCAGGATTCTGTGAAGTCCAGTGAGGATACTGCGAAGTCCAATGAGGATTCTGCGAAGGCCAATGAAGAGCTGGAGAAGAAGAATGAGGAGCTGGAGAAGAAGAATGAGGAGAAGTCCGATGAGGAGCCGGATAAGTCCGATGCCGGTGAAGGGAAGACGGCTCCGCCTGGTGGAACGGTTAGTACCGTTCATTCTCCACGTAGATCTAAAAACTCTGATAAAGTAGTTGAAAAGAGATATGTGCGTAGGAGTCATAGGGTCGCTGTGAAAAAGAACAAGTGATGTGTGTATGTTTCTGTTTGTAGTGTGTTGCGTTGCGTTGTACACTTTCCCTCCTGTTTAAATAAAAGTTCAAATTTCTAGTGACTCATTATCTGTTTTGTCTCTCTCTATCTCTCTTGTGTTTGAGCAATGTTAACAGGAAGATACGGATTGCACTTGGCTCCGGACACATATTCCAACTGATTCTGAGGAAGCCGAAGAGAAAAGGCAACAGGAAGAGCAGATCAAGGCGGCTAATGTTATGGCAAGAGGGAAAAGTGAGAGAGTAAGGAAGCTGGCGTTTACTCAGAAAGGTGAGTTCCAAGGAAACAGCACCGCTAGAAGGATCATCCTAAACAACCCCCCGGAGATACCCAATTCCCCACCGAAATCACTTAAGATCATCTCTAAACCGAGGAAAGCAGCTATTACGAAGAAAGCAGCTAATCCGAAGAAAGCAGATCCGAAGAAATCACCTCCTCCGAAGAAAGCAGATCCGAAGAAATCACCTCCTCCGAAGAAAGCAGCTAATCCGAAGAAAGCACCTGAACCTAAGAAAGCACCTGAACCTAAGAAAGCAACCGGTGGCAATGAACCTCTAGGGTATAATCCATTTGCTCGACCTCTCGAGGAAAGGATAACACCAATGCGGGCATTCGTCTCCGGATTACCGTGAGCCCCTAAACTCTTTTGTCTCTTCGTTGTTTGACCAAATTATAGAGGCTTACGAGAATTTACCAATGTTTCAGGGGTTATTCTGCAGCTACAGCGCTGGAGCCGGACAAGTTCGATTACCCGGAATGGCACTGGTGGTTTACTTTACTCACGGGGTTTCAATGGCTATCGGATAGCGTACGTTCTAATTGTTAGACTTCGTAAATATACTTCACAAGTAGACTTCACTGTTAGACTTATGACATAGACTTCATATTTAGTCCTCATAGTCGAATTCTTTGTTTCCATTGCAGCATATGAAGTCCTGGGCCACCATGATGACTCACCGCCTAGCAACGCGACCAGAGTTGTTTAAAAATGATAGGATCTGCTTCCTTAACAGCCATATCACTCAATTTTGGGAAAGGGACTGGCCCAGGTTTCAGAGATGTCAAATGCTGCCTCCTAATTCGCTGGACTGGTACTTTGGTAATCTCCCGAAAAGCCAGCCCAGCAATAAGCGATGGGGTTATGATGTTGATGATTTATTCATTCCATTGAATATCAAGAATAAGCATTGGGTCGCGCTGCATGTCTCCATACCCAAAAGGCACATTACCATCTACGACAGTATGGTGGACTGGCTCGATGATGCGGAAATGGACTTGTTGGTGGAACCCTATGCGGTGATGATGCCGAATCTTATGCACTCCGCGGCTCAGGCTGAGGACAAATGCGTCTACTTCGATGCGAAGTACACGCACAGCCGTCCGAGTAAGGATGTGCCGCAGCAAGTGGGGGCTGGAGATTGTGGCGTGTTTGTCCTCAAGTTCATCGAGTGCCTGGCAGTCGGATATGCCGCATTTCCGAAGACGTTGTGTCAGAAAAACATCACCATGTTTAGGGAGCAGATTGCGTCTGATATGTACCATGAGATCAACTGCCGTGGACCGGTCGAGGACCCAGATGATTGGGACAATGTCGATTTGTATGACGAGAGATTATGAAAGGTGTAGGTGTAATCCCGTAAACTAATGCTCTTTAGAACCCGATGATGGGTGTAGGCTAATTATTCTTTTGTAATCTATCGCTGATCGGCCTTCACATTTCAGAAGTCTATTGTTTTGGTATATTGTGCACTTGGTATATTTCAGAAGTCTATTGTATTTCAGAAGTCTATTGTTTTGTTATTACAAAAACTAAAAACCAGTGTTTTTCTCCGTTTCATCCACCTAAAACACGCAAAGCATACAAATTGGCCACAAAGTAAACTTAATAGGTAGACTTAATATAGACTTCTGTGTCAGACTTCACGAAAACTAAAAACCAGTGTTTTTCTCCGTTTCATCCACCTAAAACACCAAAACATACAAATTGGCCGCAAAGTAAACTTCATAGGTAGACTTATAGTAGACTTCTGTGTCAGACTTCACGAAAAACTAAAAACCAGTGTTTTTCTCCGTTTCATCCACCTAAAACACGAACAAAACATACAAATTGGCCGCAAAGTAAACTTCATAGATAGACTTAGATAGACTTAGACTTCTGTGTCAGACTTCACGAACAACTAAAATCACAAGTCAGTCTTCAGCGACCTGTGTAGTGCAGAAAATGAAAGATGTCAGCTCCTCTCAATGTGGATGCAAAGCATGAAGGGACAGCTTTATAAACTTACACAATTGGGGCGAGTATGACCAGGTTCCTTGCACTTAGAGCAGCTGTACTTCTTATGCATTTTCCTCGGTTTATTGTTTTTCTTCCTAGACATCTCTAGCCAAGTTTGCCACCTCGACTTCTTCGGCCTTCCACGAGGGACACTCTCCCCTGGAGGCAAACAGCGAACAGGCTTCACGTGGGAGTCAGTTCCCGCTTTGGGGTAAATCGGATGTGCATATGTTGAGAACAAGGAAGGCGTCGAATGAGTGGCGCATACGTAATAGGACATGTCGACGTTAGCTTCGGCTGCAGCTGCAATAACATGAGAGCAAGGGATTTTTTCAACGTTATACACACCGCACGAGCATGTTCGATTCTCCAAGTCGACATTACAATCTCGTCTCCCGCCTTTAACATGAAAGCGCCAAGTGTCTATGCGATCTACGATCATACTTCCCGCATAGTAAGACCGTATGGCCAATATGTACTCAACACCTCTGCTGTGTCTGGTTGTGAGACTCAGTGCATCCTCCCGCCTCTTGCTAAACCATCTCCCGAGCTTCTCCCTAATAAACTCCAAAAGACGAGGAATAGGTAATCCTTTTGCTTTCTTGACAGCCGAATTAATAGATTCTGCGATGTTGCTCGTCTTTATATTGTATCTATCACCTTCAAAATGAACTCTCGACCATAACTTCGGATCTGCGGTCTCTAAGTAAGCAGCTAGGGCAGGGTTCGCAGCTCTTATGAGGTCCATGTAACGGTCGTATTCAGGCACCGTATGGGCGTAGGCTGCACCTTTAACCATATACATTATCTCCTTTGCGTGGAAGTCCTTTACTATATTACCTTGGAGGTGATAGTAGCATATTCCTCTTGATGCCCAGGGCATAACGATTCCAATGCTCTAGCTATGGCAGCGGCACGGTCAGAGACTATCGCCATTGGCGGAAGTTGCCTGAAACAATCTCTAAGCTTGTTGAAAAACCATTCCCATGATTCACTATCCTCAGCATCGACCACTGCGAAAGCTAGCGGGAATATTTGAAAGTTGGCGTCTTGTCCGGCAGCCACGAGTAGAGCTCCTCCGTATTTCCCAGTAAGATGAGTCCCATCAACCACAATCACTCTCCTCAAATACTGAAAACCAGATATAGAACCGGCGAGTGATAGAAAGCAGTACTTAAAACGGTCCTGTGAGTCACAGACAAGGTCAGTCACAGTTCCCGGATTTGCATCCTTGATTCTTTGCAAGTAAGAAGGCAGATTCGCGTATCCTTCTTCAGCTGTTCCCCACACCAAGTCTTGGGCATGTTTCAAAGCTCTATATGAAGCCGTATAGTCGAGCTTCATTCCAAACATCCTCCTCATAGAGTCTCTTATGTGTTGCGGCACAATTCCTTCAATGAGCCCTGTCCGATCAAGAAAAAGCTTTCCAATATACTTCGTTGTACAACGTTTATGGTTACGTACTCGATCAGAAACAGAACATGTATGCGACTTCACGTACTTTGTCACCCAAAACGTGGAGGGTTCGTTCTTTACGGCCGCTCTAAGCCTCCATTTGCATCCAGCGACTTTGCATTTGGCCACAAACACTTTTCTTGTAGACGCAGCTATCCTGAATGAGAATCTTGTCATCACCGCGGTCAAACGCAACTCAGAGATAAGTTGGGCCTTGGTATCAAAGCTCTGGTGCTCGTAAATATTGTCTTCCCAATTATCAATTCCTATACGATGACCCACACCACGCCCTAAAAGGCGGGGATCATCGAAAGGAACATCAATGACAACGTCTTCATCTTTAATTTTCCCATACTGACTGTAGTCCGCGTGTGTGTCATCATCGCCTTCATAAGCTTTTTCCCTTACATCATCCTCATCACAACCCGACTCTTCAGACACTTCTTCTCGTTCTGCGCTCCAATCTTCATCCAACTCTTCATCGAACTCTTCCTTCAACTCATCATCCAGATTTTCATCTAAGTCTTCATCCAAAGGTCCATCTACGTTGTCTTCATCCTTCCCTTTGCTAGAGACACAAAGTCGTACACCATGATTTCTACTTAGCTCGATCAAGCTTTCGACTTGTCTGTCGTTTGTGACAAACATGGGCGGAGAATCATTACACGTTTGCTGAGTGAACACTTCTGGTAATGGATATGATATTTCCAAACGGTGTCCGATCTTGGTTAGCGAATAATCCTCTAAAGCCATTTGAATAAGCTCATCATGTGTACATCCATCCCTCAACGAGAACATTCTACCTCCTTTCCGATAATCAACCTCAAAATGCCAAGACAAATTGTCCTTTATCACCCATTCTCCATAAACAGATGCAATGTAAACCATTTCCTGCAAGTAAACAAAAACCAACCGCATTAGACTTCATTGATAGACTTTGGTAGACTTCACCTAGAAGTCTACCTAGTATTGTCTAATATTCAATTTTCACAAGAAAACCGTTTTCACGAAATATACAACGAATAAGCATGTCAAACTAACACACAAGCAACTAAAGACTAAATCAACTAATTGTTCAAGAAATCTTAAAAATTCCTTATATATTTTCCAAAAAAGCGTTTTCAAATAAAACATTAAATAGTAGACTTCACGAGGAAGTCTATTTAGTATACTTACTTGTGAAGTCTAATAGACTAGTTTTGCAATTTTTCAAATGACAATTTTTTATGAAGTCTACACGTGAAGTCTACCGAAAAAAAAAGACTAGTTTTGCAATTGACCAAGCTTTGACTTTTCAAATAGACTTCATTATCGTGAATAGGCTTAAAAATGAAGTCTAACTACATAATGAAGTCTATCGGTGAAGTCTAACTACAAATGAAGTCTAGAACAATTAGACTTCATAGGGATTAGTTTTGCAATTGTCCAATTTTTGAATTTAGGAAAATAGACTTCATCGTGAAGTCTACTCCGACAAACGTTGACTATTAGACTTCTTGGTGAAGTCTATCAAGAATTAGGCTTCGAAATGAAGTCTAACCCAAGTATTAGACTTTGAATGAAGCCTAATACAACATTAATAGATTTCAGGGGTAGACTTCACGATAAAACAAACTACTTAAAGTTTGCAAAACTAGTCTTTTATTCAAGCAGACTTCACAGATAGATTTCCCATAAAAAGTTTTTATTCTGTCAATTGCAAAACTAATCTTTTCGAGTAGACTTCATTCTGAAGCCTACGCCATATTTTTTTGTTTTCAAAGGAATATGGGTAGACTTCATTGCAAAACTAGTTTTTTAGACTTCGCTATGAAGTCTAAGGACCTGCAAAAATATGAGATTCACTCAGATCTACCGGAAATTTTACCTTGCCGTGATCTTATGTTTCGTTGACGGCCTATAACTTCGATTTAGAGCTTTAGCAAACTTCCCCAACCGTTATAATGATCTCCCACACCAAAAATGGGAAGATCTAAGAACATAAACTTTGAAAAGATGAAAATGTGTATTCTTGGGGTGAAAATTGAGAAGAAATTGACCAATACAAGTTTATGAGATGATATAATGAGTTTGTATATATGTTTGAAGAGTACATCGTGCATTGAAAGCTTGATTTCGGTTGAGAATGGTTGTTGGACGAATTGATGGTGATGGCATTTTCGTGAATAAATGAAGAAGATGAGGTTTCTTTGGACCTTTTTTTTCGAGTGTTAGACTTCACGGTTAGACTTCAAGGCGAAAGTAATGGCATTTTCGTTATTATCACAAATATGTGAGGATAAACAAGGAAGAAAAAAAGAGTGAACTACTTTTGCATTTGACCTCAATTTTGTACTACTTTTGAAAACAGCCCTAATATAAAAAACTCATTTACCAGATAATTTTTTAACAGTACTGAATTAAAAAGATACGCATATATGTGTCTCGCAAATAATAAACTAACAGTAGTATCAAACCAACATATGAATCATACGATAAAAGCGAGGATATAACAAAATTCATAACATTAAAAAGATAATCATACTGACAATGATATAGAACCAGAATGATACAAAAGCGAGAATTTAATGAAAATTAAATTGCAATTGCAAGTTTGCAACTTATAACAACAACAACAACAAAAGAAACACATGAGAAATCATTTTTTTTTTAATTATTTGTAAACATCACATCAACTTCTGAAATTCCTATGGGGATTATCTATTGTTGGTGAGATCTGGACTGGTAACGGGGGGTCTTACTGTGCGATGGAGGAATCTCCCAGGATCTGCTGCTGCTAATGAATAGGGTTAATGAAACATGCGGGCTGCGGCAGTTGTTGATGAGGAAGAAGAATCATCCTCATCAATCGTAGCGGCTGGAGCAGATCCAAGCCCTTCAGAAGGACCACCAGCAGCATAGGATTCACCGATCTCCCCACGAGAATCCTCCAAAACCTCGATCCTCCTGTTAACATCTTCCAGATATTTGTCAATCAGAGAACCTAAATCTTTCAGATCCACGGGAGTTAATCTGATGGTGATTCTCCTCGCCTTAGCGTCGGAAATCAAAGCAAGTTTCAGTTTACCCTTTCCCATGTAGTGTTCTTTTTTTTGGGCTTTAGATTTGTTTTATTTGTTTTGTGTGTTGTGTATTGAGTTGGTGGATGTGTTGTGTTATATAATAATGGAGGGGTGCAAGAAGATTTGTCTCTTTTTAACTAGAGACACTATTTCGTAATTTAAAGCTAGTCAAAAGAATAAACAAAAAATTATTTATTAAGTTTCCTATAAGTAGGCCAAAGCTTACTATTCAATATATTTCTATGATTCTCATTATTTTATATTGACCTGTAAAGTAACCATGAATTAAAGCATTGTAGATTTTTTAGTTATGAATCTCATCCTTTTGATGCATGCATGCGTACAATATATTTGATTTGAAAATATTAATTACTGGTAGATATGCTTCAACCTTCAAAGTATCTACAGGTGTAAAAGCTATCCCAAAATAATTATTCAGGCTTTCAGCAAATGTTGGCTCTATCCTAAAATATTTCAGCCTTTCAGCATAAATTATTTTGATCTTATCTCAAAATAATTATTCCAGGTTTTCAGCAGATGTTGGCTCTATCCCAAAATATTACAGCCTTTCAGCACAAAATATTTTGGTCTTATCTCAAAATAATTATTCCAAAGTTTTCAGCACAAATAATTTGTGCTAATTAAAATATCCTAGCTAATATTGAAATTCATTTTCCTAATGATGAGAGACTCTTGTTGATAAACTCATGGATATAGAAGATACAGTCTCCAACGCCGACAAAGAGATAGAAACATACCGTACGTCCATGAACCCAAAGTGAAGTCTTATCTAAAACATCATTAACTCAAAAAGATGTATAAAATCAAACAACATCCAAATCCGATAATCCAGTGGTCATTTCCAGCCAAGACGCTATGATGCTGCTGCATCACTCTTGTAGCTTGCTTAACTAACACTGAATCTGGAACATAAAGAGTACACAAGTGAGCGATATCGTTTTTCTGTATGTTCTTTAATAATCATGTGTTAGATAAACCTTAAAATCCATCTTCATGACCACCAGAAGCTCCCTTTCCTTTGCTATGCGAAAGAGCTTCTTTGTAAAGAAGCCATCGCTAGATATATCGTTCCACATTTTGCATGTAGATCTCACTGAAGAAACAATGTCACGGTGTAAAGCTTGTATTAATATGACATGAGGATGAGGTACATAGAAATAAAAGTAAAAAAAAAAAAAAACTACTTCACTTAGGATGATGATGAAGTAACAACAAATTAAGCGATGTTGTGAGGTGGCTCCATCCAAGCGACACAGCTAAACATGCCATACCTTAACTTCCCATAAAATATCAGTAAGCGATGGATATATTCTATTCCTCTCCTCCGCCGAGAGACCGGATCTTAGAGCTAGGGAAACTTGCAAATACGTACTGTCAAGCCTCCAAGATCTCTTTCCTCTTTCCATACATTTTGTCGTTAGGTTTCTGTTATATCTATCTTTAATTAAAATAGTGTATAATTTAATACACAAGAATCTCCAAGCCCGTGTATAGAGATCACTTAGATATAAAACGGAAAAGGCCAAAATAAATTAACGCGTCCAAAACATATGACATACTACAATAAAAGTGAGAGTATCACAAATCCATAGCATTAAAAAAAAAAACAATAACCAGAATGACAATGAAATAGAACTGTATGAAAAAAGAAAAGAAATTGCAATGCATGCAAGTTCATAAAAACAACAGAAAGTATTGAGATATATTCAAATCTACTTGTTAATGTATAGTTTCCTATTTAGTTAGGGTTAATATAATGTCGGTTCCTTGTGTATGTATATATACTTTGGGCATTGCCTCTTATGAAGACAAGTTAAGTTTTCCGATTATAAGTTTGTTATGGTATCAGAGCACGACCAAGCATAATTTTCAGATCTTCTCGTACTCGCGAGGGATCCATACTTATTTTTTTTCTCTCCTTCTTCTTTGACCTTAATCAAGTGATTTCTCTTTCACACTTGATTTCTTTTGTTCCTCTGTTTTTTTAACTCCAAAACAGAGCATCTCTTTGATCCGACACGATGACCAACAATAACCCAAAATACAAGACGATCTCTCCTTTTGACTTGAGCGCCAGTGACAATCCCGGCGCGGTGATTTCGCAGCCGCTACTCAACGGTTCGAACTATGATGAATGGGCTCTCAACTTTCGTATGGCCCTAAGTTCACGAAAGAAATTTGGTTTTTTGGATGGAAGCATCCCAAAGCCAGCTCCTAATTCTGCCACTCTTGAAGATTGGACAGCCAATAACCACCTCCTGGTCGGCTGGATTAAGCTTTCTATAGATCCCAAACTACGATCCTCCATCTCAACGAGAGAAGTAGCTAAAGATCTATGGGAGATAATCAAGAAGCGTTTTTCCTTGAAAAGTGGAGCTCGCCTCCAACAATTGAGGAACTCATTGGCAACATGCAAACAGAATGGGTCAACCGTAGATGACTACTTTGGCCGCTTGACGAAACTATGGGACGGAATTGCTGAATGCATGAATTCCAAACAGTGTACGTGTGATAAGTGTGAGTGCGATCTCAACACTGCACATGAAAAGGAGAAAGAGATCCTCCGCGTTCATGATTTTCTCTCCGGATTGGACGACTCATCACATGGTGTCATTCGTTCCCAAATCTGTGCGATGACTCCATTACCTGACTTGGACAGTGTTTATCAAACGATAACACAAAACGAGACACTCTGATCGAACGTCACTAAAGAAACCTCGATGATGAGTTTTGCTGCTCAAGCGACTTCAAACAGACAAGGTACTGTTTTTACCCGTGATCTTTCTCGTCGTGACACTGGAACATCTTTCCAAGGCGGAATTACCAATCGCGATCCGTCAAGGCAATGTACTGCGTGTGGACGTACGGGACACGAAGCAAACTCTTGCTTTAAGATTGTTGGATATCCAGAGTGGTGGGGAGAGCGACCACGCAATCGACCTGACAATCGAAGCACACAACCTTCTCCAATGGGTCGTGGCCGTAGTTATACTCCAAGAGCAAACATCACACAAATCACTACAGCCAATACCGCTGCGATCGGTGAACCATCTACAATTACTGAGAGTGACCGTGAAGGTCTTAGTGGCTTAACTGATGATCAATGGGCTGCTGTACAACGATTACTTAATGCTGGAAAATCATCTCCGAATATGAGTGGTAAGAACAACGTTTTCTGGATACTTGATACAGGAGCAACACACCACATGACGGGTTGTCTTGATCTTTTAGAAGACATTCGTGACATAACACCAATTTCTGTTATATTACCTGCTGGAGCAGATACTGTTACACTGAAACAAGGAACAGTTCGTTTGACATCAAAACTGTCTCTACAGAATGTTTATTATGTTGATGGTTTTCATACCAACTTGATATCCTTTGGTCAGCTCGTCACTGACAATTATCTTGTGGGACAAGTTACTGATAAACTCATGATTTTACAGGACCGCACCACGAGGATGCTGATTGGAGCGGGTGAAAGAGAGGGAGAGGGACTGTACCGGTTTCGGAACATGGACAATGTGACTTCTTTACAGACCAGTGTTCAAGACAACTTAGTTTTATGGCATCACCGTTTAGGCCATCCTTCACTTCCGGTCACTGGTCTTATTCCTGGTGTTTGTACTTCTTCTACTAGCAATAATAGTGAGCTTTTGATTAAGAGTTGTGATACGTGTTTTAGAGCAAAACAGACACGGCAATGTTTTCCTGATAGTTTAAATAATGCGAAAGAGAGTTTTGATTTAATCCATTGTGATTTATGGGGTCCGTATCGTACCACAGCTTTTTGTGGCTCCCGTTATTTCTTAACAATCGTGGATGATCATTCAAGAGCTGTATGGTTATACCTTCTTCCTGATAAAACATTGGTTTCTCAACAGCTTCGAGATTTTGTGGCCATGATTGAACGACAGTTCTCTAAGAAAGTAAAACGAATCCGCAGCGACAATGGCACAGAATTTCTTTGTCTTACACGTTTTTTTCAGGAAAAAGGGATTCTACATGAGACTTCTTGTGTCTACACTCCTCAACAAAATGGTCGGGTTGAGCGGAAACATAGACACATACTCAACATTGCTAGAGCTCTCCGATTTCAAGCACATCTTCCGATCGAATATTGGGGAGAATGTGTACTTACTGCCGGTTACTTGATCAATCGCACTCCTTCGATATTACTCAAGAACAAGACTCCTTTTGAGGTACTTTATGGTCATCCCCCTGGATACAAACACTTACGTGTTCTTGGCTGCTTAGCATATGCTCACAACATCGATCATAAAGGTGATAAATTTACATCTCGAAGTCGACGATGTGTGTTTTTGGGATATCCATATGGAAAAAAGGGCTGGAAATTGTATGATTTGGAACGAGAAGTGGTTTTTGTCTCCCGTGATGTTGTTTTTCAAGAAAATATTTTTCCGTTTGCCGATACGGATTCGATCGCAACACCGATTGCACAAAGGCCAGAGCCTCCTTTGTTTCCAGTTACAGCTGAGACTGATGATGATGTGGTACCGTTAACACCACCAGAAGCTGAAGATGACCACATTGAAGAAGTTACTCTACCGAATATTCATACCACTCCATCTCCTGCTGTTGAAACTCATGGCCGAGGACAACGAACTAAACGTCCTTCTACACGATTACATGACTATGTCGTTGGTGCAGTCACTACTAAGCCTCTCTCTCCTCTCTCTTCACCTTCTCCACCACCATCCTCAGGTTCGTTGTATCCTCTTTGTAACTTTGTCTCCATTGAACGTTTTTCTCCTAACCATCGTAAGTTTTTGGTGGCTTTGGCAACTAATATTGAACCGAGAACTTTTGCTGAGGCAATGAAACATAAGCATTGGGAAAAGGCTGTTGATCGTGAAATAGATTATCTTATCGAGCTTCAAACATGGAGACTCGAAGAATTGCCTCCGGGAAAGAAAGCACTTGATTGTCATTGGATCTTCACGATCAAGTATCAATCTGATGGGGAAATTGAACGTCACAAAGCACGATTAGTTGTCAATGGCAATGGTCAAGAAGAGGGATTTGATTACAAAGAAACCTTTGCCCCAGTTGCTAAAATGACTACGGTACGTGTCTTTCTTGATCTTGCGGCAAAACTGAATCATGAAGTACATCAGATGGATGTACACAATGCTTTTTTACATGGAGATTTACATGAAGAGGTGTATATGAAACTTCCTCAAGGTTTTAAATCTGATGGAGAAACACGGGTTTGTCGTCTCCAGAAATCACTATATGGTTTAAAACAAGCTTCTCGATGCTGGTTTGAAAAACTCAGTACCGCACTTTGTGCATATGGTTTTAAACAGACAAAACCAGATTATTCTCTCTTCACCTATGTCAAAGGCGATGTTCACCTCCGTATTCTGGTTTATGTTGATGATCTTATAATTTCTGGAAGCACCTCGGCAGCGATTCAAACGTTCAAAGACTACTTGTCTACTTGTTTTCATATGAAGAATCTCGGACCCGTCAAATACTTTCTTGGCATCGAAGTCGCACGCAATCCCACCGGTATTTACTTGTGTCAGAGAAAGTATGCAACAGATATTGTGGAAGAGATGGGGTTACTTGGATGTCGTCCAGCCAGTTTCCCTATCGACCAAAACCATAAACTTGCTTTGGCTGATGGAGATTTCCTTGCTGATCCAGAGACGTATCGCCGCTTAGTTGGACGTCTTATATATTTGGCTGCTACACGACCGGATCTCACTTACTCAATCCATATATTATCTCAGTTCATGCATGCTCCTCGAGTTGAACATTGGTTTGCAGCATTGAAAGTGGTTCGATATATCAAGGGTACACTTGGGCAGGGAATTCTTCTTCGTGCTGAGTCTCCACTTCATCTCACGGGTTGGTGTGACTCCGACTATGCTGCTTGTCCATTGACTCGGAGATCTCTCACAGGATACATTGTTCAACTTGGTGATTCTCCAATCTCGTGGAGGACTCAAAAGCAAGACACGGTTTCTCGCTCGTCGGCGGAGGCGGAATACAGAGCAATGACAGAAATTACTTCAGAGTTACGATGGCTCAAGGCACTCCTCTTGGAGTTTGGAATAGAACACAAAGAACCTATGTCACTTATGTGTGATAGTAAGCCTGCTATACACCTTAGTGCCAATCCAGTTTTCCATGAAAGAACAAAACATGTTGAGGTAGATTGTCATTTTGTTCGAGATGATATCGTTGCTGGTCTTATCAAGCCTATTCATGTATCAACAAAGGATCAGCTTGCAGATATTCTCACCAAAGCTTTGGGACGAAAAGAGTTTGACACTTTTCTTATCAAGTTGGGCATTCATAACTTGTATGCTCCAACTTGAGGGGGAGTATTGAGATATATTCAAATCTACTTGTTAATGTATAGTTTCCTATTTAGTTAGGGTTAATATAATGTCGGTTCCTTGTGTATGTATATATACTTTGGGCATTGCCTCTTATGAAGACAAGTTAAGTTTTCCGATTCTAAGTTTGTTAGAAAGAAACACTTTGGGAACATCAACTCTCGAAAGTCCTATGGGAACCAAATGTTGTTGGTGGTGGGGTTTGGCCCGGTAACGGGGTTCGTACTGCTTGAGCTGGCGCCTGGCGGAGCGATTGGGGAATCACCGGGGATCTGCTGCTGCTGCGGTTGGTGGTGGTGGTTATGACCCATGAACTGAAACCCCATTTGCTCATTCATCATCTCCACAAAGCTTTGCTGTTGATACTGATTCTGAGTCTGATTCCAAGGTTGCTCATAGAGTCCAACATTTGGAGCCCCCGGAGGAGGAATGCTGCTGCTGCTGCTGAATAGAGTTAAACAAAGCAGCGGCACCTGCCGATGAGGAGGAAGAACCAACCTCATGAACCGTACCGGCTAGAGCGGCTCCAGACCCTTGGGAAGGAGCGGCAGCCGCAGCAGCATTGGAGGATTCACCGACCTCCATAGCAGCAGAATACCCCAAAACATCGATCCTCCGATTAAGATCTTTCAGTTTTTGGTCAATAATAACTAAATCATTGAGATCTACAATATTTAGGTAAACATACCCATGTTACCGTTAACCATTGGAACATGACTTCAGTCATCTCCCGCTCCCTGCTCTCCTTACTCTCTTTCTAGCTGCTCGGAAGCTTTGGCTATGCGTTGTCTGATGAACGCCTCTTGGTCCAACATTTTCTTCTGTTGGTCCAGCACCGGCAACGCCCGGAACTCCGAAATAACGCTGTGCACGCCGGCATTTGACGGCCACACGTCGGGATTGGTGGTGTATGGACTGTAGATGATGGCGCATGCAGGGACACCGCATAGAGTCGATAACTCGTTCACTTTCTTCAGCAGACCTTTGTTTCTTTTTCTAAAGGTGTTTTTCCTCGAAGCATCGTTGGAAATCAAAGCAAGCTTCACCTTACTCCTCGTCATGATGGATTTTTTTTTTGCTGCTTTTGTTTTCTTTTTGCTTATTTGTTTGTGTTGTGTGTATTGAGTTGGTGAATGTGTTGTGTTATATATAGTGAAGGAGTGGGGTACGAAGATTTGTCTTCTTTAATTAGAGACACTATTTTGTCATTTAATGCTAGTCAAAATAATTACAAAATATGAATTACAGCCTAGAAAGTTTTTTAGATAGGTGAAAGATTTCATTTCTATACATTTCTGTGATTATCATCATGTTATACTTGGATATTGACGTGTAAAGTAACCATGCATTAAAGCATTGTAGATTATAGTTATCTCTAAAGGCATTAGAGCATGTGCACTAGACATCCCCTTATGGGATTCTTTAAACTCACTTTATGCATAAAAAATTAATATTGCAAGTGTAGAGACTTAGCTTCCCCAATGGAGAACTCAACATGAGGCTCCTTAATTTATTAATTTTTTTTTTAAAACTTATTAAAATTGAAAATATTCATAATAAGTAAAATACATTGTAAAATACAAGAAAACGCCAATCTACTTGCTCTTGCTCTTGCTCCAATTGACCTGTGATCATAAATCAAAAAACAGAGCAAAGACTTTAATACATGATTAGTAAGGCAAACAAGTATATAGAACAATGGCTTCAATTTTAAAATTTTGAGATCACTATCCGTTTTGGTTAACTAAACTATCAACTGTTTTTTTTAGTTATACTTAAAGCTAGTTTTTGATAAAATCTTGCGGACCAAAAAACAGAACACAGCTTTGTTTAATCTAGAACTATTATCCGTGAATGCATACACAATCATAAACAAGGGTTTGAGTTTAGTGAAGCTTACTTTTTCACAGTTTTCTCTGGTCCATTTCCTATTTGTCGATCATTGCGTCACCGATATCTTTGAGGAGCTGCACCGATGCCGCCATTTCTGCGTCCGCCTCACGGCTAGCCGCTCCAGCCTCCAATGTTTCAGCCTCGCCTTTTTCCACTTCCGCGTCTGCCTCGGCCAACTCTGACCTCAGCTGAATAGAATTCCTATGAACAACCCTAAAGCGCTCAAAGGATCCCAGGAATGCTTCCTCAACCCGTTTTTGTTTCTCTTTCAGAATGTCCAACCGGAGCTTCTCCGCGTTGTAAGCATCTATGAGGTCCTGCAGGAACATTAAAAAGACAAGGCAAATAACTCAAGCATTAAACAAAAAAATCATACACAACTCATAACGTAAATACTTCAATTCCACGAAACATTAGAAGAGTTCAAGGGAAAAAAAGTTATAACATAATTCAATTCCAAGAAACATTACATAAAAACTTGGACAACCTAAACCGAATAGAGACATAACAAGATCCGACTTATAAGTTTAACAACATTGAAGACAAACAAGTCATCAAACATTACATAAAAACAAGTCAACCTAAACCGAATAGAAACCTAAAAACAAGTCTTAAGGACATTCTCTAAAGCGAATAGATCCGAGTAATTAGGGCATTCTTAAGGGCATTCTCTATCTCTGTTAGTGGCTCGGTTTTCCCTAAAAGAGTGTCAAGCAATTGCTTATCGGCTAACTTGTCCTTGTTCTCAAATTGTTTCTCTCTTATCGCAGCCACAGTCTGAAGGTTCTTTAGCGAGGCCTCTCTTTCTTCCTTGGTTCGAGGGACAGTTTTATTAGTCCCTTTCAGCTTTGCCGCCTTCGCAAGTTTCACACCCATGGGTCTCTCCTCGACTTCGTCTTCCATTGGATTGCCTTCTGCGGAGGTATGTGGCTGCGCCCTTTTGCCATGTCCTTTTCCTTTCCCTTTGGTTAGCTCACACCATTTTTGTTCGTTCCTAAGAGCTCTCCACGCATGCTCTAGCAGGAAGTTGGACTTCTGATCCTGAAAGAAGAATTTGTATGCCATCTGGTAGACGTCATCGTCCGACTGGCCGCTTGTAGCTTGTCTTCCTGCCTCCTCGAAACAACCGCAAAACCTCTGACATCCCTCGTTTATCTTCTGCCACCTCTGTTTGCAATTATTCGACTTCCTTGGACCCATGTTCTTCACAGCTTCACATTCACCGTAGTAGGTTGTCACCCGTTTCCAAAAGGCGACACCTTTCTGGTCAGTCGCAGTGACGGCATCTTTGCTGGTGTTCAACCACGCGCTTATCAGAGCTTTATCTTCCGGCACAGTCCACCTTGTTCTTGCTTCTCGGGAACTCCCTGCTTCCGCAACATGTTCGGGTTCATCATCTGGTGTTAGTGGTGTACCGGGTTCTGGTGATTGGGTATAAAAAGTTGGAGTTTGGGTACAGAAAAGGGGTGTTAGTGGTGGTGTTCCGGCATGGTGCAAGAGGTTTGTAAAACTGTAGTTAAATGGAGAGTTGGAACCCATTTCGCAATCAAAGAAGGAAACAAAGACACGAAGTAGAAGAAAGCTTATGGAAAATGGTGGATGAGTTAGTATTGAAGAAGAGCAAACACGTTTCTGTATTTAAGGGCAAAATTAGGGTAATTAAATTTTGACAAGACAAGTTTCTGTTTTAATAGGAGCTAAAGATTTGATTGTGAATTAACTCACATACGCTTTAGTGGTTGAGAGCATTAAACTCAACATAAAGCAACTCCTAAACTCACCTACAATCTCTACGACAAAACAATCAAAAGAAACAGAGACAAACTAATTCACTTAAACAAACTAAAGTCTAAACCGAGCCACAACAAGCAAGCAAAGAACAAGCACAAAACAATAACCAAAAAAAAAACAAGAACCAATAAGGAACAAATATCAGACGCACACGTTATCTACAGCCGCAACCTAACCTATGAGAAAATAAATACAGTGCACTAACCTGTAGCTTGGAGAATTGATTGGAGCTGTCATCAACTCCACCAGCTGTCTTCTTGAACAACTCCTTCTTCACCGGCATCTCAAAGACATGTGGACAAGAAAGAAAATATGTTAGTAAAAAGAGGAGAGTAATTAAAGAAGCATATGACGTGAACAAAGTGAAGAGACCCATAGACAAAGTTCCAAGTATAAAGAAGTTCCATGTTTAAACCAATTAACAGCAAATGCTTCGAATTTGATAAGAGCATGAACAAAATGAAGAGACTCATAAACAAGTTTCAAGTATTACTACATGTTTTCAAGTCATATATACACAAATTGCAAGCAACATAGTTATCAAATTGTTGTGAAGTCACGGAAACGACCAAATCCCCAAATGAAACCAACATTTATCCAAATCAAACGAGAAACGAGAGTTGAAGAAGGTGAAACAAATACGAAACCCAACTCACAATTCATGAGTACTCGAACTATCAATTACCTATTGATCTTATTCATTCATACAATCTACATATGTATTCACGAAATTAAACCGAGAAGATTAGTTCTATCCAGAGAAGATTTTACACACTAATACTAACACCGAAACGATCTATGATGATAAATCAGACTCGTTCTATCCAATTCATTTTCGAAAGAGGAAAACCCAGATTTTCGATGCCAAAAATTCGATTTTTCATATTCAATACTCTACTAAATTAAGTTGAACAAGTAGAAATTGAGCTTAATCCAGCTTCTACTCTTGTATAAGAAGCACCAACCTGAAAAATCGCTGAGGAACTTTCACGTATCGGAGAGGAAAGAGTGATTCTTCTTCTCGGCGACGCCCCACCGACAATACACCGGAGAGAAGAGGCTGATAACGAGAGAACGAAACAGAAGAAGAAGAAGAAGAAGAAGAGGAAGACGAAGAGGATGAAGAACAATCTCGCACAGGTCTCAGATCGAAGAAGAGATTCAAGGGTTTCGGATCGTCGAAGACGACGGAGAAACCAAAGTCGAAATGTTTTTGAGAATTGGAAAAAAAACATTTTCCTCTCGCGACATATTTTTCCTCCGAGCTTTCTCGCGCCGACGCGTGGCGTGTAGAAGCGTATCCAAAGTCTCTCCACACAGAGACGGATCTGGACCGATTTTCCGCCATGTGGGTATTTGCCCAATTAATTTCTTTTTTTTTTTCCTCAGAAACTCCCAAAAGATGTCCGCTGCATGTGCTCTTAGTCATAAATTTCGTCCCTTTGATGCATGCTTACAAAATAGTTGTTGTGAAAATATTAATTATTGATAGATATGCTTACTAGGTGATGATGCAAAATATGCTTTTAAAGAAAATTAGTCTTATCCCAAAATAATTATTCCAGGCTTTCAACAATAATGTCAGATACGTTTTGGATTCAATATTAGCTAGGATATTTTGATTTAGCACAAATTTCTTCACCATACAGTGATTTTGTAATTTAAGAATGGGCAACGTAACTTTTGGACCCATATACTAATTTGAATTGGGCTCGATCTAGGAAAGGGCTTGATATTCTTATTGATTACATCAAATTTATTTGATTGATAACCTCATATATATAAATCAATATTGTCAATACAGTCCTAAATCAGTTAGAATTTGTTTATGATACTTCGGGTGTATCAACAATGATTCAAAATCTGACAATAGAAATCTTCTTTGAACAACCTTTTCACTGATTAGAATATGAGAATCGTCAGCGAGCTAAAACATTTGTAGTGATTAGCATAAAGAATCTTTATAATTCCATCACGATATTGAGCAAGTCTTAGCTCGGGGAAAACTTGTATTTCTTTTTGTTAATTATATTGCCAAATGAAATTTAGTATTAATAAATTTTTTATATATAAAAAAAAATATCACATAATCTTTTTTGGTTTTTATTTTATTTTGATAAATTTATTTCTTATATATTATACCACATTTAGACAATAAAAAAACAAACAAGGTGAATTAATAACATTACGTTTAATACATGAACATAGAAAATCTAAAAATATTTAGATGGAAATGAAGTTAGAAGTACATATTATCAATTAATCAAACAACAGGCAGACGAGGCTTAAACTTAAACAGACAAGAGAAGCATGGATGTTGCTTTTAATCCAAGGCAAGATTGAAGATAGTATCTCCTGGAGTAGGTCTGAGGCAATTTTCAGATCCCAAAGTACTATAATAATACACTTTCTCTTCTTCTTTGATTCCTTTAGCTTTTGGATTGCAACTAATGATTATAAGAAGAAGAAACCTCAAGTGAGAGATCCTAAATCCTTGGAATTTCGATTAATAGGAATAGCGAAAAGAAAACTCACGATTGGAGTTTATTGGTCCACGAAGGACTCCTTGTAGTGAAAGTATTGTAAAGAGAATGAATTATGAACCATCTCCCTTATCTTATAGACTTTTATAGACTTGTTAAAATGGACATAACCGGAATCATATCATATAATGATTCTTTAGAAGTCTATGCATCAGTTGATTGAACAGTAGTTGATGTGAACAGTAGTTAGAAGTCTATGCATCAGTTGATGTGAACAGTAGTTAGCACAGTTAAAAAGAAAAAACATATTTGAGAATTTGTGTAAAAAGAATATCTCCTTGCAATATGGAGAATTCTAAGCAATTCCATTACAGAAGAATTTTTCACAACATACTTACTTTATGATTGAATTGAAGACATTAATATGATTACAACATCAAGTTTTTCAGATTGAATCAACTCCTACAGCTTCTTCAGAGACTAACTTCTTCAACATAACAACAAGTTGATCAAAGTCATCTTGTGCTCTGATAAGACTTAATCGCACAAACCTTTCCTCTGGCTCTGATCCAAACACTTTGCCATTGCGTCCTGTTATATTCGCCGCTCTGAAAGTCTCATAGCAGTTTGTGTCTTCTAATCTCTCACACTTCACCCATGCATAAGCTTTTCAAATAAAAAAAAGCAAACCCAAGTTGACAATCTTTTACATAGTACCAAAACAAATCTCTGGTTACTTGCATTAGAAGTAGAGCTTACAAGGAGTAAAGTCTTTGACTCTCTTGAAATAGTTGCAGTACTCAGGCTTGATAGTCTGAAGAGAGAAACGTGTGGACTTGGAAAAGATCTTGTTCAGTGTCTCCCATCTCTTCTTCATTGTCTCGTAACCAAACTGAAACACCTCCTCGCCTCCATCACCAACCACTACTTTGAGCAACTGTAGAACATAAAGTTGTGTAGTCCTAGAAACTCCCATACTACTTAAAGTTATATAACTCTCCATTTTTTCATAAACATCTTTGTCTTTTACCAAAGCCCATCTACACCAAAAAATTAACACTTCTGAGTTCTTATGACCAATCCAAATCTTATATATGTCTGTATATATTGTTTTGCTTACCCGAATCTTGAACCAGCATGACCTGTAATCTTGGATAGACTAAACAAGCTCAAATCTTCATCAGTTTGATGTGTGATAGGTGAGAAATAAGGCCAGTTATACGCGTAATCATGAATTGTTTTGACATTAGGACCATCAAGAACAGCTCTTTTCATCTTCCCATCCGGATTATTAGGAGATGTTACAATCTCTATTACTTGTGTAATGTTATCATTACGCTTGCTCTTCTTCCACGCAGACGTATCTCCTTCAAACTTGAGACGTGTTGAATCAAAGAACTCTGCTTGCTCCTTGTACAGCTACACACACACACGCACAGAGAGAGAGACTGGTCAAAAACAACCAAGAAGTTTGTTAACATAAAGCCAAGAACAGAGGTTTTCTTACAGCGTAAAATGGAACAGAAGCCAATAGTCTTGCAGGTGATGATGATGATGAGTTTGACAAAGATAAAGCATGAGCAGCTGCTGCAAGCAATTGTGTGGAGCCAGTTCCAAAGATTATGAATCTGTTATCAGTAACTGCATTTCCCACTACTTTATGCAGCTTCCTAATGATCCTCTCGAGCTCTTCAGATATATATGAGCCATCTTGGTCAATATAGCTCATCCTGTGCCATCCTGAGACCAAAACCGCGCTTTTCTCTGCTTGTCTCATCCAGAAAGGTTCCAAGAACAAAGGGTCTCCTCTTCAAAACCAAACAAAACACCAAAAAATATAAACTCAATCCAAAGTTTATATCTTGGTTTTGATCATAGTGATCAAAAAAGGGAGAGATCAAAAGTTGTTGCATACGAGTTAGCATCGGCAGGACAATCTGAGACAAGAAGAGAGCAATCTGTGCCTGTGTAGCAGTTGTTGCATTCACAAGGAGGTTTATTGCCGTCAAGAACACCAAGACCGTCCACGTAAGCTCTTCCATGGCCTGAGCATGAAACAGAGGCTGCATCCTCTGCTTCTGCAGCGGCTCTATTGGTCCACCTCGGGCTCCATGTGGTTGAATTATTGCAAAGGATATAAACAGTGAATACGAGATTCAAGATGATCGAAAATGTAAGAAACAGCTTCTTCTCCATCATCTTTACTTAATAACCTGCAAAATTTGAAGTTGCAAACTTTTGTGTGCTCATATGGAAATATCACAACTAGAGATTCCAAATTACTGGTAAAGTATAGTATAAGGTAATCGATTACAGTGGAACCAATTTATTTATAAAAAAAATTACAAACGTATACATAGAAAACAATGCTAAATATTCTGAAAAAAAATTGAGTGAGACAGCTCAGTCTCATTTAGACAAACACACAACTAAACCTTGTGATGGTAAAGTCAGAAACCTTCAGCTCACACGCCAATGTCACTTAAAGTTTGAATTCTCGTGTGGATAAACTTAATGTGGGAATGCGTAATTAGTCACTTATAGTCGAAAGATTTGACCTTTGATAAGGAGTTAAGGACGATAGGATCAGATAATATTGGCTTGGCATCGATAATATACTCTAAACACTAATATTAGCGATAAAATAGTTTATTGCGCAACCTTATAATGTCAACATAAAGTTGAAGTTTAAGTAACTATCTTATCTGATACTAATAAGAATATTCAGGATTCCACTTAAATAAAACAATTAAAATGTTGATATCTATAGAACAAAAGAGGAAGACCTCTTGTTCTAGGAAAGAAAGAAAGAGAATCAAGCAAGATACGTACAGAATCTAAATACTTGATGATCCGTATGTAGACACACAGGTAAAAAAATCTAACTGTTCAAGACTTGTGACTCTTTTGGCTCCTTTCTGAAAGTATCTGCTTTGTCTTTTCCAAAACTCCAAAGAAAATTGAACCTCCAATACCAATCCATAATACTCTTGGACCCATTCCCTGTGTGTCCCAAATAATGTGGAAAGAGCAGAAATTGATTCATCTTATAGACTTGTTTAAATGGACATAGTCGGAATCATATCATATAATGATTGTTTAGAAGTCTGTGTATGCATTAGTTAATTATTCCTTGCAATATGGAGAGTTCTAAGCAACTTCATTACAGACATACTTACTTTATGACTGAATTGAAGACATCAATATGATTACAAACTTACAACATCAAGTTTTTCAGATTAAATCAACTCCCACAGCTTCTTCAGGGACTAACTTCTTCAACAAACCAACAAGTTGATCAAAGTCATCTTGTGCTCTGATAAGACTTAACCGCACAAACCTTTCCTCTGGCTCTGATCCAAACACTTTGCCATCACGTCCTGTTATCTTCGCCGCTCTGAAAGTCTCGTAGCAGTTTGTGTCTTCTAATCTCTCACACTTCACCCATGCATAAGCTTTTCAATTTCAAATCAGAAAGCAAACACAAGTTAACAATCTTTTACATAGTACCAAAACTAATCTGAGCTTACTTGCGTTAGAAGAAAAGCTTACAAGGAGTAAAGTCTTTGACTTTCTTGAAATAGTTGCAATACTCAGGTTTGATCGTCTGAAGAGAGAAACGAGTGGAGGTGGAAAAGATCTTGTTCAGCGTCTCCCATCTCTTCTTCAAAGTTTCATAACCAAAATGGAAGATCTCTTCGCCTCCATCACCAACCACTACTTTGAGCAACTGTAGACCATAAAGTTGTGTGGTCCTAGAAACTCCCATACTACTTAAAGTTACATATCTTTTCATTTTTTCATAAACATTTTTGTCTTTTACCAATGCCCATCTACACCAAAAAGACTACACTTGTGAGTACTTATGACCAATCGAAATCTTTTGATTCATTTATGTTTGTTGTTTACCCGAATCTGGAGCCAGCATGACCTGTAATCTTGGATAGACTAAACAAGCTCAAATCTTCATCAGTTTGATGTGTAATTGGTGAGAAATAAGGCCAGTTATACGCGTAATCATGAATTGTTTTGACATTAGGACCTTCAAGAACAGCTCTTTTCATCTTCCCATCTGGATTGTTCGGAGATGTCACTATCTCTATAACTTGTGTGTTGTTATCATTGCGCTTACTCTTCTTCCACGCAGACGTATCTCCTTCAAACTTGAGACGTGTTGAATCAAAAAACTCTGCTTGCTCCTTGTACAGCTACACACACACACACACAGAGTGATAAAAAACCACCAAGAAGTTTGTTTTGCATAAAGCCAAGAACAGTGGTTTCCTTACAGCGTAAAATGGAACAGAAGCCAATAGTCTTGCAGGTGATGATGATGATGAGTTTGACAAAGATAAAGCATGAGCAGCTGCAGCAAGCAACTGTGTGGATCCAGTTCCAAAGAGTATGAATCTGTTATCAGTAACTGCATTTCCCACTACTTTATGCAGTTTCCTAATGACCTTCTCGAGCTCTTCAGATACAAATGAGCCACCTTTGTAACGATAACTCATCCTGTGCCATCCTGAGACCAGAACCGCGCTTTTCTCTGCATGTCGCATCCAGAAAGGCTCCAAGAACAAAGGGTCTCCTCTTCAAAACCAAACAAAAAACCAAAAAAATATACTCAATCCAAAAGGGAGAGGTCGCAATGATTTGAAAAGGGAGAGATCAAAACACTGTTGCATACGAGTTAGCATCGACAGGACAATCTGAGACATGAACAGAGCAATCTTTGCCTGTGTAGCAGTTGTTGCATTCACAAGGAGGTTTATTGCCGTCAAGAACACCAAGACCGTCCACGTAAGCTCTTCCATGGCCTGAGCATGAAACAGAGGCTGCATCCTCTGCTTCTGCAGCGGCTCTATTGGTCCACCTCGGGCTCCATGTGGTTGAATTATTACAAAGGATATAGACAGTGAATACGAGATTCAAGATGATCGAAAATGTAAGAAACAGCTTCTTCTCCATCATCTTTACTTAATAACCTGCAAAATTTGAAGTTGCAAACTTTTGTGTACTCATATGAAAATATCACAACTAGAGACTCCAGATTACTGGTAACGTATATAAGGTAGGGAATCAATATATTAGAAAAATAATACAATCGAATACATACAAACCAATGCTAAAGATTCTGACAGCTCAGTTTCATTTAGACAAACACAAAACTAAACCTTGTGATGGTAATGTCAGAATCCTTCAGCTCACACGCCAATGATGATAAACTTAATATGGGAATGCGTAATTAGCCAATTATAATCGAAATATTTGACATTTGATAAGGACGATAGGATCATATATTATTGGACGTTGCATCGATAATATACACTTAACACTAGTATTAATGATGACTTAGTTTACTACGCAACCTTATATCGTCAACATAAAGTTGAAGTAACCTAGTTTATTACGCAACCTTATATCGTCAACATAAATTTGAAGTTTAACTTTAAGTAACTATCTTAGCTGATACTAAGAATGTACAGGATTCGACTTAGATAAAACAATTAAAATGTTGATATTTATAGAACAAAAGAGAAAGGCCTCTTATTTGTAGGAAAGAAAGAAAGATAGAATCAAGCAAGATACGTAAAGAATCTAAATACTTGATCTTCACTAAAAATATCAAGAGACAAGATTGATGTACACACAAGTGAAAGAATCTAACTGTTCAAGTCTTGTGGCTCTTTTGGCTCCTCTCTGAAAGTATCTGCTTTGTCTTTTCCAAAACTCCAAAGAAAATTGAACCTCCAATACCAATCCACAATACTCTTGGACCCATTCCCTGTACACAACAGAGAGTCTCAGACTTGTCAACAAAAATTGCACAAACACGAGCAATGTGTGCCAAATAATGTGGAAAGAGCAGAAATTGATTCACCTTCCATAAAGCTGATGATCCTTCTTCTCTTAGTATCGTCTGAATGCAATCCGAAACTCCTTTATACTGATTTCCTGCGCCCTGCAGAAATTAAAAAAAAAAACGAAAAAACATCAGTACTTGTGAAATGAAATGCATCCAAGAAGAACAAATTCTTGTGCTCATTTCGTTTTGACATATACCTGAACCATTAATCTGGTTTTGATTACGTCTAGAGGAGTGGTCAAAACTCCAGTGAAAGCACCTGCAAAGGCACCAAGCATTGCATTCTCTGGATCATTTAGATCTCTTCTTGCCTGTTCAAAAACATAATGGATATCTCACTGTTATTAACCAGCCAAAACGGATGTTTTCTTTCAATTATCAACGTTACAACAGCAAAAAGCTTACAGCTAACTTGTATCCGATCCGTAACTGCTCATATACACAAAACTGGAGCGCGTCAAAAGGCAAGTCTCGCAACAAGAAAGATCCAAAACCCTGCATGTTTGGATAAATAAGATGAAAGCATACAACTAAAACACTAGAATCATAAGTCAAGTAGTGACATATATATACCGCATACATGCCTCCAAAGCCTTCCTTGGCTATGATAAGACGAACAGCTTCAGGGGCCGAAGCAAATTGTCCAGTTTGCATCCGCTGTTTAACAACCTGTTGAAGTTTCCATTAGCCTTTATACAAGAATGTAACCAAAAACAGAGTAAATAAGCAAAGAGAGTAGCTTACTTCGGTTGGAACTCGAACGATAGATGAAACAGCACCTCCTAAAGCACCTGCAGCCTGATTAAGCTTATATAACTAGCTAACACATCGTATATCCTTTTTTTAACAGAGCCATATCAGATTCTAAGTGCCTCTGTCTCAAATCAGTAAGCTCTAAAACTAAATGGTAGCAAGAATAATGTTATTAAGCCAAGTTTAAGTTCATACATACCAAATGTGCAACGGCACTAAACTGTTCGGGTAAAACCTTGAGAAGTTTCTGTTTGGTTGGTTCATATACACCGAAAAATAAAGCTGAAGCACTGCACATGAAGCAAAAAAATAATTATTCATCTGAAATAAGAGTCATAAGTGCTTTCATCTGAATGCTTACGGTAAGACACCAGCAAGGTTTCCACCAAGACCAGAGTATAGACCTTTCCATATTATCTTTCCTCCATCTCGAGCTACCTAAACATAACCAACCAACACAAGACAATTGCCGTAAGTCAAACATTTAGCTTCTCCATGTAAGTAAAGAAGCATTATGAACAAATCTAGACCATAGTGGTACCAAGGAGCTTATGTTGGATCCATAACAAAAAATTGATTTTAGGAGAAACATAACTTGTACTCGGGTTTTGATGGTATCAATTGGGTACAGAGCAGCTTCCACAACAAGACCAGCTATTCCTCCTGCTATCAGACTCTCTGCAAAACAACAACATAAAATCTTTTTACTCTTCAGCGCATTGCGGAAAAACAATATTGGTATTTCTATAAACATGTGTCTTGCAAAACCATACCATAGAGGACACGGAAGAAATGGCAAGGATCATCTTGTTTAACACAGATTGTGCCACAGCCACTGATCTGCTTCTTGATAGGATGATTGGTATTCTTGAATGCCAATACATCTACGAAGTAACATAAAACATTGACCCAATCAATACAAGTTTCAGAACAGCAATGTAAACCAAATGAAAGCACAAATCTTTAAACTGGTGAGCTAAAAGTTTACACCTTTTTAACTCGAAAACCTAAAACTACGGTGACTGAATCGAATCAAGAGTATGGGGAGATTCGCGTGACAGTGGTTAATTACAAGGGGGAGATTTTACCAGGGAGAGTTGTCTCAGATTCATCTCCGCTACTGGAAACAATGGAACGATCCATCTAAAACTATTAGAAGAATTAGAAAAATTAAATTTTTAGGTGAAAAAGATCATCTTCTGTAGCAGATAATCAAACGTAAGAAGATGAGGAAGATCTAACCAAAATGTTGAGAGTGAGAGCAACAAAAATCCAGAGAGGATTTCATCATAAACCCTCATACAAAAACCGGAACCGGAGCGACTGGTTCGACCGGTAAATCAACACCTTTTTAGATTGTCTTCATACGAACGTAACAGAGAGAGAGAGTGTGTGTGTACTTCTGAGTTCTGACAAAGACATATCTCGAATTTAATCTTCACATCGTGATAATCGTACCAACAATTTTCTTGGTCCGTGTTCTGGATTTTAGTTAGTCTTCTTCAGAGAGGTTATCTACAATTCTCTTGGTAAGTTTCTTCTTGGCATTTCTTTTCTTCTTAAGTTCCGCTTCGAAATTCATCATGCATATGCAGTGGAACCGAGACTTGTCGTTTTCTCTACGAATTGTTTGAAATCTAGTCTCAAATTGCTATGAACCTTTTGAGAAAAGATTCTACAGACCAGAGAACTCGATTTCTGTTAGTTTAACTGAAAAGAAAAACAGAGTAATTTCCATTTCTCCGAATCTTGGTATGTATCATTTGTTCTAATTCACCAGAAAGTGAAGAACTTTATCAGATACTGGGATCCATTTTGCAATGCAATTAGCGTTTGTAACTAATCGTAATTCCTTTTTTATCCCTTTATATTTAGGGTTTTAGGCTTTAAGACACGATCCTAAATTTCAGCTGTAAATAAAATAACACATAGAATTATCCATTTGACGGCTTTATATTAAGATTCGGGTTCAATTTAAATTCAACCTCTTCTTTTCTTACTTCTTCTTCTTCATTTACCATCCAAAATGTTTCGTAAAGCAGAGAGCTTTTGTCGTACCATCTTACAGAAACCACAGCAGTTTCGAGGAAGACAGAGAAAAGAAATGGGGATAGGAGTGTTGGGTTTGATCCCAGTTTCATCACCAGACAGTCTTAAGAAAGTACTTCAAACGCTGTCGGGAAAATGGGGAGACGTGGTGGAAGATCTCGAGAGTCTTCAAGTGAAACCCATGAAAGGCGCAATGACTAACGAAGTCTTCATGGTGAATTGGCCCACAAAGGAAAACAATTTTCACCACAGGAAGCTTCTCGTTCGAGTTTATGGCGAAGGAGTTGATCTGTTCTTCAACAGGAAAGACGAGATTCGTACTTTCGAAGTACTCTCTCGATACGGTCACGGTCCTAGACTCCTTGGCCGGTTCGCTGGCGGTAGAATCGAGGAGTTTATCAATGCCCGGGTATGTTCCTCTTGATTCCGGTTTACTTGCACAATAATCCACCAAACCGATTGTTACTCCAAGCAATGTCAGTGTGTAGGTCTGAATTTGACTTTGAAAAGATAGTGTTATGACCATTTGATTGAGTTTTGTCTATGTGATTTTGGATTTTGAGTTCAATGTTGAACCGGAAAGTACCAAGAGATGCATGCCCGGTTTAGCCGTGTGCCGACACCGATTGAGATGCTCTTGATAGATAGTTTATGATTCTTCACTAGGTTTTGGGTTTTTGTCTATCTGAATTGCATTTTACGGCTTTTGAACAGACTTTAGCGGCGGCGGATCTACGTGAACCGGAAGTATCAGCTCTTGTTGCGGCTAAGCTAAGAGACTTTCATGGTATTAACGTTCCTGGTGATAGAAATGTGCTCCTTTGGGATAGGATGAGGTAAGTGATCTTTCTTCATAATATGAACCATTTAAGTGGTCAAACCAATAACAGAATCTTGAAATTATATGACAGGAATTGGCTTGGACAAGCTAAGAGTCTGTGTACACCTGAAGATTCAGAAGAGTTTGGTCTAGACAACATTGAAGCTGAGATAAACTTGCTGCAACATGAGTGTAAGCAGCATGAGATTGGGTTCTGTCACAACGATTTGCAGTATGGTAACATCATGATTGATGAAGACACCAATGCCATTACTATCATTGTAAGCTTCTCATTACCCCTTTTTTCTCAAAATGTCGAATGTATCAACCACATGGACTAACATGAGAATCTTTAACAGGACTACGAGTACGCTAGTTATAACCCTGTTGCATACGACATAGCCAATCACTTCTGTGAAATGGCGGCAAATTACCATTCTGACACTCCCCATATCTTAGACTACACTCTATACCCAGGTACTCACTGGTTAAACCCGGTTTTGGGGATCATCGACAAGTCGAGAAGTAGCTTCTGAGTGGTTCTGACTGACTGGTTTTGGGAATTGTAGGAGAAGAGGAACGGAGGAGATTCATCCATAGCTATCTCAGCTCTTCAGGTCAGATTTCTCTAAGGAATCATAGTTCCTTCTTCTTCTTCTTAGTCATAACAAACGTCTCATGGACCAATACGCCTTCTTATTTTCTTAGGCGACGAAGCAAGAGAAGAAGACATTATACAGCTTTTGGATGATGCTGAGAAGTACACATTGGCAAGCCATCTCTTCTGGGGCTTATGGGGAATCATCTCTGTAAGATCTCTTTTCCTTTTTTTCCATTCTAAATTATAATGAAACAGAGCCATCTGAGAAACTTGGAAGTGTTCTGAAATGTGGATGTAATTTTGCAGGGATATGTGAACAAGATTGAGTTTGATTACGCTGAGTACTCAAGACAGAGATTCAGACAGTACTGGCTTCGAAAACCTCAGCTCTTATCATCTAAATCCTCTCAAATGTAGATTTACTTCTTGATTTGTGTAAAGGTCTAACCAAATCTAAAATCCATGCTAATAGAAAAATCAAGCCTTATTGATAAAAAAATCTCAGAAATCCAAAAGCTGAATGTTTCCAAATGCTAAGAATTATCCAAATTAAACTAAATCTGTACAAGAAATCAAAACCTGCAAACAAATTCTCAACCAGTTTGACCTAAATGAAAGAAACAAGAAGAAAGAAAACAATCTGAATCACCATTGGTTATGAAGAAGGCTTCATAAGAGGCTGAATGCGACGATCCATCTAAAATTATTAGAAGAATTAGAAAAATTAAATTTTTAGGTGAAGAAGATAATCTTCAGTAGCAGATAATCAAACGAAAGAATATCTAACCAAAATGTTGACACTTTCAGTTTTTGTTTCTTCTGTCTGAAAAAGGCTTTTGAAATGTAAAAATAAAAAAAAATAAAGATTGTATATTCCATATAATACGGATTCGTACAATGTAGATTAAGGTTATACAAAGCTTATCAACGACAACAATAAAGATTTTTGATCCGTTGAGGTTTTAGGAGATTCTCGAATTTCTCTGCCATTTCTTTGTCTGTGAGAATTGTGCCTTGTGGTGTAAGAAAGGCCGTACGTTGAAACGGTGGACACCAGATTCCACTTTTCTGGTTATCGAACTGAAACTCAGACACATCAATGTTCTTCTGAAGAAGTTTGTCTGAAACTGGTTTTGGTACGTTTTGAGTGAAAACAGAGGAAGAGGATGAAGACGAAGAAGATTCTGTCATTCTGACATAAAGACAAAATTCAAATAATTTTTTTCAACAAACAAACACAGGAAGACAAAATTCAAATAATTTTTTTCAACAAACAAACACAGGAAGACAAAATTGAAAGAAATTTGAATATTTTTATTGGAAATTTTCATGAGGAAAGGCTTGATGGAGACTTTATGCTAATCAAGTATAAATGTATAATCAGAAATGACAAAATAATGGAGGATGAGTGGAGAGGAGCACATAACATTTGTCTGTTATTCTTTCATCCTCTCGTTTTTCTAACACATAACAGATGCGTTTTTGGATTACATATATTACAAATCAATAAACTTGATAACCTACCGAATAAAATTAACATTCTTTCTAATGTACAAACGCTCCACAACCATCCAACACTCTGCCAACCTACTCTTCTCTACATCTCTTAATCAATCTCCTACATAAAAACTTGAATAAGGCAATAAATGAGGTGTTGATAGTTATTACTGAATTTTGAGGTTTATTCAGTTACCGCAGTAAATATTTTGTTTTCCTTTTTAAAATGAACACCCATAAAAAATTCATTAAATGAGTTAACATTTATGCCTTCACACACAAAATTACACATATTATCCTCTTTGGTTTAGGAATTAGCGATTATAATGGAAGAACCCATTATTTTATATTATCTGCTTAGTTTACTAATAAAAAAAGGTGGTCAACACCTAAATTGTTTGAGTATTTTAAAGATATTCAACTAATGCAAACCTCTTTTTAAGATTGGTTCCAATTAGGCTTGGGGATTCGGGTTTCAAGCGGGGTTTTCGATTTTCAAAGATAAAAAATCGATTGAGTATTTTTAATTTTCGGTTTGTTTTGGTTCAGGTTTTTGCAGATACATTTCAGTTTTCAGGTTGTACATGAAACCCAAACTGTTTTTGGTTCCGTTAAAATTCGAGTTTTTCTCTAAGTTTTTTAGGGTTTTTTTTATAAAAAAATCGGGTTTAAAGATATATGAAACAATCAGGTATTTTAAATTTCAGTTTGTTTTGGTTCAGGTTTTTGCAGATACAGGTCAGTTTTCAGGTTGTACATGAAACCCAAACTGTTTTTGGTTGGGTTAAAATTCGAGTTTTTCTCTAAGTTTTTAAGGGTTTTTTTTCAAAGAAAATCGGATTTAGAGATATATGAAACAATCAGGTATTTTAAAATTTTGATTTGGTTCAGTTCAAGGTTTTTTGGGTTGGGGTTCGGATAAAAGTCACAAGTCTAGTTTCGATACTATGTGTAGGCCTAATATTAATCATCTCTAGTTCTTAATTTAACAAATTAACCATGTGGATAAGCAAAAAAAAAAAGGAGAAGAAAAAGTAAAGAAAGATATATGAAATTCGAGTTTTTCTCTAAGTTTTTAAGATTTTTGTCAAAAAAGATGGATTTAAAGATATATGAAACAATTAGGTATTTTAAAATTTTGATTTGGTTCAGTTCAATGTTTTTTGGGTTGGGGTT